GTCCTTCAACCTCTCCCTCATCCATGTCCTTACGGTTTCAGAGCCACCCTGCAATTAGGATACCAGATTGCTACTGTCTTTAAATTTTCTGATTAGTCCTACATAGATATAAGGCAAGATAGCCATCATTGTGAAAGGCTTTAAGATCGCATCTTTTAACTCCTTTTTTATAATATTCGACTCCTTGTGTTGACATATTGCAAAACCAAGGAACTACTGCGCAAGCATTGTACACAAGCGTCTAAAAAGCATTTGTTCTTAAGGGAAAAGCCAGCAACGCTGCCTCTCTCTAGCATTTATATGTACACATTGCCAGTTTCCGTGTACTCAAAAACACTAGCCTGCTTCAAAGGTCAATGATCTTTTTTGAAAGGAAATGGAAGAAGTAATGAATACGTTTTAAGCAAAGCATTGCAATATCGCTGTGCTAGCACGGACATATCTCTAAAATAACTACAGATTTGCTTGACACACGTCTTATAAGCTTCAGTTTTTGTTAAATCATTCTACTTTGCTTTTGATCTAAGCTCGTGAAAATGATGGGTTGATATTTTTGAAAACAGTGCCAAGTAATAACCCGAATTAGGATCTCGGAGGAGCAATTTAGTATGCAAGGTTTTGGGGAGGCATTCATCTGCAAGGCACCAGGGGCATGTAACCCAAAATTTGGAAAATCACTCTTTGATTAGAAGCGCCGTTGTTAGAGTTTTTGGAAAGGTGCAACTATTTCCGAGTTAAGCCAGAAATCGAGTGAAAAATCGAGTCGTTTGGCCACCTTGTCGAGTGAGTCGAGTGAGCGCGTGCGCAGTTATCATCTCCTATGCTTAGTTATTTCTAACAGAGCTGATATATTCGAAAGCCGGGCGGCCAAAAGAGGGGCAGGGAAGCATACTACCATGGGGGCCTTTAGGTCAAGGGGACCTTTTAAAGTGATGAATTCCATTTTAAGAATTGAATTAACCAAACGAAACAAAAGTATGCCTAAAAATAGTTATTTGCTTAAACGAAATAAAATAGTTAATGACGGTTACACTCTGAAACGAATGACGCTAGAGTTCGTCCAGTTGATGTAAAAGGATATTTGCATGTGAGATAAGCACGGCAGCTGCTTTGCGTTTCTTTGCCTTCATTTTGTTGGCGTGAGCGAAAAGTCGAGTGAAAAACCGAATCTTTGGCCATCCATGCTCGACTTCGCTCGATTTTGAGATCAAATGTCAAGTGAAAGATCGAGCAGAAAATCGAATCGTTTGGCCAAGGCTTTTTTAATCGTTTTCGCAACCAAAGGCATCGGAGACAAAGAACTGTGAAGGTCGTAGCCCTCAGCCTTTATTAATTTAACATTTATCGCATTTCAGGGTCTGTCTGGCAATTTAACTCAATGATTCAACAATTTTCCGGTAGGATCCATACTAAGCCCCCCCCCCAAACATTTCGCATCCGCCCATGTTCATAACTTTTTAATTTGAATGTGGAGCTATATAAACAGAGGACATTTTTTAAAGAAATCATAAGGTAACGGAGTAGAATGGACACGAAACAATGTAAACGTAGCTTGGTTTTCTGGGATGTAAATCAACGTATTAAAGCCCTCGTGTAGTCTGACGTGCAGGAGATTTCGCTTGCTCCGCCTACTGTTGTGTGGCACCAGTCATCTGGTACCGTGCGAGAAAAACACGCGATTTTCCATTTACTTGAGGTTATCTTCCTGGAATCAGCGCACTTAAATGAATTTAGACTTGTTGTTGACAGGAATCATTTCTTTTTTCTTGCAAAGTGGTAAATGATCCTTTCCTTTTCAAACAGAAATAATATTTCATTGCTATAGCCTGTATTCAGAATATCAATCATGGGATCTTATGAATTGCAGACGATCGTGACGAGCCTCCATCACCCCTCCTACGTTTTGAACAACCCTGAAGGTGGTGTCGAACAACCCGTCTGTCTTGGTAATAGACCCATTCAATTTTGTATTTGACAGTGTTTATATTAGTATGGTTTGGAGGATACTTTAGGTAAAGATAAGTCCCAACGACATCCTGTGTTATGTTTTAGAAGACTAAAGGCCATTTTGGCCTATTTATCTTTTATAGATCTATGCATCTTTAAAAATAACAGCTTTTTCAGAAACTTGGGTAAGTCTTTGTCTGTATATATAGGGCCGTGGCCTTTAAACTAAGTTAATTTGGTACCCCTGTGTTTTAACAGACTTACGTAATGTGAATTCCAGTATTCAGTTTGATATATTATTATTTTACAACGTTCAAGTCGAATTGGAGTCGAAGTCATGTAGTAACTTTTGAGTGAGATTTATCGTTATGTTCGGTTAATTTTGTCTTGTCTCTGTTGAACCTGCGTTTATAAATAAAATCCATTCATCACAGCGAAATAAGAGTTACATATAAGCAATCGGTATAAGGAATATAAATCTTAGAACTGTCTTCAGGCAATGAGGATCAGTGGCGGACGCAGGGATTAATCAAGAAAAAAGAAAATGAATGAAATATTAAGATAATAAAGCAAAATGTAATAAAAATCGATGAAATACATTCTAAAACTTTGGCTTCCTGTCCCCCAAACGGTACAATAAAAACCATTTGTATTATCTGCTTAAAGCAGGGGTTTCATGGGGTGCCACCCACTCATTGTTGCAGGATTTATTCCAAAATTTAAGTAGACAAGATCTAATGGCTATTAATAATGGGCAATAACCATATCAAAGATCAGCAACAGTTCTTTATAAAACGGTAATAATGGACAAGACAAGGCAAATATCAAAGATCAGCAACAGTTCTTTATAAAACGGTAATAATGGACAAGGCAAGGCAAATATCAAAGATCAGCAACAGTTCTTTATAAAACGGTAATAATGGACAAGGCAAGGCAATGATACCAAAATTGGCAACGAACTCTTGATTGTTGCAAAGCCACATAAATTATTAAAGCTCTCTATAAACTGAGACTGACTTATCAAAATCCTATTACATACAAAATCTCAAAAAATTCTAGGTTATGACCTGAAATTTGTAGATTGACCATAAAACAAAATCACTGCAGCATATAATGTTTATCGTTAGAGCATCCCAAGAGGAATGTAATAGAAAATTTTACAATTCCAGTTTATTTATAAAGTATTATCAAATGAATTATTATTATCTTTCAACTTTCCGATTGTTTCTGGGAAGGCTCCGATATTTTTTTTGTGGGCTTCTAGACGTTTTTCAATTATCCAGAAATTCCAATAAAATTTTTTCTAAGATAGCTAATAATTTCATTAGTTACTTTTTGAGAAAAACTGTCAGAATGTGTTTGATTGAAGACAGTAACAAAAGACAAGTAACATCGGATGGTGTCAAAATGGATCGAAACGATTATGAACAGTAATCACATGATTGATTCAAACTGAACATCTGACGCAGCCAAGCTGATCACACGATCCCAAGGAGGGTATTCCCTACTTTTCTATACGGGGGGGGGGGGGGGGGGGGGGTGTCCATGTCAATATTTTGGGTCTGAGATTTTAGAGAAAAAAATATACTTAGGTTCTGAGAATGACAGCTTAAGAAAAATTCAACATTTGGGGGTCTGAGAAGTGAAAACGAAGTTGTAAAAGAAAACCAAGTATTAGAATGAAAACCTTATCTCAAAATCATATTCAGAGATACCCTGGGTACCAGACTCACTTTATATAGAATAATATCTTATTTTATTTATAGATCTTTCTTATTTTGTATAGAGTGAGTATGGTACCCACGGTAATTCAGAGATTGCCCACACCTATATGTTTAATCTTCATTACTGCGATGATTATCTAATTACATTAAAACTACTCAATTGTAAGTCAGCCATTACTCTTAGGTTTCTAATAAACAGGGGTGGCGCTTATTGATTTTTCAGTTTTTTCCGACCCCCCAAGCTTAGTACGACCTCCCCCCGCTTATTACATTTCAAGGAATAAAAGGTGGTTTGGAAAACTTTTCTATGAGAAAAGAAATCTCTTCTTTCATCAAATATACCTATTATAAAGTGTGTTATATACATATTTTGTTCCAATGAGAAAGCTGTCAATATGTCCATAAACAGATATTTTATTGTTTTTTTGTTCTGTTTGCTTTCTTAAAAGCAAAATTATCGAGGTATAGATAGGTGGGTATCAAAGTACAAAGCCTACTGGGAAAATTTGTCTGAGATACTTCAAAGATGATATTAAACATTCCTTTGAAACAGATGATTTTCAGAATTATGAGGGGCATTGTTTCATTTTTATGGGTTTGGCGTCAAACCCCTACTGTATTCTTCCTTGTGCTGAGCTTAATCATAGGCCCTCAAACTTTAATTAAGTAAGAGGTACCCATGATGGTAACAGCTCTGATAAAACACTAACATTATAAAAAGCGAGCTAATTTTTACCTTATTAGGAAAAGTCAATAAAGAGGTAGAAGATGAACCGGTTGCAGTAGAGGATACAGTTCAACTGCTTCGATAAATCTTAGTGACGTCGCAAAAAGTTGCAAAAAGTCTCAATGTTTGAATCTGAATGCAAGACCATGGAAATTTTAGCCTTAAATTTGAATTTAATCGATATAATGAAATTTTATGTAATAAAACCTGCTAGAATTTTTAGAACCGATTATTTTTGCAAAAGATTGGTGTATCTGGTGTTTTTTATATGTGCGTATGTTTGCATGTACTCTGAGGCGAAGAATAAACGGGGGATCATGGTCAAGTAAAATATTAATTAAAGCTGGGTTAAAAGGGTGGTTATTGAAAATGAAAAGGGAAGTCAACCTTCGAAATACTAAGAACGCCCTAAATCGTACTGTTGAAAGTTGTGACAAGGACATTCGAATTTCGGATTTTCAGTCAAATGTTGTCATTGGTGAACCCAAGGGATCGAAATAAGGAGTAGGGGGTGTTTAGAAAACACCCAAAACAGTATTTCCCTCAGAGCATCTCTTATTTTCATGTAATTTACATGAAGTATATTGCCGTCCCAAAAGCCCATTCACTTCTGCTATTTCAAGAACCTGGACGATAATCTAGAAAGCACAAAACTTCAAAATGTCTGGCGTTGGAAGAACAGTAGCACTGCTCGGACGAACATCAATAAGAGCAAGGGCATTCAATCCAGCTTTAAGAGGAGGCGTTGAAAATGCACCTGGCAATGTAAGTCAAATGTCTACCTATCGTAGTTAGTTAGCCAGAATTTAGGTAGGCCCATTTTGGCCACGGCACCCGCCAATTTAGTCCCATTGCCTGGGCACGGCTACAGCTGAAATGGACAAAAACAGTTAAATTCTATAATTTTTATCTTCTCTTCGTTTATTGAGTATTTCTGCTGTATTTTTAAAATAAAGTTGCTTTTCCAATTTTTTAAATTTCTCTTTAGGCCAGTCATGTTTTTTAATACTACTAGGTGCAGCTCGCATGGAAATTATCTCTGTTTAAGGTTCCCAAAGATGCCAATGATGCCTTGAGATTCACTCAGTTAAGAATGTGGCTCCAGCCCCCCAATAATTGTCAGACTGTAGTATATTTCCTTTATAACAGTGTACTAAATGAGAAGGGAATACAATGGGCAGCCCCCCCCCCCCCCAATATGAATTTCGTTCCGACGGCACTGACAGACCCATGGTTTGAGTCCCTGACATGATAAAACTTTCTATTAGCATGAGGAGAGTTGACCAGCCTTCTGTAATTCCACTAATACGATACGATACAATACACATGGCTGCAAGCAAGCACACTATCAGGTGTGACTTGTAAGTAAAGCCATTTTAGCTGTGAGTATGGACATTCAGATATACACGACAATAGCGTAATATATAGATACCTGACTTAATTGCTATAATTGGTCAGGTGCAAGCGCAGGAAATCAAGCAAACATAGTAGATGCTAATGTACAAGTTTTCCATCCTGGGTCATATACAGGAGGCAGTAGCAGAGCAAACAATTATACTAGGGTTGCAAAAGTATGAAAATAATGACCAAAATGGAGATTCACAGCAGCAAAGATCTTAATCTGACATGTTTCTAAAACAAAAGCACAGAGCCATGGGGTTTTGGTGTTGAGAGCTATTGTTAGCAATTTAGCAAATAATTTTTGTAATTCCATTGGCCTTTTAATAAGAATACATTTGAGAGATTTTTATAAAGTGTTTGGAGGAAAAATATCAGGCAAACCCTTAAAAAATTGATTTCTAAAACTATCTTTGGGTCAGACTGCATAGCAAATAGTATCCTTGGACTCCTTAGAAGGAACTGAGCAATTATCAAAGAACTGCAAGCCCCTCTGTAATGATGAAATAATGAATCTGCTGGGTTGGGAAAGTCTAGCTGAGAGAGGAAAGATAGCCAAAGCAGTAAGGATATTGAAATGCTGTAAAAATATTTGTGTTTCCTGTTTCACACCTGAAAACACACATGGATGTTGCTCAGTGTAAGCCATCCTTTTTTTAGAACAGATACTTTCAAATAGATGTTTGTTCCAACTGATGTACAAATCTGGAGCAATTGAGCACAAGCTATAAGATCTCTAGGGCTGTTAGATGCTTTAAAACTCAAGTTAGAAAAGTGATTTCTTGCATATCAGCACATTGAGAGATATTTTATTGAGTTTGACCTGACAGCATGTAGCCTCATCAACATCACAATCTTTGGTTTTTACCTTTTTTTCTAACTACTTTCTAACTCTAGCATCCTTTGATTTAAGCAAATAATTAACAAAAACTGACAAGGTTAGACTGCTGCATCAATTTAAATACTACAGTGTGTGAATGGCTGGATAGAATGGTCCTTAGTTAGGAATGGATTTTAAGATCTTCTGACCAAACTGACCTGTCCAAGCTATTCTTGTGAAACTACAGCTTATTCCTCTGCTATTTATTAATTTTGTAATTTTTATCAGCTACTAACAAAATAGGAAACACTGTATGTGATGCCAACAAATTGGCTTTGTGCAATATATTGATAGATAGATAAATAGATAGATAAATGGTCCTTTCAGGCTGCATTTACACAATACCAGATTCACTTCGTATTGGATTCGCAAAACCATAGCGGATTAGTTTCATACCAGATAGGGCTCTTGTTTACATGGCAGTAGCTACTCCGCACTGCAGGGTGCAGTCTTTTGTTTTGTGGCCTCTGCGTTGGTATTTGAATCACATCAAAAAATTACCTGCCATGTGAGCACTTGACCCAATCTGACACATATCGGATTGGTTTCATACTACATTAGTAGTGGAGTGATTTCACTCTGCAAAAGCTGTGCGAAAGCATATCAGATTGGGTCCCCATCATGTAAACAGAAGATATAAAAGCCTATCTGGTATGAAACGAATCTGATATGAAGTGAAATTTATTAAATTATTTCACAATAAATGTGGAATGTTTCAGTTATGTTTTTTGTTGTCATGTGCTGAGATAATAAGCAAATCAAAATTTTAAATGGGACTGACTTTAAAGTCAAATGTAGATCAACTCACCTGGTGTCAACATTGATACTCTAAAGTAAAATATTTCTGATAAATTATCTTCTCAGAAATCATCCGGAAAATCAGAAGAAGTTGTCAGAAAAAAAGCTTTTATTTGCATCAAAATTAATCAAGTATTTCCCATTCTTCTTCAAAAAGCAATATTTTGTTGTCATATTTTATGATTCATTAAAGCAGTCTTAATGTAAATCTGAATATATAGTTTCAAAAAAGTGCTTCAATGTTTTGCTGACTTTTTTCAAAATTGTTCTAGTGTATTTCAGGATGACTTACGCTTTTGTTGACAATTTTCCATCCTAGCCTAATTGCAGCTTAAGGTTATCATGTTAATACTTTTATTTTGTTTTATCATCCTAAAAAATAATATGACAGTTAAGGGTATTGATGAAGAAGTTAAGAACAAAGAAAAGTTTCCAGCCATTTTCTAGTTGTTAACCTTATCAAAAACTTGACTTCTTGTGCAGCAGGGCTGTTTTGTTGAACAAAGGCAATTATAATTTAAAATGGTTTAAGTTTTGCCCTTTAGGACAGTGACGCTTTGCACTGATTAAGGCATTGGTTTAGTGTTTTTGTTTGTCCATATGATATCATTCCCTTTTTCAATTGCAGAACATGCCATTTCAAACATCAAACAAACCAAGATTGCTTGCAACAATGGTTGGTTTCCTTGGTCTTGGATTTGCTATTCCATTCATTGCTGTTAGATTCCAAATGCACAAGAAAGCAAGCTCATAAACTGATTATTGACGCCTCTTACAAAGACAATGTTGAGAAATGATACTGAAAACGTTTTAGGTTGCAAACAAATTTTGAAATGAAGATTTATTGACTGACAAAGTAGTTTTTTTGTTGCTGGGTATATTTTTCAGGCCATGCCAAACCTTTTTTGTCCTGTAGTGGTTGGTCCCTTTTTTATATTCTTTTACCTATTCTTTGCACATCTCAATGGAGAGATCCTTTGCCCCAAATTATGCCAACATAATATTGACACCAATAGAACAATGTATCTCAAACAATGCCCTGATTCCCAAGTGTTTTAGAAAGGATTTAAAATGACATAATTTTTATCTGGCCACACATGTGAAAAGCTTAAGGAAATTCTACAATACACAAAGATCATCCACAAACAAATAGAACCTGTGGCAAACTCAAACATAAACTTCCTAGATCTCTCCCCGCACAAGACTGTATTTGTACCAGTTTTCTGACAAGCTGTGCATACCTTTTTGTATGGTTTTTAAAAAAATCGAGCACAATTAATTCTTCAATGAAAGGAATCAAAATCAATTTAGAAATCTCTTCCCTTCAGACCAAACTATCACTGGCAATTCCTATTTCGTTTCACTGGGAGTCTTTATCGTGTTACAAAAAAATTGCCTACTAAAATTCAGCTTTGCTCTGTGAGAGGGCACTGTTTTGTGGTTAGGGAGGGGGGGGGGCAGGTGAGCTATTCCCCATACTCTTTGAAGTGATACCCTTGCTCCTATTTCATTATTTCCCAGGGAAGTCACTCAAATTTTTTAAATATGGGGAGGTCCATCCGCAATTATAAAATTTACCTAAAATTAGCGATAACAAATTCAATAGACTTATCAGCTAAAAAGCGTTGATAAGACCCAAACTTATCATCAACATTCAAAATGTTGTTGTTGGGCCCACAAGATAACACTAATTATAGCACTTTCGACTTTTTTCAATAGTTATAAAGCAGTTGTGGTTATTAACAGGGGCGAGGAAGGGCAGTTGCCGTCTCTTGGAATCCAAAAGTTGGCAAAATTACCATAAAGTCAGCAATATCTCCCATTTGTTACTTCGGCCTTTTTAAAAAATTTCCAACGTTGATACTTCAATCATTTTGGCCTTGTTTCTAACAGCGCTCCTTTCCACATAAAGTGACGTAGGTTCGGTATCGAGGATCGGTCAAATGAGAGAATCCAGATTTAGACGCAGAATTTTAATTCTTAATGCAGAGTATTTAGATAGCTTTTTGTGAAAAAGCTTCCAAAAACAACGAGAATTATTGTGAAACAATTTACAACCTCCAAAGATGGTGCTGCAGCATGTACTTGAAAGTGGACTTTACCAACCTCAGAAGGGGAAAAAGGGTGATCTGAAAGCTTAAATCTTGGGACATAGAATATTGAAAATAAGGTTGCTTTTTTACTCAGTTAGAGGAAACACAAAAAAGGTAGGATTTTACAGATATGACGTTAAATATATTTTTTGGTAAAATTAATGACTATTGACGTATCACAAATTTTGCAATGTTTATTGAAGAAAATTAAGTCTAAAATAGATCTGAGTCGTTAAATAGATCAAATACGGTGTTAAAGTTGTAAGTGTCATCCGTCACTATGTCACCCCTTGCAATGGCGGCGCCAGCCACTAAACTCTGGGGGGACAAACCAAAACAATTTAAGCCACGCCCTTTTAAAAACCAGAAAACGCCCTTTTACCAACAGGGAACGCCAATTTTATCCGAAGGGAACGCCTATGACTAACTTTTGTTTGAAAATTGGCAGTTTGAAAGTCATAGGATTCCATCACAAAAAGCACGGTGTCAAAATATTACCCCTCCCCCAACATTCTCTCATCGAATTTAGACGAAATACAAAATCGATTCTGCTGAGAACTGGGGGGACGTGTCCCCTCCAGTCCCCCCGTGGCGCCGCTTCTGACCCCTTGGCATTTCACTATCGTTGGTCAACCTTTGGCAGGCGATTTGACTTTGAGCATGCGCTATAGGTACCTTGAGTGAGGTAGCCTCTTGTGGAAATGCTCAATGATATATAAGCGAGGCGACGAAGCATTCCTATAATTTTTGAAAATGCCGCAAGAGTGGATAAGTTAAATACATGCTATCACGGTAAGAAGCAACTGACTTTATAGCTAATTGGTGACAATACAGGGACGCAGGTTTGAACAGGGGGGGGGGGGGCCAAAACGAATAAAAAGGGCACAAATATTTTTATAATTGGTACAGATTCCACGGTAATTTAGACAATTATAAAAATTATGACACGTTGGACAAAATAATGATATTAATTTTCTTACTTTCATATTTAAAAAATTTAGTCTCCCTTGGTATTCGCACCATCCCCACTTAAATACAAATTTGTTCGCCTCCATGGAAGTTTTCGGCTGAAGGTGCGGGCACATTCTTCACTGTCATAGCAAATTTTGTATTTGCAACATTGATTAGGTTCATCTCGCCAGTCTTATGAACGAAACAAGTTTTTACCTCTCCTTAAACTTGACCCCGGGGGGCTCAGTTTGTTGGTAAAACGTATTACATACGAGTTCCGCAAAACTCGAAAAGAGCTAGAATTCTGGGACATAGAATTTTGAAAATTGGGTTGCATTCTTAATCAGTCAGAGGAAACACAAAAAGGGCAGCAACTTTTTAGATAAATCAATGGCATATTGAACTACAACAAATCTTGCAGTACGTCTAGTCTTGTATATTGTTCTAATCCTAGATAAGAAATTTAAGTCTTTGTTAGCATGTACTCATTGCAGGGACACAACTTTTTCATTTCTACATAAAAAACATTGAACACAATGTTGTAAACCAGGCAATATGTTGCAGTTATAGTTTTACAGATGTCTGATTTTGTTAATATATATGTCAAGAACCACAAGGGATTGTTGTTGAAATCAAATTTAGTAAACTCTGCTTTTTAACTTGCCTAGTCATAAGTTTAAGAAAAATAATGGTTCTAACATGAATTGGTATCAAAAATTCCTGCTCAAGCTTGAATATTCTCAATGAAAAGAGTTACACAATTTTGGCAAAGTCACAGATTAGGGTACATTTTGCACATCCCAGAATCAGAGATATAGCTCCAGTTTCTACTTTCAGGAACACACACGATATACATTGGACCAACTGACTGTGCCCGCCGGGGACTTGACCAGACCTTTCACCAATGCGTTTGTTGCTGAAGACATACTAAGGAAATTTTCTCGCAAGAATAGCAGTCTCCTTTGCAATTGATATTATTCATCACAGGAGCTTGCGCTTTATGCATCAAAACCAAGTAAACATTTAAGGAATTTTCAATGAATGGTCCTCCAACAACGTCCAGAGTTATGTTATTATAAGGCAGAATATCAGGCACTGAAAAAATATATGCAATATATTTTTCAAAAAGGGGCACTTGGTTATACTTTTTGCAAACAGGGGGGCCTGTGCCCCCATGGCCCCCCTGGCTCCGGCGGCCCTGCAATATAACATTCTGATAGGGAATAATGTACTAGGCTACAAATAGAGTTTTTCATTGTCGGTATGTTTACAGTTTTTGTATCTGTGTTATCAAACTTTTTACATGCCAGCTTAAACAATTCTTGATGTTGACTTTGTTTTGATCTGTCATCATGTCAGTCAGAATATTCTCATTAGAAGGCAGACAGTATTTGGTAGATGCAGATAGATCCACATGCCTACAGTTGCTGCAAGTTCTGTTGCCAAAACGTTTTTTGGTTGGCAAAAGTAGTTGCTTTTCGTGCTGCATTTACTGTGGCAAAGAATGGAAAGCAGATGATTCAGCTGTTACTTTTTAATGAGTTAAAATTGTTATCAACAAATTTCAAAAAGTGCATTTGTCGCAATCTTCTTCTTGTTCCTTATTATTTAGAGATTGGAGGGCACAACCCTCTGCTTTTCTCTATCGATTACCCTTCTTATTGCCTATTCATATCACATACCAGTCCATTTCTTGATGTTGCCATGCCGACTCATCCTTGGAGTAAACTGCAGCATACATTACAAAAGACTGACAATAATCACTCATAAGAGGCCCTTTACATGAGGCCCAAGTTTTCATGGTGGCACCAGTTTAATGTCAGGTGCTGGTCTGAGCTACTGTTCTGATTACATGGCGTTGACCAAAATTAAACTCCTGCCAGCACGAAAATCTCCTGTCGTTTTTTGTACTGGCATGAAGTTTCATGTCGGGTCTCATGTAACAGCAAGCAAATTACACCAAATTTTCATACACCAGCATAAACTCATGCCAGCATGACTTCATTTCAGCGCTCATGTAAAGGGATTCTAAGAGAACAGTAATTTGATCTTTTTTATGAACTATTTGTTTTACTTATTATTGTTGTTCACCTGTATTGTCAGATACCAGTCGACATCTTGGTATTGTCCTACCACTCATCCTTGTAATGTTTAAACCATGCCATTCATTGCAAAAGACTGAAAAATAATCACTTATAAAGAGAAAAATACTTTGATTGTTTTATGAACTACTTGTTTTACCTATTGTGGTTGTTCACCTGTATTGTCGCATACCAGTCCGTATCTTGGTATTGTCATACCAATCATCCTTGCAATATTTAATTAAACCACACCATACATTGCAAAAGACTGAACAATAATCACTTATAAAGAGAAAAATACTTTGATCTTTTTATAAACTATTTGTTTTACCTAGATTGTTGTTGTTCACCTGAATTATTCTGTGTTGTTTACAAACACCTCGTTTGTTGTTTACTACAACCTGATGGTTGCATTAATATTCTCATTCAGTTTAGCAAACATGTAGTGAATTCTGTTTTCAATTTCTTGAACATTGTGCAGCAATTAAAGAGTGTACATGGGTGTGTAAAAAATAGTTAAATCCAGGGCAGGTATTGTAATAAGATTAAAGGTTGCAGGCTGGCTGCTTATAGCTAGGTGAAGCCCTTACTTAACTTAACATATTGATAATAGCCACCGAAATCAGTTGTTTGTTTGGTTATTCAAGCATGAAATTCAGCATACACACAAATAATCAATACAACAACTCATGTTGTAAACAATAATTAATCTCTTTTCAGAAAATAAATAATGGTTGACCAGAATATGTTGTATATATTCTTTACTGAGAGCTTGAGACAAAATAAAACATCTTTTTGTAAAATTTCCAACAAATTGATCAACCTGGTAAAGTCCATCCATACACAGGTTGATTTATGACAGCTCAAAAAATTTTCAAAGGAGGTTTAAAGAACTTGGTAGCTCTTTTGCTGGCAGAAATTTAATCATTTTTTGTAGGTCAGGAAAAACACTTGATAGAAATTTTTTTGGACAAGTAAGTCAGTCTCAAAGTAAGTGATTTCTTGTTTTTGTATGAACTTCTAACGGTTCTATTTTGTTTCAAAAGGTATTTCATGGTGAGATGTCCGTGATTTGGGAACAATTTCAATATGATATCCCTGCCTTCAATGAAAAAAACTACAATCCTTTTATTTGCTCTGCAATTTATAGCATTGGTTATGCTGTTCTCAATTTATCATCTGGACAGTAACACAAAATATCGGTATGCACTAGATGATATTGCTGCATCACTGAAAAGTGAAGATTTTCAGATTCCACAAACAAGTAAAAAGGGCATGGTAGCTAGACAGGCTAATGACATTTGTTTGGACAGTGAAGGTGTTTATAAGCCATGCAATGATGATGATTACGAATCACTAGTGTCTGCTGACAGATTAGTAACTGTGGACCCAGAATATCCTGACTGGGAAGAAGCTAAAGAAGAACATAAAGATGATAGGAAAAATCGTTTTAGAGAGAAGAAAAAAGAATATTTAGATGGATCAAGTAGCTTGTTTTATGAAAGTAATGTAAACAAAGAATATGCTATTAGACAATTCTCAGGATCACGCTCAAAAAAGAATATTTCAAGAAAAGTTCAGAATGCTGAAAAAAGATTTGTATCAGATCAAAGGATGTTATTTAGTGAAGTGTATGAACAAGTTGATAGTCAAGAAGATGTAGATTTGCTAGTCATTGTCTCGTCTGGTGCAAAGAAGCGTGCAAGAAGAGATTCAATCAGAGGGACCTGGTGGACTGAATGCTCCCAGAATGCCAAGGTGAGGATTTTGTATAATTTGTAAAAAATATTGCATCTTAAATATTCCCTTTGAATATAGTCTTTGTAACTGTAAAAATTTCTTCAACTCTTTAGAATTCTGTTAGTGTGATTTTATTTATTGTGTGCTTTCATTTTTCATCTATAGGTTAGGTGTTTGTTCTTTACCGATGATATCAATTCACCAAAGCTGCAAGATGCACGGAAAGAGCTATTACATGAGAAAGAGAAATATGATGATATGGTGTTCCAGCCAATAGATATTGGACTTAAATTTGGCTATCGAATGCTATATCAAATGCAATGGGCCGTGGCTCACTATCGCTTTAAGTATTTGCTGCGTGTAGATGATGATGTAATTGTTTGTCTGCATCATCTTCTGCATGACTTGCAAGATTTGAGAACAACAAATTTGCAATGGGGCTTTATGCATTGTGTTTCTGATAATTTAATCTACATGGATGAGGGTTTAACCATGTTTTCTTTTGATCTGGTTCTGAAGTTTTTATCTCAAGATCCCCTTAAAATGCGCTGTCATGTTTATGGAGACCAGCAAATTGCCATCTGGATAAACGATCTTAACTTAGATCCTGAGGAAATTTATGTGCACGATCCACGTATCCATCATAACCCTCCTGCTGCACAAATGTTAGCATATTTCAATGAGCTTGAAGACATATGTGCTAAACACATTATTATTCATGGTGTGTACCCTGATTTCATTGATGATCTGTGGATGAAAAGAAGGTCTAGGAAATACAAGAAATATAAGCCAGAGATATTTAGTGAGTCTTGTGATAAACCAGCTGATTTCTTTTGGTATGAGCTTGGTGACAGATTTCGTCATCAACCACAGTATTGTTATAAAAGGCCAGCATGGGATGTATCAATCATGGAATGGCAAGATGGAACATTTGCTGGAAGGGAAGTGGATCCAGACTTCTCATTATGATATCCTGGTAAGTTAAATCCTCTTTAGCTATTTAGAAACCTTAAAAATATGTTTGAAGCTATACAGGGACTTTATGTTGTAAGAACCTTATGTAAATTATGATAGTTGAATCCTGTAGAAATTTAAATCTTTTTTAATTGATAAGGCAACAAATAATTAGCCCCCAAAAATCAACTCCCTATGCTATGAAGAAGTCTCATTAATGCACCAAGCTTTCATTCAAAGAGAAATCGCTACAATAAAGGATATGGCTCATTACGTTTTCATATCTAGAATAGGTATTAATGTTAGTAGTTTGAAACAAGGGCACAGGCCACTTGGGAACAAAAGAATTTTGAAAAAAATTTGTTGTTTGTTGGATTTCTAAGGAGCCCATTTTACTCTCATTGTGCCCGTGGTTAATGATACTTATCATAGGTACCATTAACTAATGATACTTTGTTGGCAAGAAGTTTAAATTAGGGATCAAAATTGACTATTTGTTTGAAACTGAATTTTCCTGAAATTATCCAATTTAACAAATTGGATCATATCTATAAAACATGATCCAAATTATAATCAAACTCAGTGCTGTTATTCTTCAACCTGTTTTTCTCCCTTTTACAAAAGTTAACTTTTGCAACGTTTTTTGCACAATGATTTATAAACTGTATTCTCCCTTGTATTCCTTCCCTCATTTTTTCCCTACTTGAAAAATTGATGCCACCTCTTCAATAATCCTGCATGTTTTAGGTTTTATTAAAGAGAGAAATAAATGGATTGCAAATGTGTTTTGAGTTTTGAATAATTTTTTTTACATTCAGCGTGACTTGTTACTCTTATTTGATGACAGCAAGGGAGAATAATGTTCTAGCCAATCAGTGTCATTTTTCCAACCAACTTTTGTCAATTTTCTTTGCAATTAACTTTTGAAGTTTTCACGCCAAAACACAAGAGAATATGGTGAAAAGTTAATGACACCTGCTGCTCTTATAATCCTGCCTTAAATAATAGGAGGTTTACTCAATAAACCCACAGCAAATACAAGAGAGAATAGTCTTGACAATGTCATACCGTCAGTATTGAGTCTCTTGCAAATCCCTAGAGCTTGACATTAAAGGTGGAAACTTAGTTTCTCCTATTTTAGTCCAATATTTATCTGGCCCTAAAAGTATGTTCAGTTTTACTATCTTGTATTGTTTTTAAGGTAACGATAAAGCAATTTGACATCCTGTATCGTTTTAGAGAAATTGAACTTGATGCTTTACAATCATTATGAGCTGGATATGTACCATAATGCCTTTAATAAGCACTCGGCGGCTTATTTATTTTTGAGATTCCAGGATGGGCGCTTATATGGAGGGAGGCGCTTAATCGTGGGGGGTGCTATTTAAAAAAGTAGATTTGAGTGCAAATTGTGTTTTTCATAAATCTTTTTTGTTGAAATGTCTTCCAATTATGTTTTCGTTGAAAATTCGAATAAGGGCCCGTTTCTGAAGGTTGAAGGATGGGCGCTTTTTCGAGGGGGAGCTTATTCAATAACTTCACCTCTAGGGTGGGCGCGTATTCAAGGGGGGCCTTTATTTGAGGGGGTGCTTGTTCGAGGCATTACGATACATATATGTTTGTGTTAAAAAGAAAATAGTGATACATACCTTATAAGGTTTTTTGTATACCTATCAATTTTGTAAATTATATTATAGCATGGTCTTGTTTAGAAGTTGATATCATTATTTGTAAGGTCTAAAAATACATTGCATAGATTACCATACAAACCCCTTTCTAGTGACCATTTACCTAGTACCTTAAACTTTTACATCGAAGCAGTATACATAGTTATAATAAATCAGAATTTAATAATTTTTTTGTCCTCATTCTTGTGTACTTGTTTAATACTTATCTTTTACACCCTAACACAGAATCTATTCATGAATTATGCAATTTAGGTAGTTTGCAAATTGCAGGAAACTTTTGAATTTTCATCGTTTTTCCAAATTACCCTAAATTTTACAAAATACTTACCCTTGAAGTGGAACTGTATTTCTAATCAACAGCTCCAAATTGAAACGATTTAACATTTTTTAAATGAGATGTATAAATTATCCACTTTTATATAGTCAGGAATCCAAGAAACTGTATTGACTGGAAGCTTGGCAAATCTTAAAATGGTGTCAATAGCTTTGCCTGTCTTTAGGCTTCTGCTTTGTTTCAGGCTTTTGTATTGTTTCATGACTATGTTTGACAAAATATCTGATTAAGATTTGCAATTCAAAACAATCCCAGTTTTCAGGTTCATTTCTTCTTTTTTGTCTGAAAATATAACTGAGAAAGTACATTGTATGGCATTTGAGAATACCTATTTTATGCATTTGATACAAAGAATGGGTAAAACAGGTTGCTGAAGTAACACCAAGCTTGACAACAAATTTGATGGCACATAGTGCAGCTGATTGATCCAGATAAAAAAACTTCTAGGCACAATTAACCAATCTTTTTTTCCCACAATCTTCAAGACAATTTTTTCAAGACTTTGTCCGAAAATGTTTTTTATTATTTTGCCACCATCTTCTGAGAATGTCACAAATTTCACCAAATGTTTTAAACAACATTCAACATTGCTGAATTTTACCTTTAAAAAATTCTTAGGTACAGTTGGACCCCAATCATACCCTGGAGAACTGAAGCTTTATCTAAGTCTAACTTATTTTCAATTCCCATTGGATTTTCCTAACCTTATTCAAATCTTCTGTTTGGATATTTTGTAAAGAAAAATTCTTTGCATTTGTCAGCTGAGGCAAAAGTTTAATTTTAAATCGCACAGTTGTACAAACAGTGGTGTAGATTATAACTCAAAAAACTATCATTCACATATGTTGAACACATACAAGGATAGAAAGTTTCATGGATACAGATAATATGAGTAGATAATAAGTACTTTGACAAGACTACAATGTTCTTCAGTTGCTTTCCTTCAAAAGATACCATTGGTTCCTACATTTATATGCTTCTTTCCGTACCAACCGCTTCTTATCATTCAAGCATATTTTAAGAGATCGGAGTACATTCAGCTGGTATGGATAAATACTGTAGGGTGGCAAATTGGATAAGAATTTCAGACACAAAATGGCTTGCATTCGCAAGTTCATTGATTCTGGTGCTTTGGCCAATGACAGCAGTCTTGGTATGAGTGATGTGACATGTTCTTTGAGGACATCAGGCCTTTCAAGAGACCTCAATGTGGTGAGGGTTGAAGAGAGAATTACAGGATCCGAAAAGGACAGTGAGCGAATCAACAGTGTCATGATCTGAAAAAAAGAATGAAAATTAAAGCTTGGATAAACTGCACTTCATTTGATGAAACTGACTGTCTCACTCCAAGGTAAAAAATTCTTCAATCTATGAATCTTTAAAAAGTCCTCTGAGACACCCATCTGTCAATGAAAGGAGAAACTTTGTGCTGGATTTAACAAAATTTGGGAATTTAAATTTTTTGATTGCAACAACAACAAGATCAGAATGTTCTAGAGTTATAATCATTGAGAAATTGTTAGAAAAATAAATAAAAACTTTAAATTTCTATATCTCTTTCTGTAGTTGCTAAGTAGAAACACCCAATAACAAAATTTTATATTTGTTTTTTTTTGTTTCTGTTGTTTAAAGAATAAACTTGAACATAATGGTGAAGAACTATTGATTGATTCTGAGTATGTGCAACAAAAGTTCACTACTAGTCAGAAGATTGCTGTCTGCAGTTATACTATACACTTGGTGAGCGAAGGTATTACATTGGTTGGATGAATGAGTAATGGAGACTGCAGAATCATTGTAAATAACATGACCCTTGAAACAGAAATGTGAAGCCAAAATACAGCCATCCGTAAGTACATATGCACCATTTTTCTTTCTTTAATATTTAAAGCTGGTACACCTTAGGGGAGGGGGCATGCCAAAGGCATATGCATTTGTAAGGGGGAAGGGAGTCTTCAGTTTGATGAGTTGAATGCAGTTTGAATATCAATTTTCCAACTTTTTTCTGATCTTCAAATTGAAGAAACATTTTTTTTTCTTTTCTGATTTTCCTGTTTTTTCAATATTTGTTTTTCCCAAGAGGAACTTACTTTGTGTGACATTTTTAGTGTCAATAACATGTGGTTGAACATACCAATTTTGAATTTACTAAATTCATTTCTTCTAATTGTAAAGTAAAAAAAAATATGAAAAAGGCTGTAGAAAGTGATGCTAACTTTTTTCCACTCCCATTATGTTTGTCTTAAATAATATTTTATTTTTGAATTAAAATTAAAATTATTGAAAACAATACAGTGAAAATGTAGGCTTCTTTTGGTTTCCTGCACCTAAGATTGTGAAAAAGGCAATTTTAAAACTGTAGGTGTGCCCAAACCATTGGGGGACATTAAAGCTAAATGGTGTATTTAAAGGGAGGGGTTTGAAATTTTGGGGTTTTAACACATACATACTACATGGATGACCCTCTCAAACATGTATATTCCTCAAGAGGGGATGTACAACTTTTAAAAAACTTACAGGAGGCAGCTTCTTTTGCAACATTTTCTTTGGCAGATATTGGAAAAGATGAGAAATGGCCTTTGATACATTGCTCTTTGCTTTGTCTTCAGCATTCTTGAAAGCAGACACCAGCTTGGGTAATATCAACTCAACAAATCTTTGTTTATACATAATTTTTCTATTTGCATGCATTTTTTCATTCAAGCAATCTGTGTCATCATTAATCAAAAGTGAAAAATTATCTCCAACATAGCTCCCAACAGCTTCATCTTGAAGAAGTAACACAACTTCATTGGATAGAATGGGAGCCTGCTTATGCCATCGCAAAATAGCTGCCCTGCACACCCATAAAAACAGTAATGAGATGTTCTCTCTTTGCCTAACTGCAAGTGTCTCATCTTTAACAAACTTTGCTGTGAACTCAAATATCTCCTGTAGTTTTACATCAAGTGTATCACCTAAAATACAAGACAAACATTTAACATAAGCAACTTGGAATGTTTAGACCTTTTCTGGTAGACCTAGATTGGATAACATGCAGCTTAGACAGCCATAGACACTAAGATAAAAACCCAAAACATTGACAAAGTAGTTATTTAGGTGTCATTAAATAATGATTTTATGAAGAGAGGGGGGAGGTGGGCTAAATTAAAGCATTATACTTTAGATGTTATTTTGGGAAAGAAGGGGGTAGTCAAAAACGCCATCCTTAGACATCTTCTGTTGTGTTAGATGTCCTTTTGGAATGGCCTGCTCCCTTACGTGTCCTTTGGGAATTTTTGGTGCTTTGAAACAACATCACAAGGTATGTGAAAATATAGATGAAAGCTATCAGATAAGTTTGCTTCCTAACAGTTTGTGATAAATTAATTTTAGACCGACTCTGCGCCAATGGGAAACAACTTGCTGACTGCTGATTACCCTGGCACACCATGGTGAAACAGGATGCAATGATTGCTATTTGTGGGGGTAATTTTATATGAATTGAAATGTATTACTATCTTTTATTTAAGGGCAATTTCATGATTTTCAAAAGAAAAACAATTTTATCAGAAATACAAATTTAAGAAAAATATTTTCAAAGATTGGGTTAAGTACCTTCAGGCAGTTTGTTTATTATTGATGCATATATATTGCAACCATTTTGGGTAGCAGTCTGATCTTGTTCATCCCTAATTGCATTTTCCAATGATTTCAATAGCACTGATGCCTTTTGAATCTTTACTGACTTTCTCAAGCCACAAACAAATGAGTGCAACAAAGCAATTTTCTTGGAATCATCTAATATTTTGTATGATGGTACTTTGGCATGTTCTATTGTCATCACATCTACAACCAAATTTGTACCTCCTGGAAACAAACTTAAAGCATACTGCATGAAACAGCTCTCTTGAGATTCAGCTGGCAGATTGCAAATCATTGTCCTTATGACCAGTATAAGTAAACTCCATGTGTCACTATTGACCAATAACTTTTCTGTAGACTCATTCTCCATTAGATTAATACATTCTGGGATAACTAATGATTCCAAATTTACTGCCTCTGTTGGGTAGTACTCAATTGCTTTAACTGTGAACTGAAGTACCATAGAAGCAACAACTACATTCTTCTTCAATATTGCAAACAAGTTATTCAAAATAGAATGGACATTATTTGAAGCCAGGGTCTTTAACAGTGCTTCAAATGTGTTTTTTAATCTTACCATAACTTCCTTTTCTGGTGGTACATTGTTTGAAAGATGAAGAATATTTTGTTGAAGTTGCTCAGCAAAATATCCAATGGATGGTTCCATTTTGTGTTCACAAATTGCTGATATGCAAGAAAAAGCAGTACTTAAAATCTGGAAATTCACATTTTTGCTTAACTGCAAAACTATATTGTCACAAAAGATTGATATGTCATCTTGGGCCAACACGCTGTTATGCATCATTGCAAGAACACATCTCATTGCACTGGAAACTAAAACTGGATCTTCTGAGCTTGAAATGGTAACAAGCAGAAAGGACGTAGACACACAGTCTGCTTCCTGTAGCAAATTTTTGGTATTAAATTCCTGTGTCACCTTAGAATATTCCAAAAGCTTATTGATGATGTGGATGATACTAACAACTTTTCCAGTTGTCTGTTTTTCATTTAACATTGAGAACAAAAATTTGACTATTTTGGGAAGAAACATATGACAAACCTCTGGACATGAATATGCAACAGTATGTAAAACAAGTCCTAATTGGTCAGGAATATTCAGGTCAGGATCTTTCAAAGCTTGCTCGCAATCCTTAATAACCATGTTCACAAAAGTATTACAAATATCAAACTGGCTGCTGAGACAGATAATGACAGATTTCAAGGTTTCCATTCCAGAATGTTCAATGGCTTTTATTCCACCTAGCAGGTAATCATTTCGAAGTGCGCTCCATATCTCTTGTACGAAATCCTTGACATCATCAGGGTTATAGCTCTTAACACAAGCTGCTAAAGTATAAAAGGCATCAATTTTTGCACTTAAAATATCAGATAAAACTTTTTCCATCAAAAGTGGCATGATAAATGGTGCAAACAACTGGGTTGCAGAAAGACATTTCCTGAGACTTGTAACTAGTTCCTCCTTGGTTACACCATAGGGATCATTTTGGGGTGGGGTGAAATCGACTGGAAAGTAACAGGATGTAACTTCGAAAAGGTCCTCTGTAAACACAGAAAACTGGAGCAATTTGATGATTTGCTCAGCATTATGAAAGCAAACAAGCAGATTCCTTGGATCTTTCTCTCCATCCATACTTTGAATGAAACCTAGGACAAAGTCAGGCCCCATCCTTTGCAGTGGTTTGATATATTTTTCAAGCAAGTTGGAGTGAAGATTGAATACATTTCGCCTGTCAGCCTGTACAAGTGTGCGTACATGCACTTCTGCAAAAATTGATTGACATATGTCAATTATCAGGTTGTCAGCTAAATTATGGTAGGAAACCAGTCCTAGAAGTCCATATAAAACTTGTGGTTGAATTGAATGGTGATCCTTTAGTCTGTCAATAAAAAACACTGCCAAAAGCTCAAGTTCTTTGTTTCCCAAGTAGTTTGGAGTCAGCCTAGGGAAAGAGTACTGAATGTGAACTGAAAAAATTTGTAATTTATTTAAAAAAATTTGTGGGATTAAAAGAAAATAAAAAAGCATGTCGTTTCTTACTAGTATCTAGAACTGGATGGCCAGTTGATTCCCAGGAGAGAAACTAAAACTTCTTATGGGAAGGTCCATCCACAACTATCAAAATTCAACTAAAAGTATCAAAAACAAATTTAACTCATCAAAAACTATCAGCTAAAGAATAAGACCCAAAGATATCATTATTCAAAATCTTGTTGTTGAACACATAAGAGACAACTAGTTTTATATAATAATCAGTTTAAACGAATCTGTTCTTTTATTTCCTTTTATGATACTGTTATGCGGTAGTTGGACCCATAAGTATCAAAATGGTATATTGTTAAATCAGACACCCAAAAGTATTAGATCACAAAGAAAATTCTTACCCATAATTATTGGATGAACCCCCTTTAAATAAAAAGTTCAGTTGCCCCCCCCCCCCGGACTTGAATATTACCCGGTCTGCAGAGAATGGCACTTTTCGACGAGATCTCCGGTGTGCACGAGCAAAAATCCTGGTGTGACGGTGTGCACCACCAAAAATTTCTGGTTTGCTGGTGTGCACCGACTATTTTTCCCTGTTGTGGTTAAAATTTGTGAATTTGCATTTCACCTTAAAAATGCGTGTGAAGTATACTGTTGAAGATAGCGCAAGTTTTTATTTGTATATTTGTCAAGTAAGATTCATGATATCTCAAATTGTTCATACACAACTGTGCTTGTTTTTATCAGGCTGATTCAGCTGACATTTTCTATGGGACCACACCAAGCCACACCCATCTTAGTTGCCACACCCAAAAATACCTGGTGTGCAACAGGTTTTGCACAAAAATATCTCCGGTGTGCACATGCCATACTTTGTAGACTGGAATATTACTAATCGTCAAAAACATTAGAAGAATAACTTGCGGATAACCCTTTGCATTTTCGGTTGTTACAGTTATTTTCGAGAAAGAATACCATAATTTGAGTAATAGATGGTTGTTCATAGCCTATCATCAAATGAGAAACTGCTATTTTTCCAACCTGTGCATCAACTCGGCAAGTAACTGTGTGCCTTTTTTCCTTCGAGCTATTTCATCGTTCGAAAGATATGGCCCAAGTACCTCAACAAGATTGAGAATTCCATTTGACTGGGCTTTGCAGATAGCTTCTGCAATCTCTATAACTATAGAACTTTGAGAATCACTTTTGGTAACCTCCATATAATCGCGACACAGTTTGGCAATTTCGTTTTGCAGTTCGCTGATTGCAGCCATGTTGATTGCCACCACACTGCCACAGAACAGAGACACTGCTATCTCTTTCCCAGGATTTTTCGTGGAGACGAGACAAGCAGAATATCATGGCGTCTGCAAACCGATTGAGTTATGAAAATGCAACCAAAGTATTGCAGTATTTGCGAAATTTTTTAGCCGGTGTAAGTATTCAAATATAATTTCTGTGCAAATTAAGTTTAAGTTTCTCGTTTAAAGATGAGTGCTGCTCATAGATGAAAGCGTTAATGTGGGAACATGATGAACATTATTGCACAGGGATGAACTTGCTCCAAACTTTACAGTCTGGTTGTTCCTGTAACAGATCTAATTACATTTTGACTATTCACCTAGCAGGCAAGGGATATAACAATAACTATTTTCGCATTGACCTACAGAAGGCCCCTGGAAAGCAAGTCATAAACTTTTTAAATAACTTAAGCTGTTTTGATTTGAATACTGTAAGAAAGTTCTGACTCTCTGAATAACATGTTTGAATACTGTCTCTGAATAACAGTCAAGAGGAAACTGTGATCAAACACATCTGCTATTAGGAATGATTTTATTTGATCTTTGCAAGAATATTCCAAATTTGCAAACAGTGTACGAATTTGCAAATTTTCCTGCTCCCACAGAAACTTATGCGTTGAACTGACTTGATGGTGGTGGCTCACTGAACTTACCGTTATTATCTACCTATTTTCATTTAAATTTTTTATAAATGTTTAATTACACAGAAAACCAACATAATAGGAATGATTTAACTCCATTTGCATGAGCCTTGCAGCCCCTGCCTAGCATTCCCCCCAGGATCTGACTATGAATCTAGCATTTGAAATTTGAAAACAGATTTATTGGATGTGCAAAGGGGTCAGAGCATGTTCATTTGCAAATAGTTAATGCGCATGCATGCAAGATGAATAGCCAAAATTCAATAAGTTCCAGTGCTGGAAAATAAATACAATAGTTGAAAATAATCAAAAGGACAAAGCCAGTAGTTTAGAGTTTGCCGTATACAAAGGGCTAGACAATGGATTTATCCATTTAACTTAGAATTTATGATGATTACCCCTAGGGAAAGTATACTTGAAACAGTTGCCTTACTCATAAATGAAAACTAAATGCAAAACTCTTTTTGATGGTATCATTTTCTTTTTACTCTTTTAAAACTGTTTTTTATAAAATGCACTCATAGAGTTGTATCCCTTTTGTCTTTGACTTCACTTTGTAAAAATAGTATTTTCCTAATTGATACAAAGTTGCTTTGTATTTTTAGAAAAAGTTGCAAATTGCATCAAGACATGCATTAAGTCAAAGCTCAAGGTAGGTCATATTTTCTTGCTGGTGCTGAAAGTTGTTACTTTGGTAAAAAATGTTTTCTTTTTGTATTGAAAAGATATATATTCAAAATTATGGAAGTACAGTTTTATGTATAATTTCTTGCTCTAGAAGGTGCTTCAAATTTCCATGTACTCTGAGACCGAAACTTAACAGGCTTCCCCTGTCCATTATTTCTGATTTTTGAAAAACACCCCCAGCTCCTTGTTTCAATCCCCCTCTTTCTTCAATCCCAATAAAATGTTTGAACAAAAATTAGATGTACAATTATCACTTTCAGATGCACTTTAGCTTCCTTATTAATTTATTACAAAAATTTTAGACAATGCCTCTTTAACTCAGGAGAAACCCTCTTGTTACTAGCCCCAAAGGTGGCGCCAGGAATCTTCCGACAGAGGGGTTGGAGCTTCCGACAGGGGGGCTAAAATGACTAAAATAAGCAGTTTTCCTATGTTATTTTGTCAAATTTGCTCCGACAATAACCAACAATTTCTTCCGATGGGGGGGCTAGATGCTTCAGATGGGGGGCTGTAGCCCCCCTAGCCCTCCCCTGGCACCACCACTGACTAGCCCCATTTTATGGATTTTTGGACTTGACCATAATTATTTGACCTGCTGTTTATTCCCAACCTCACAGTAGATATGATTTAGTATGCTAGGGTAAAGGGAAAAGCTGGTAAATTAAAGTGTAAAACTTGTAATGAAAAAATACAGAAACCACAAATTCTCAGATCCAATTTAAGGTTGCCCATTTTTATCTAAGCCTTTGCCAAAAATAGATCAAGGAGTTTGAGTCTTCATGTTAAGTGTAGTCTGCACCAAAAGATCCATGTTATTTGGACAGCCACACTGCCAACTAGGCACTTTTCAAAATTTAGCTTTCTGCAGGCCTTGCTCTAAGCAAAATGAAGGTGCTCCATAAAAAGAGCCCCTCAGAAACTCTAGGCGCTCCATTTCGAACCTTTAAAAAAAATATCCTTGAGAGCATCCTTCAAGAGCTTTGGAAGATCGAGAGCTTCATATCGAAAGCTTTGGAAGAGTGTTAAATAAGAAATTCAATGGTGATACCAAAAAGCACCATAATATGAAATAACAAAACATGCAGCAAACACTATGTTAATACAAATATAGAAATATAGGAAAACGCATGGCTTTAAGTCGAACATCAACTTTGTTTCCCTTTTTATGCTATCCATTCTATAAGACACACTAGAACATCTACTACCCGCGAAAGCAAATGCAAACTGAAAAGCAATGCGATAATTTGGACGGAAATGTGATCTCTGATTTGCAATGGTGATTTTAAATTATTAAGAAAAAAAGAAAATAATACTTCAACAGAAGATTAACGCTTGCTCGGAAATCAAATATATCTGACGGAGAATACGATTGATGGCCTGTGTCCTTGATGGTTATTAGAGGGTTATTAGATTACAAATGGTATCGAAAACCCAACGTTGAATTTGTTGAATTTTTTTCTCAAGGGGTAATCTTACGCAAATCATAATATTGCGGTCTATTGGGAAGATTGTTTATGCTTGATCAAGTTTATTAGACAAAGGCCAAAAAATTAATTTGCTCCGTGGTAATATTGTTTTTACGTTTTGAGGCGCTCTATAAATCGCTCTACAAGCCTTCTTTTGGGTGCGCGCAAATCTTACGCAAATCATAATATTGGCGCACGCGCTCGATCGAGCGCCTTTCCGGGCAAGGCCTGTTTCTGTACATTTCCTTGGTATTTGCTGCTGCAGTGAAAGCATTTTCATTGATTCACCAACATCTGCATCAGGGGCAGACACTTGGTCAACTATAGGGGGGGGGTAAGCTATTGTTTTAATTAGACGGTGTCATATTTTCCATTGTTTTAGAACAAAAGATCATTGTCCTCTAAAGTATTGGGAGGGGGTGGTCACCCCCCTTGCCCTTCAGGTGTCTACAACTGATCTGCATGGATCTTTATCTATTTCTGTCTGCTTCATTTGATTCAGTGATAAAGATTCCTGATGTAAAGCTTAAAGGCAATCTGTCACGACGTTGATTGGTTATAAGAACAAAGGGATTTTTATTGTTTCCAGCCCCTCTTCATTTTATCGCATTGTAAAAAATATGGCGGAGCACTGGAATCGTGTTTAGGCTATTGTTCCAGCTATTGTTCTCGTTAACCAATCCACAACGAGACAGATTGCCTTTAAGCTTATGAATGGTATTTTGATCTGACAGTCAAAGTATATGATCTATATACATTTGTTTCTTCAAAATGCATTTGAAGTGTTAACTGAGCATTTCACCTTTTTATTTAGGTCAATACCTGAGCCAAATCTTCCATCTGGGCAAGCCCATAAACTTGGTAACAATTACTATTACACTAGAGATTCAAGAAGGGTTGTTGGACCACCTGTTAAAATACAATCATCAGAGCTGATAGGTCCTGGTGGAAAAAGGTATGATACTTAATCTGCTACAAGTCTTGCTTTCATCTGATACAGGTTTGCTTCATTTTTTCAAGTGGTACAAGGAACATTGGTAAAATTCTCCATTCAGGGAATCATAATGCATGCACAGAAATTTTTACCCTGAGTAGACTTTATTTGATACTATGTGTTGTGTGCACTGTATTTGATGGTTTTTAGATGAAAAATATCTAAACATTTGTGCCTAAACAAAGTTTTAGTTATTTATTATCATACTCTATGAAAACTAAAAACATTGTGCAAAAAACATTGAAACTTTCTAGTTAGTTTTTAGGATGTTCTGAAAAGCTTTGCTTTTTCTTGATCACATCCAGGGTTCTGACACCTAAAGTTGCAGAGAGCTGAAGACTCCCCTTGCACTGGGTGAATGTTTTCTCATGTCGGGGATTCAAACTCCAGACTTTTTGCACCTAATTAATTTAAGATAACCTTGACCTGAATGTTTTTCTGATCACAGAACTCAGTTAATTTCATGGCATAAAATGATCCTGGTGGTAAGCCTTCAAAATCATATTTTGTTTTTCAGTGAAGTCGTTGGTAATGTAACACCTGGAGATGTATATCACCCAAGACCTTGAACTTTGTTACTGTCTGCATCATAAAATTTGTGTCATAATTTAATTGCCCATAATATCTCTTGTCCTATTATCATTCTAAGTTCCATAAATTTCCGAGTGTTGTGAGTCTTTTATTGTGACTGATGATACTGCTTTAAAATCAATTTGTTTTCCCAAAAAAGTTGTTCCTTTTTATTCTTTGGTACCTCAAGCAATGGTTTTCTGTCAGAGATCAATAATCTTAGCATGTTGTCTGATATTTTCATAGATATCATAAATCTATCTTTCGTTTCTATTTCTATTAGTTTTTGCCTTGGGTTACAATTCTCCATAGTTAGTTTTAGCCTTGGAGTAGCAGTTTTCCAACTTAACCCTGCGCCTAAAAATGAAAATTAATAGCTAATGCTTAATATACTTAATAATATATGAACCTAACAGCTAATTTTGTATTCACAATTTTTATATATAAGGAAGCCTAAGTAGAGAAGAAAAATCTTGAGGCTCTTTTACATATAGCACCGCAATAGATTTCCCAGACAGAGCAACGATAGCTCAATCAGGGTTCAACGATGCTGAGAAATATGTTCCTTAAGGTCTCCTCTTACTCAAATTGTTTGACTTTTTTCAGATCGAGAGATTTTGTATAGATATTTAGTCTCACGTACACATGATCGATTCTATTTCTATTAACTTGATAGCAAGGGATGATGTCAATCGGTCCGAGCTTTTGGGCTGAACCAATTATCATGCCTTATTTTGATGATATTCAAGGAAATCTTATTTCCCTCTAACTATTTATCCCTCTATTTATCCCTCTATTTATCTAACTATTTATCCAAAGCAGGCAAGTCCTGCATTACCAATTGTGCCACCCGATTTTGTCCGAAGGAAGGAGATTGCAGTATGATCGGCGTACATGGTTGCTTGTTCCTTTTTTGAGGAAAAATAAATTTATATAAGCCGCAGCTTGCGAGGCAAGATCATTTAGGTACCATATCAGCCGCCATATCAAATGTGCTACCGTTGATTTTTCAAAAACTGCCTGCAACTGTGAAGATAAGAGCTGAGCCATCAATTTTCGAAACGATCAATCCTGTAATTTTACCATTATCAAGTATAAGATTTTCAAACAAATTTGAAGCAACAGATCAGGCGGATGTTTGCCTAAAGTTCGAACGATCGTCAGCCTTGTCACTTTTAAAATTAGGAGCAACAAAATTGGTCTGGGAACACCCCTAGGTCCCAATGCATAGATTATGATATCTACCCAGAGACATGACATTACTTTTAACACAGAATAGAATGTTTGACAAATTCTACACCTTTTAACATCGTTTTGAGCGACCCTGGATTTTGCCTTATTGGTCCTCTCAGAAGGCAAACCTATAACATTCACTAAACTCCGGCTATAATCTGTTCAACTCAAAGCAACCGAACAATTTACATTCACCTTGAAATTTTAACAAAATATACAAACCTCAATTTACAGTTCTTTTCAAGAAAGGTTTTGTTTGGCTATAGCGGAGTTGGCATTACCTTGCATTACAGGCAAAATATTTATGTGTTGGAAACCCCATGTACTCGAAATCTTCACACCTCAAGTGATGTTTCTTGCTCATCCTACTATCAAGCTTCATTTTGATCTTGCATTTTGTTTGAAGATATGGCTGTTTATCTACCGTTTTCAAATCCAGTTTGCTTTCTTGTTCATATGCCGTTACTACAACACCAGCTCTATGCATCGATGAATAAGCATGCAGCGATTTTTCTATTGAAGTTAACGGTATAATCGTAAAAATTCATGGAACCATCATAAAAAATTGCAGATAGTCAGTTATAACGTGCTGTGTATATATCTGCTAATGTTAGCTCGAAGAAACATTCATTTTAATCTGAGCATGTGTGCAACAAGGATGCCATACAATTCCACTTCTATTTATTATCATTGCAGAATCCGTTATGTCTGATAACATATTTTGTTAAGGGGTGGGAAATGGTTGAATTTAGGAACATTACATATGCACATGGCTCTACAAATTACACATGATTGATGCTTACACGAAGAGCTGAGCGAAATTGTTGAACTGAGAGACGAAACCGTGCTTAGTAACGCTTAGAACATATGCTTGAATGTAATGTTTTATGGCAAATCTAAACTGCAGATGACGCTCTCGAAAATTTAAATGTCTTCTCTTCTAGAGCCTAATTCATAGGCATAGCATTTAAATTTAGATCGAGGGCACAATGATCTTCCTGTACAGTCGTGCAAAATGAATCCTCGAGGATATTGAACTTGGAAGGACAGGAAATCTGTGTGAACCGGGTAAACCGAATCAAAGAGAATTTTTGGTGCGCAGCCTGGTGCATAGAAATCTTTTAAAATCTTTCATCGGGGGGTACAAAATTGTTTAATTTTGAATTAATGTTAAATATTGTTCGAGATGTCGCGATATGCAAAATGCAAGAAACGATGCAAAACATTAAGGAAGGTTTGAGATTTCTTTATTTTTGGCACATAACAGACATTTTGCCCCTTTGTCAAGAGGAGGCTTAAAATGAAAGTGGTATAGAAGTATTTGGAGGGCCACATTTTAGAATCATTTTGGAAAATTTTGCAGTCAAATGCAAAGTCTTTTGATCGGATGACAAAATAAATGGTAAAATCTTTTCGAAAAGACACATTGATAAGAAAGAACGGTTCACAGTTTTTAGCTTTGTGTTTGCTAGCTTTGTACCATTTCTCTATTCTTTTAGTAAGGGATTTCATTACAAGTTTAATAAAAGGTGGATTTCATCCCATCTTTAATTGGCCAGTGGAGAGCAGGGACCTTATACAGCTTGAACACAAACAGGAGACAGCTAGAGAAGCAAAGGCATAGTGGTTAGAAGAATTTTTTCGCGGTAATATTTTTGCGAGGACACCCCTTATGCTTTTCATAGCGCTGCACTCTTGATTTAAGCTACGTAAATCCCTTGATATGGAGTAGCGCCCTAGATGGGTATGATGGCTGGTCAGTGCGATCAGTGGTGGCACTAGTGGGGGACAGGGGAAGCTACAACCCAGCCGTCGGAGCTGCTTAGCCCACCCGCCGGAAGATCTACAAAGGAAATATATAATTTTGTCAGAGCAATATTTTGCTACCGTCTTTACGTTTTTACGAATAAGAAGGAGTAACTGAATACAGAAATCCCATTGAGTATTAATGCTCAACCGGGTAACTCCCAAGTAATTTACGCACCATATTGGGGAACACTACCCTCCCTTTCGTCATACAATACGACAATCGAACTATCAATATAAGTAAAATTCTTAAAGACCACTGGGACATAATTTAAAAAGATAAAGAACTAAAACAAATAGAAACAGCTCCTTATACTAGCATTAAAAAGACAAAAACAATAGAGAACTAATAACCAATACCAAACTTTTGACCAAACTTAACAGAAAAGATGTATTTAGATACGCATTTACATACACAAACACATTCCTGTAATCACTTATATTATAATATTATATATAATGACATTGAATATAAACACCAAAATATTCGGCATCATTTCTGGACGCAGAAATGAGAGGGCCCCAGGCACGAGAGAGCATACTAATCATAAGCCCCGTTATGCTCTGCCTGGAAGAAGAAGTGATGAGCCACCATTATAAACACACAAGTATTTTGTACATATGATATGGGTTACATATACATGCTTTATGTTCAATTCATTCAATACCAAACAACAAACTATCACAGCTATGCAACTAATAATGGGCAGCAGAATTAACAGAACCACACAGTCCACAGTTGTGTAGCATCGCCCAGCATGATCAATTGGGTTTGGTATTACACCATTTTATCCCAGTCTCCTGATAAGCTTCCCTTGTCGCCTTTTTATGTTTTTTTTCACAACATATAGCTACTTGCGAATGGAACAGTACTTCAAAAGATGGATTAACTAGCAATCTAAGGAACCTATGCGAAATCCATCGACGTCTTTTGTATTAATCAGATAAGTTTAGAACGTTGAGAATATAGAAAAATCACAGAGAAAAGATCTACAAAGAACTTTCGTGATTTGTCTTTTGTCTTATTGGGGACATTTTGTTATGAAAGCGAGTCCCCACAAAAATTTTGCTGCATTTTCTTGTTTGTTAAATTCATGTCCTGTCATCATCTTGATAGTTGTGCGTCTTTTTGCAGCTGGGATTCCATGCTCTCTCTTCAATTGCCCCCCCCCCGCCCTCAAAAGATGGATAACGCCTCCACTAAGTGCGATACAGAAAGACGAAAAATGATTTGGTTCTCTTAGATTTCAGCTAAGATAAATTGTTGGAGGATGTGAGAGCAGAAGCAAAGAAAGTAGAGAGAAGAAGTGTGCAATCAACGATCAACGCCAGGATAAGGCCGTATCACTGAACGCAGTTTAATCGATCCAGAGTATGATTATGATAATAGCACAATTAAAACAGTCTCGCCGAAAAAGCCTGGTACCGAGTTGTTATGGTGTTACAACTCTTCTGTGTTTAGAATGTTTGAAATGCCGAATATTTGTGAAGATGATTCATTTATCTATGGTGGATAGGGCAATTTATCTGTAAACAAACAAATTTCGTTCAGAGAATGATATAGCGCTTAAAGATTTGCAAAATAATCTGGAACGTTTACAATAGATGCAAGCTATTTTGAGCTTGGCCTAAATAACGAACCAAGAAGTGCAATCGAAATAAAAGAGGACTACAGGAAAAGGAAGGTTGAATCATGCCGCTTGTTAACGGTGGGTTGTTGTTTGTAAACACGATGAATTTTGAAATTCAATTTTCATTGGTAAAATCATAGATTTATGGTTAGAAGATGAACCTTGTCGTAAGAAATTGTCAAGGGTGTTTTGGTTGAAGCAGACTTCCTTAAGTTTCAAATACACCGATCAGAACCTTTTTAAAATCAAAAAGGTTTAATAACTGGAAAGGGTGTCTCCTGTTTAGTGCAACCTTATGATTCATGAATCTATTGCTTATCACTTCTCAAGGCTATTTACTTCTTAATTGATAGGAATGCAACTCATATTACATAGCCATAAGATATATATAATTCACCCTGGAACAGTTTCCGTCCGTGAGTTTCACCAAAATGTAATGACGTATTAATGTTAGAGTGATATATTTGCAAGGCTTGCTTAAAAAATTCTAATATTGTAAGTCAGAATTGAGAAATACAAAAATACATCCTTCTTGTGATCCTCTTGAAAGTCCATCCAAAAAAGGTTTTATGGAGCTACTGAATCTTTAATTTTTTAGGGGTCCTCGTAAAATTCACTTGTTTTCATTTAAGAGTATTTGATCACTTACTTTCTGAAACATCTCCCCCTTAATGGCTAAATGTCAATATTTTTTCTTGGACCATCCCTTATGAAAAAATATTTTTCCCTCATTTGTTGCCAATATCAGGGCTGTAAATGTATCATGTCCCTGGCATGACCAAAATTTCACCTAGAGTGAGGAGAGTAGCCAGCTCTTGTAATTCCAGGCGTAGGAAGAACAAGGTGTGGTCACATCAAAAGGAAGGGACAGGACACTGCTTGATAAGCATAGCTTCTCAGTGCCGAAAAAAATACCTTTGGATGCTAGGTAGAAACAGATACAAATACAGATCATGTCAATTTGGGGGGGGGGGGTCTGTAAAGCAAAGGAATATAAAGTATGCAGTGGTTCATGGCCCAACCAAGCAACTTATCGTAGATGTTATGGACACAGTTGAAGGAAAGAACTTGAAAAACAGAAATAGAGACTTTTGGATTTACTAAGATTTTTTCAGCTTATGAAAGGTATTTACAGATATTCCTTAATACTTATAAAGAAATCTTTATGATTGCATGGAACAAAATTTGTATTCATAAGAAGAATATTTATAATATATCTACATGTAGGGGGCTGAAAATGTTGAAGAACTTATACAGCTAAAGACAAAATCTCTTAGGAACTTTTAATTTTGAACATTTTTGTGACTGGTTTTACATAAAGTTTGACACTATGACATGTTGGCTGTAGTTTATTGCAATAAACAGACAAACTTAGTTTAGTTAAAACCCAGCTAACATGGATTCCATTTCTTTAAAAGGAAATGATGATAATTTCTCAAACTAAATCGTTTCCCAGATTTTATTAGGGGGGGGGGTTCTCATCTCCCCTCCCCCTATCCCTCCATGTTCTACGGCCCTGGCCAATATACTAACTGTGATAAGTTGCATTAGACAATTACTTATTCCTTTTCTTACTATGTCATCAGTTTCAGAGCTTTTCTAAACATGCATGGAAGTTTGTTTTGTTAGCTCAGATAAAAATGTGTGCTAGATAAATATAAAGGTTCTTATAAAACAACATGGAAGACAATGAAAACAAATGAAAAAGGTTTTGCAGACTTAAAATAAATCATATTTTCACATGATTTTCAAACTGCACGAACTTCTCTGTCTAATGTCTAAACCTTTAAACAACCTTTAGTACCCAAAAAACTCTTTCTGCAACAAAAAACCATTCTATTTGTTCCAGTTTACTGAATGAACACTTAAAAGTATTTCGAGTGGATACAAGTATAATCAAACTCATACAGTATGTCACATTGCTACAAATTCTGAATTGCGATTTATATTAAATACAAAAAAATTCGGTGCCAAAAATTTTGTTGGATTAATTTTTCAGTGGATTAATTTTCTGTGGAAAAAATTTGGGTCATATTTTTGAAATTTTGGTGTATATCAACCTTTATTTAGAGGATGTTTTCACTTTTATTTAATTTTCTAACCCATGAAGTAAAGATTTATTGAAAGCCTATACTGTTTGCCATATTTGCAAAATTGCAATGCCAATCACAACGAGGGGATTAAAAATTCTGATCGATTGTGAGTTAAACATTAAGGCATCTACACTGAAAGCATTGGAATATTAAAAAAAATGATTGAAAAAAATTATGAAGTGCCAAAGGAAGCATCAGTTCTGCCCAATGAGAACTCAAATTTCTTGATAGAGAGAGAATAAAAAAAGAAAGTGGAGATATGCTGGATATCTTATTTGTTAATGACAGAAACTGAAAATTGATATGTCCTGGATGTATAGTAATATTAAACAAATATCAAGGAAAAATATTTTTGTTATTTTGAAAGTCCTTCTGTGGAAAAGATTTTTCTAGCGTTTGAAAATTTTGGTAAGAAAAAATTTTGTTTAAAAAGAATTTGATGGGATTAATTTCTGGTTGCCCTGCTTCACCGAAAATAAATCCCAACAAAATTGTCGGTAGTTAATGTATATAGCTTTTAAAGAAACAAATTTGGTATATATATATTTTCTCTTTAAAAATTGTAGTCCTCGAAAAGGCCTTTTAAAATATGATGTTATGCATTTTTTTAGAAACCAACAAAGTAGTGCAAATATTGGAAATTTTCCGTGAAAAGTTGAAGTTACAAGGAGATTATGAACAAGAAAATGAGATTGCTGCTGTTGTTCAGATGCTGGACAGTCCCTTGTTTAGACAAATTATAACAATCAAAGACTCCCTTAAAGAGTTAAAAGAAAAAGTGAAGTTGACACCAGGTGTCAGTGACAATGACTTTGACTTCTCACCTACTGGAGAGCTGGTTTTTCAACCAGGAATGAATATGAGCACTTCTCTCTCACAGGTATGTAATCAATGTAATCCTTTGCTAGGTGGTAAGCAATCTAGATGTCATTGACAAAATTTATAGTTAGTTCCTTTTTGATATTGTATTAAGCGGAATTGTTTCAACGCAGTTCAACTTAAAAGAATAAATCTATCTAGTATATTTTTGTTGAATGTGACTGTATTTTATGCAAATTATTTAAAGAAATTTCTACTGTCTACAAAAAAGTTATATATGAAAGTAAGGAAGTTGATATAAGGACCCACGATAGAGCCTGCTGCAGAGTTAAAAAGCTTGTGAAGTTTCTGGCTTACTTGCAAAATAAGATATTGTATAAGATTGTTTTGGAAGAGCTGCCCATTCTCTCTTCATTTTAGGTTAGTTTTGGTAGAGATTTTGTGGAAGGACAAGCAAGTTCTGATGAAAAGTCATTTGAAGACAGGAATGAGATTTTTGCTCAGATGGACCCTGGCCTGATGAAATCAAAATATGCTGATGATATTGAGTTTGTAAGAGGGCTGGAAACTTCTGCAGAAGGAAGAGAGATTGACACTCTAGAACTGGTGAAACCTGAACAGGGTGGCCTAGGGTTCAGTGTTGTTGGCTTGAAAAGTGAGAACAGAGGGGAGCTGGGTATTTACGTGCAAGGAATACAGCCTGGTGGAGTTGCAGACAGGTATTTGTAGGTTATTTTTTTGAAAGAATTGATGCTAATCTATTTTTGGATAATGCAGAACCTGAAAGCTACAATGGTTCATGGTTTTAATATCCAAGCAGTTACAGCATTTAAACTTGAATATTTGGTCTAAAAGTGAACAAATTAAGCCACATTTTAATTTTCTGCAACACATTTGTCTTTTATATTAATTAAAAGTTTGTTCACAATTTGCTAGCCGAAATTAACTGGTCAAGGCTAGGTGCATTTAGCAGAAAAGCAAAATTGTTACTCTATGAGCAATGAGAAAATTGTGTGATTTAGTTGTGGGAAAATGAGTACATTTTTGGTCATTTTCAGTGTTTCATGTAAAAAGAATGGATGCATGGATTTGTAGCTATTGGGAAATATAAAAAGGCAGGTCTGCTAATTTGGAATGGTAATAGATAACCTTATGCCTTTTTAAATAGGATAGGTTGAAGAAGCTAATTTTCGATCATCTGGCTAACGAGAGGCAGCCTGATTTCCTTTCTGGAAAAGTTTGTGGTTGTAAACATTTGTTGCAATTTTAGGGAGTTAATTATGCATCAGGTGGGTTAAGCCTCTGGCTATTAGAATGATGACCTTCAGTTTTGACATTTGATCTGTTTAATCTTATTCCAACTTCACATGAATTTATCTACATATTTTTATATTTTACTGTTTAGATCAGTTTTGCATCTAGCATATTAGAACATCACCTTGCAGATTTTTGCTCACTTTTCCCAATTTATTTGCAAATACTCAAAGTATTAAAAACGCAGCATGATTTAACTCCTTAATTTTATAGAACCAATAGTAAGAATTTTTCAGTGTTATGAAATCCAAGGTGATCTATATTAAAAATCTGCTATGAGCCATTCATTTCTTCTTCCTCTAGTATGTTACTTTGTCTGCAATTCTTTAGACACACAAGGATCACATTACAATTTCAAAACAGTTTGGCAAGAGATAATTTAAAATTATGTAGAAGCTGGCTGTTTTTGGTTATGCTCCTTGCGAGGAGAGGTGCTCAAGCTCAACCAAAAGCATCCACATGTGCCTAGAAAGTTCTTCATGCACAATCAATTGAACAACGAATGTCTTTATGCTGTCTACAACTAAATGCAAAATCAAATTTGTTATTGATGACATTTCGCAATACATATTTTTTTCAAAATTCTGTAAAATGAGTCGCAAACTGAATTACAAAGCATTGAATTGGTAGGTGTAGATAAGACAGTTGTTTTTTGTACATGATTTTAGATCCAATTCACACCTACGTTTTCATCTTTTGTGAAATTCAGTTTTATTCAGTTCTGTTCATACTGTCAAAATGATGACAATTAAATTAGCACAAATCACAATGTTTTAACTGAATTTGCTTGTTACACTTTGAATTCAGAGCCTGTATTTTTCAACAAACTATTAACTAAACTAGTAAGCTATTGAATTGAGCCATGAATTTTTCCTAGATGCTCAGTCGAGTGCCTAGAATGCCAAAAGTTCTCACTTCGACAAGCACTTGCTTTTTTTCTCCTCAAAAGCCCTAGTTTTTGGTAGCTATTTTTTCATAAGATGTGCCGGGTCTTTCCATAACCTTTTTGTTATTTACCATAACAGTGACTTACAATTTGCAAAGTTAATTGTGCGAGGCGAACTGTGTTCTTGAGAATCGAAATCTCCCATGCACTTATGATTGGTTCCAGGTGACAATTTTTGCAGCTAGATGAGGGCAAACATGAATAAGGAAGTTTATTTTCTACAGGTACTGAAGAAATTATCTGGTAATATAAGACGAAGGGGGGGGGGGCAACAATAATCAACGCTATTCTCACAGCAGCTTCTTTCTAAATACTGTGAATCTAATAACTGTGATGTCTTGTTCTCTGTGTATGCACGCTGTTCTATGTCAGGAGTTCGATTTCATCCCAATTCAGCTTCGGTTTCTGCATCCTTTTTAAAGAAGTAATTTCTTTCCCGTATCCGATTCAGGATGATTCTAAAAATCAAACATTTGTTTGCCATGTTGATCGTTAGCTACCTTTGGCATTTTAATCAGCAAGACATAGAGTTAGTGAACTTTGGCACTAGCAAGAATGGCAGGCCCCGTCTTTCGCCGTAGCAGCACACTCATGCTTTTGGCAATCAGACTCAAAATAGATGTCACATGGTTAATTTAATTGTCAGCATTTTAAAATCTTTAATATGTTGCGAATAGTTTTTTGCTAAAAATGCTTAAACGAATGATTGTTTTTTTTGTTCTTAGTAATCTCCAAGTTTAATATCAGATTTCGATAGACTTTCACTTCTATAGAATCTTAATGATGCGTCTCCTTCTGTCTAATTCAACATTTCTGGAAAACTGTTAATAAATTTTTTTATGACAGAGAAGGAAATTTGCACGAGGGTGATCAGATTTTGGCCATCAATGGACAAAGAATCGACACTGGCCTGTCACATCAAGATGCTATATCAATCCTTCAACGAACTAGAGGTCATGTTGAACTTATTGTTGCTAGGGGTGGCATCCATCGTGCCCCCTCTGATGTCTCCAGACAGCCTTCCGTCGCAAGCTCTTCTTTTATTTCTCGATCAAATTCTGGTGCAAGCTCCAGTTCAATGGCCTCTATGCCTGTAAGTTTTTTCAGTTGTCAATGCAATCGAATTAATATTGAATTAAAGACTTAAAATTTTATAGAATCTGATACTGGTTTTTAAAAATGCTAAGTGGAATTTCATTTCTGGCAACTTTTGAAATCTTACTAATAATTTTTCGTAATATAGAGAAATCTAAATCTGTATTGATTAATTATTGATTGTATCTTTGGATGCGGCCTTTATTTCAACATTTTTAGCTTTCTGAGGTTACTGACAAAACCTCTTATATAGAAATATTTTGATCTTTAGGCTTAAAGCATGTAGAAAACATTGTGTGACTGAAAAGCTCAATCCTCTTTGGTTTGATCCTTTTTTTATTCATGTGATACCAGGGAATAATTTAGTAACAAGGTATTGTGCTGTGGTTTAATCGCAATTTACAGCCCGTAGATAGGGTTGTTTGAGCCACTCGAAGAAGGATTTTTTAGAAAGAAGCAGTGGATTTTCAAATGTCATCTTCTTGACGTATAACATGGAGATCGCTTTGATTAACTCAGAAAATTTTTTTGGTTTAGAAATTTTACTCGTTAGCAGCCGCACCACTGTGGCAATTGCTTGTTTTATTGAAACTACGAAATAGTATCGTTTAAGGAAATCAACTTCGCTCTCGCACAATTGCCTATATTTTTTATCTGTGGTGCTTTTGTTTCGTGATTGTAGATGAAACGTTTATTTTGATATTTTATGTTTGTTCGTCAACAATTTACTTTCATAATAAGAGTCGAAAAAATTTACTTTCATTAGCTTTATATTTTGATTACAATCATAATTTCTGTTGTCAAATTAGAGTTGATCTGTAGTTAGAAGGGGCCTTGCGCTATTTCTAAAGATCAACAAAAAGTTTAATAAAGGGGATAGGGAACTTGTATTGAGCAAATGGTTGAGTTCACAAACACTTTAAAAACCTTTTTGGTACCCTGCATACCGAATCATAAAAGGGGGAGGGTTCATTATAAAATGAAATGGGTGAACAAATTTGCCTTTAATGAAATTAACCCTCCCCTCCCTTTCTATCTAATGCAGAAGGGTAGTGATTAATGGCCTCTACATGGAAAACTGGTTCCATTATTGCCTTAAGATGATTCTAAAGTATTTCTTGGACGCTATAGAAGATTGCCTTACGTCAGAAACAGCTTATAATCTTTTACCGTTGACTCATTTTTCAAGCCTACAAGTATATAACCTTTTAGATTGGCCGTCTAAATAAAGGAAGCTTTCTAACGTATCCAAGAAGACGTTACCCCCTTAAAACAATTCCAGCTGCTGCATAAAAGCGATGTCCTATTACTTGCTTAAATTGTTATTCCACAGACTGGAGATGGAATCCACTGGCGTCAGATCGAGACAATAGAGTTACACAATAGTGGATCTGGCCTCGGATTTGGGATAGTCGGTGGTAAAAACACTGGTGTTATAGTCAAGACAATATTGCCTGGTGGAGTTGCGGACAGAGTGAGTTCAAGTTTGGTCATTCTTTTATGAAGTTGCAGTTGCTTTCAAATTTTTATGGCTACTCTATTCTTTCTATATTGCTATATTCTCCTTCTCCTTCATCCCCCTTCCATTGATATCATCCCTCAGCAGGAATTCTTTTATTAGCTGATAGTGTGAGAGGTGTTCCTGTCGGTACAATTTAAGTTAGAAATACAACTATACGAGCCTAAGCATGAAGTCTTCTTTAACTGTAACTCAAGAAGACCGCTGATTACAGATTGATACAGTGGACTACTTTTTTTTAAGTTTAAGTTATGCTTTGCTAAGGACTTAAATTGACATTGATTTGGTAAAATACGATCAAAAAGGTACATATTACAGCTTGCGGTTCTTCAAGACAAACTCTGGTATTTTTGTTTAGATGTTCCGAGAGGAATTGTTTATACATTGGCTCCGTGTCTTCATGCATGCATATGTCATTTTGGAGATTGTATTTTTTCTGCTCGACCTTACCTATAATTGAACTTCTCTTCTTGTCAGGTAATTTATCAAATGTTTAACTTACGAACAGCACCCTTCAAGATGGCAAATTGTCTGCTCCTTTATGCAGCCCATCTCTTTATATGTACGAGGCATCCATAACAATAAGAATGTAAGAAAGTGTGTTGCTTGCCATATCAGTCACTAACTCTCGATTTTTTGTCGTTTGAAGGATGGGCGATTGCAAAGCGGGGACAGCATTTTGCAGATAAATGAAGTTAACTTGGGTGGTAAGGGAAGTGACGAAGTTGCAAATATTCTCAGAAAAGCAGGAAATAAAGTGAAGTTGGTCATTTCAAGATTGGTGGACGAAGAACCGCCTGAGATACCAGTGAGACCAGACAACGTGAGTTTGCCATCTTGCAGTTATTTAAGATTTTTCGAATCATATGAATTTTTTAATCGTCTTAGCAAGTATGCCAGTTTGTTTCTGATCGTATAAAGCTGCTGCCATCTTTTTGGTGAGATTTCATAGTTAAAAATGAATATTTTGTCTTGATATTTCAAATAGAATATTGATATTGAATTCTCAATAGATGCAATTTTTCATGTTAGGTCTTGATAGGACAATCTAAAGACTAAAGGGTACACGTCAGTAGGCAAATTCAGCAACAGGCATATTTTGCAAAGAAGGAATGTCGATTTTTGGTACTCAAGATTTGATAAACCGAATCATCGCATGTTCCATTACATGATTTTTGCATATTTTGAATAAGAATTTGTATCCCATTCCATAACGATATTTTATGTAGTTTTCTGGAACATAAATTTTTTCAAATGATGTTGGCTCTTTTTGCTTATATTACAAATGCTATCATCAACGAATCAGATATTGTTTGGTGTTTAGATGTACCTTAGTATCTGTTATGAAGTTGTAATTTTCCTTTTAAGGAGAGTTATGAAGTTGAGACATTTGAAGTCAAGTTGCAAAAGAACGAAAGGGGCCTTGGAATTACAATAGCTGGTTACGTGGGAGACAAGACTTCAGGTATCTATAATTTTAAAAATACTTTCAGCCTTTTTTGTCAATGTCAACAATAAGACGACATTCGAACAGACCTGTGCCTAGTAGATCCTGTAGTTTGAGTGTTTTGTAGGTTCATTTGTTGTTCACTTCGAATACGATGAACGACCTTATGATTTTTTCACGATAATAAGAAATGGTTTAAGATAAAGGAGTCTGTGATTGTGATAAGCAAAAGAAAAGCGTAATGTCTTCCGTCATTTTTCAAATTTTTAACTAACTTTATGCAAAATTTTTATATCGTTACTTCTATATTGATCAAAAGAGGAGCTCTGGTCAATGTAAAACAAGAAATGAGATTAACTTCTTGAAAATCTGCATGAAATACTTTGTTTTTTATCTTTTTAATATTTTTCTTTTTGAAAAATCTCTTTCTAATTGTAAACTTCAAACCAATCTACCGACTTCTTTATTAATTCTTGATTTTTCTGTTATCATGTCTTTCGCTTCGACAGTTCTTCAAGTACAGAAATAAATTTTGGTCCGTTGCTTTGAAAATATCAGCAAGCCAGAGTAATGTAATAGCTTTGTTATTTATAATACCAGTAGTCTTTGCTCTCTCTTTAAGCTTTCTATGCGTTAATGACTGATGTTTCTGTCTTTGAATTTGGCTCAATCAAGCATTTTCTGCTAAGCACTGTTGCTACTTCAAATAGTTTGCAATAGATCTGGAATGGAGCTCCAAAATATAATAAGAAATCTTTATAACAATTTTTTGTAGATGAATCTTCGGGGATATTCATCCAAAATATTTCTGAAGGAAGTGCCGCTGCGCAGGACGGAAGGCTGCAAGTCAAAGATCAGATTATTGAGGTTTGTTTTTCGCTCACTCTTAGCCAATTTTACGTTACGTTTTTGGATTTCTGCTGAATGTGATCTTTTACTAAAGTGTATTTATTAGCCTTGAATTCACGAACACAGTATTTGGCGCCGTTCAATTCATTCAGATTTCGTGGGTTGCGAAGAGCACGATGAGACAAAGATTAATCTTGTAACTTAATGTATTACTTTGACTGTTAATTTTCAAATTTATATCGAGCGAAAAAATAATGTCATTTCCTTTATCCCTTGGTAAAGTTTTGAGTGATGCATAAATTATCATGCACTAACAGGTGTGTGTTCTAGGTTGATGGCAAGTCACTTGCTGGCATGAACAATCTCGAAGCTGTGGAAGTTCTAAAGAATACTGGATCGATCGTGTCACTCATCATTGCTCGTGTGAAAGACCAAGAGCTTTCGCATGTGGCCCACGATGACGACTTTTCAGGCTTGGTGTCTTCACAGGACGAAACTTTCCGTAAGTTGTATCTCAACAATTCAACAAGCTTCTATGCAGCCTGGCGCTGATATCTCTGTAGCTGTTATGTCATTTTTGGCCTAGTTTTCATAAATTTATGCCACCCTCCATTCGCAATACAGCAACAACAGTACATTAGTTTTTGCCGATCCTTTTTCGTGCATAAATTTTCCAAAAATAGTCTGCAAAGCTGGTAGCCAACAAAAACAATATGTCCATACAGATTTTATGCACGTATTTACCATACCTTTCTGCAACCCAAACACCAATGTTTGCCGTATGTAAGCAGCGGGTTTGCCCTTACGTATCAATACAGAACCAAACCATGAGCAGCAAAAGAGAATAAACAACAAATTCGGGCAAAGTGCCTGTAAAATTTATTTTTTGCAAGTAAACTATGAGTATTGCCCTGGAATCTCCCATTTTGGATATGTTACTACCAATTGTAACTACCAAAAGTTCCAATAGATGAATAATTTAGGTAAAAAACCTCGTGAAATGTCCCACTCGCACGGAGAAAGAGAATCAATCCCCACAGCTTAACTAAAATGGAAGTATAGGAAATCAATCCTCATAGAAATCATCTGTTTTTCGACAAAAAGCCACAACCTGCAAGAAAATCTCATATGACGTCTGCTTCATCACATCCAGGCCTAGATCAGCTGCGATGGAACTCGCAGTTTATTCATCACAATCTTGTCCTATTTTGAGGGATTTTTAATTCCTTTTTCTATAAGTTTGTTAGCCGTCCTGCTTTTAACGGTTATTTGCTGTTAATCAAGCATTAAACAGTGAACAGGATGTTCTCAGGCCCGGCAAAATGACTTATAGCTAGCCCTGTTAACATCAACGGTATTCTTTGGTGCAAATTTTTAAAGATTTTGCGTTGTGTGGTCTACCAAAAATATGACCTTATTTGAAATCGCAATGAAAGTCGGACTATTTTGACTATTTTTTTGCGACACGTCGAATAACCGAAAATATGAAACCTCGCGTTGTTGGCACAAATATGGATTTGCCCCCTCCGAAAAGGGAAATTGTGCCAAAATAGGGTGCCATAGCCATCTTTCTGTGGCATCCGTGAAGGGCCTTGTTTCAATTTTCTGTCTTCGTTTTTGATGCCTAGGTATAATCGTATCTTGCAGATGGAACGTTGTCCAAAGAGACAGAGGAAGAATTGAAAGATAAATATCAAGAGTTACTTGGAGATGGAGTTGATATTTACGTATGTAGTATTGCATCATCTAAAGGAGCAGCTGTAATGTGTTAGGCAGCGTGTTTATTGGGTCTTTATTCTGCCTTCAGCTCGTCAGTATTCACTGGGTATTACATCACAGTCATTTTCTAGTCGCCGGAAATCATTATTGTAAATGATGAAACTACATTTCTAGTGAATTATCTGATGATGTTATGAAAATCTATTTTTTAAAATTGTTTTTGATTCGACTTTATCAGCAGAAAGTACACAGTAAAATGCCTCTAAATCTGCAAAACCAGTTGAATCTGGTACTGATTTCCTGAGATATCGCTGATGAAAGGTTCGAAGTTTGCCAACGACTTATTGTTATTTTCGCTTGGTTCACAAGCTTTAGAACCTGGGCCCTGTACTCACGTGGTCATATCTCAGGCAATTTGTGACATATCTAGCTGTTTTAGCACATTTAAAAGTATTTGTTTGTGTTCTCTCAGGCTATATGTCCAAAATCCAACATTTTAAAAATACCTTTATGTGACGTCATTACTTTGCAACTCAATAACAATCGGCTTTGAAAGTTTCAGTTATCGATTATGACTCGGTTTCAATGATTTTTCTTGTTAAACTTTTTATTCCGGTATGATGTTATTCTGCTAAATTCAGTTCATGTGTCTTCTATTTTCTATCTATTGTTTGATACTTTCGAAATACTTCATTTGAAGGAAACAAATAATAAATTGTGGAGCCAAGTAGTTGCTCTTAACTTCAATTTTAACTTATGGCTCCTACGTTAGTAAAAAACAAAGACGTTGAAATCTCTGAATAAAATTTTCAGTCATTGCTCTGTAAGCATTGTATATGTCTATATCATCTGTTTTTAGGTTTCGCAGTTTTCAAAATTCCATCTAGCTGGTGGACTTGGTATAAGTCTTCAAGGAAGCACTGCCTCGCATGGTTAGTCTAAAATTTTTGTAACTTAACTTTGCAGTAAAGAATTTCATCAAAGGCTGGCCTATAGTGCCAAGCCTCATGTATATCGTGCATATTGTGCACAGTGCATCATTTGCAGAGCATTTTAGAAAGTATGTGACGATCCCATATGTGATATATTTAGTTGGTTTCAATTAGCTTTAGTATAGCTAGTAGTATACGTTTACCAACTCCAAAGAAAGTGAAGAAAATGAAAAAAAAAGTATATGACGATCCCAGTGTGCATCATGATTGATACATTATTGATTCAACATCGATTTATGATTGATTAGTGATCGGTGATTGATTGATTGATTGATCTCCAAATAAAGTTTCCTGATAAACGATGTGAGGTACCATAAAAATGTTATTGATGTTTTTAGAAGAGTAGTTTTTGTCATAATGTGAACAGTAAGCTCCTATCTTCGCGGTTTTGGGATCGATTGCTATCAGCATAAGCTGTGTACATTGATATATTTTTGGTTGACTTTTGTTTCAGATCGAATATCATTTGAATGTTTTGGCGGCTCTCTTTGACCGCATGGGAACATATTTGGCGGTTGTTTGAAATCCAAAAAATCCATTCATTTTGGAGGGACAAATTATCATATTTTATTATGGTTATAATTTGACTTCGACAATGTACTTTTGATCCCGAAATAAGTCCCCTCCTTGCAGTTAAGATGCTGAATCCTTTAAAAACCCTTACTCTTTGTCCCCGAATACCTATTTGGAGTTTTATAGTACGAGATGTTAAAATTTTAAGCTTTTCAAAATAGGCATGCCCCAGATTCGGTCTAATGACGTAACTATCCTGGTTAGTGTTGTTTCTTCTTGAAACGGAATTCGAATATTGCATAAGGTTAATATCCATTTCAGTTTGCTTCTGAGTCTCATTTCACTTGGAACGGCCTAGTAGCTTAAACGACAAAGTAGCTTTCAGACCATTATTTACAACATCAATCTTTCGGGACTTTCATATACTTCAATTTTTGGCTCAATTTTTGTGCAGACAATGTTTACTGGCACAAGATTCATTCCGTGTACGATGACGGACCAGTTGGTAAAGTAGGGCTAATGAAAGGCGGCGACTACCTTCTAGAGGTTTGTGTTTCTTTAAAAATACTTTAACAATAATGGTTTTCTATACATGCAGCACGACCTTTAAAGCAGAAATTCAAGAACGCAAACTTTGCCGCCAGTAGTTTTGACTCCAGTAAACACCTTGTGTTCAGTGAAGCAAAGCACAAATTTTCCCAATCAGCTGGGATCCTTTGAATACGATGAATGATAACTTGCCATTCCTGGATTGTTGAATGTTGAGGTTCACACGCGTTAGAAACGTCATTTTACTTAAATAATTTACACCGCTTATAGTCACTGCGCTCAAAGTAGCACTGTTGGTTACAGTTACATAATATTTAATCCAAAAGATCCAAAAGTGTTCAATTAAGCTCTATGAAACAGTCACACTCCGCTTGCAGTCAACATTTGCTATGACTTTAAGTGGAGTCCACTGTATAAGTTGCTTTAAGTAAAGAACAGGCTTCGGTTTTGCTATCCAGTATTTCATTATGTCGTAAGTATTTGCTGCATAAAATACGCTTTGCTTACATGGTTAACATATACAAAAATATCGATTCTTGTTATTCTTGCTTTCCATTTTAAATCAATGCAACTTACAGCTACTTGTTGGCTCTGGAATATAGATATATTTTGTTTTGATAATGTCAAAGTTTCCAAGCTGTGCAATGCTGGCCCATAAATGTTAAATATTGATAATGTCTTTTTTGACAAATTTAGATTAATGGAAAAAATGTGCTGCACTTTCCTCATTCTGAAGTTGTCACGTTGATACAAGGCCTAGGGGAGCATGTCAGACTGGTCTTCGCAAGAGAGTTACAAGACAATGGGCTGGATGATGGTAAAGTACCTCCTGCTAAATAGATCATAACAAATAAACAATTAAGCTACAACGGTAAACAAAGATGCGCATTAATATTGTTGGTCTTTCCATAGGGCCCTGGTTTACACTGAAGTCATAGACTGCTCTTTATTCCAATAGAAAAAGTAGCAAAAGCGTTGTATATTTTATCATAATTGTAGAAAAACGTCATCGACAAACCGAGGCCTCGGTAATCTTATATGGGGATGTTCGTTGTCTGGGCGCAATTTTTTAATTTAAAATTACAGTGCGATCATTTCACCTCTGCAACTAGAAATTTAAAAAAATGTATGCAAAATCATAAAGACAATTGTTAACATAGCTGCTGCACTGTGATCAATTCCATTAAGAGATAGCTGTATAACATGTAATATATGCTTTGTTATGTGTAACAGGACAGTACTAAGCTGCTTTTCGTAAATATTACCTACTCAAAGTTGTTCTCAATATCACTCAATATCAATCTCACTATTTGAAGATCAGTCATATATTTATTTGACAGAGGTCGAAGAGTTTACACCACCGGATCATGATGAAAGTCATTTTGCCCCTGTTGCACGTAGTGAAGACGATGTGAAGTATGTGGAATTAGAGAAAGGCGACAAAGGGCTGGGATTCAGTATTTTAGATGACCAGGTACAGTTTATCCAGATTTCTTGAATACCCGATAAATCGAGCTGTTTTTGCGTTCTTCAGAAACCTACCCCATTATGCTCCACCCCCCTCCCCCCTCCCCCTCCTCGATAGCTAAAGCGGCTCAAACATTCGTTAATTAATGCTGTTTTCATGTTTAAAGTTTGATTTTTTAAGATGTTGCTATATTTCATTTAAAAGTGTTTGTTTCAAAATAGAAGTATACAATCTGAAATTAAGTAAAAATAGGGCTTTTTGACCATTTCAGTTTCTTGTAAACAGTTTTATTCCGCTCGAGCTAATTCAATCGAGCGCGCTTTATTCAATTCAGTTCAATTTTTTTTCGTTTACTACAGAAGAATTAAACAAATTTGTTTGCTATTTGAGCCTTCGCCATGCGCATGCGCAAATTAATATCATCGGCATCTAAGTAATTTCCAGCTGCAGTAATATGCTCGACTGCAAAATAATCTCCCGGTTTCCTCCTTACGACTTCACTTGCCTTGAGGTTGCTAAGAGCTCTTTTGATGCCATCTTATCCTCACAGTATTAGATAGCTGCCATTTGCAGATTGCAAATTCATAACATCAAACTATGCGGAAACTTTGTATTGACAGTAACTGATTTAATCTTGCTGACAGCTGCAAAACGACGCCAGCCGAACTGTTATCATAATTCGGAGCTTAGTGCCCGGAAGTTCTGCAGCGATAAATGGCACTTTGGAGCCTGGTGACCAGCTCACGTCCGTCAATGGAGTCAATCTCGAGAATGCGTCCTTAGACACAGCTGTACAGACATTGAAAGCTGCCCCAAAAGGTTAATACGTGGCCTTGTGGTTGTGAAATTTTTGTTAACCCTTGTTTCTAAAATCAGTCATACTGTATGTCATATCTCTAATTTTATGGCTACAATGTTAGTCAATATGTAAGTTTGGTTTATAGTGACCAAACTTTAAAAACAAAAACAAAAACAAACAAACAAACAAACAAACAAATATACAAACAAACAAACAGCATTTTTAGCAAAAAGTAGTTAAAACAGAATCTTTTAGAAAAAACCTTACTTTGCTTCAAAATAAGATTTTCAAATCAAGAAAACCATTTGTAGAAGTAGACTTTACTATTTGTTTATCAAATCCAAATATATAGTTCTGTGCTGGGTTGCAACACACATTTTTTCTTATCTTTTCTAACATGTTACCGTGGGGGGGGGGGGTTGGCTGAGGAGGCTTTAACACCCCCCCAGTATTTTCTAAAATGTACCTTAAACAGTTTAAACGCCCCTAATGAACCTCGCTTGAAGCGGGGTCACCAGAAAACTCCCTAACACACGGAGGTGCACACTAGCAAAGAACGAGCTAACTCTGAAAAAAGATTATTCACCAAAATTGGGCTGACGTGGATCAGTGGCTACATGAACACGAGAATTGTCACGTGAACCATCTTTCTGCCACTGAAGCGATTTTTCAATTTAATATGCAAAAAATATTTGGCTCATTTTCTTACAGAATTGTATTGGCAATTTAAAGCAAAGCAATATTTTTTTATATAAATAGGATTCTTTGGACTGTACACTTCTCATTTAATCGTGTTATCGAATGTAAAGTAGATGATGGTGACTATTACGTAGAACAGCATGCTGTTCTTAATTTTGTGGCATTTAATTCATCCTTACCTCAAAGATCAAAGTTTTCAGTGCTATTTTGAACATGTTTGTTAAACATTTAGAAATCTTCTCATTCTACTGCTTAATTTTTTTACTTCTTTTTTAATTAATTTGATGGACTCTTACGAGCGTTTGCCTTTCAGGAAAGACTATAATTGGTATACGAAAGAACATCTTAGACATCTCAGCTGATGAAGATTTGGAAATGAAGAGTGCTCAAAGAAAGGAGATTAGCAATGCAGGGTTGCCAGAGAATACTCTACTGCCGTCAGCTATTGAAAGCAGTAGCAGTGAAAGTGAAGAAGATTTGGAAGAAAAACATGAAAGTGAAGATGAAGCGGTTGGCAGTGATGTTGATGTTCAAAAAGAGATTACCGCAGCGGAACCAGGTCAGTATTCACCTAGCTTTACTTTCCATTTGTCGCCATTGTCTTTGATATCAGCGGCGAGGCAAAGGTATTGGAAGTATCTGTGATATTCTGCGAAGGGACGATAGGTTTAGTAGCATAATGCGAAATGCGTCGAAAGAGGAATTGCACTTAAACGTGATCTGCACTGAAACGTGACCTCAAAGATTCGAGCAAATCTTCTTCAGCTAACGATCTTTTGTTAGACGACTACTGCAGAAATAGTGTTTGAATGAAGTTGCAGGATGAGAGGCCCGTCGCCATATTTTTCTCTGGGTTGATGATCGTCTCCTTGCTGGTAGTGCCAATACCGTTTATCAAGAAGTACTTTGTGCATAAGCCTAGAGGAAAGGTAGATTGCACTCGTTTGGCCACGGGCAAACAAAGTAGTATCTTGAACGTACGAAAATATCACGAGTGGTAAAAGCCGCGCAAGAATGAGAATATTCCCTGAAAAACTTTGCATTCATTTGGATTCTAGTCTTTATAACCTGAAAATTAACGCCCTGTCCGTATAACCAGGGATTAGCTTCTTCAATTTTTTTGCTAAGTTTTTTTCTAGATGAATGAAAATTGTACTAAATTTTATCCCTTTTTTGTTCAAGGTATTAGAATATGCATTTGGGTAAGCACTAAACCAGGAAATGAATTGTTTAAAAATATTCAGCGGTTAAAAATATTCAGCGGATTGCGCAATAGGTCGTAAATAGAGACGGATCTTCAGCCAGACACAACCATGTCGCCGTTGGAGAGTTCTTAAACTTGACGTGTTGTAAATCCCCCGCATTTTAACCGATCATGACTGAAATCGCTTATTTCTTATCGATCATTCTGAACTCAGCACAAAATATTCCCGCACTGATTCGTCGGGCTTCAATTTCCTGAAAAGTTTCTACAGCATTCGATATATGTCTGTCATTTTGCTTTCACTTTCTCTTCTTCAGGAGATAGTGCGCACGTGTTTTCGGCGACGAGGCTGTCTTTTATCACTTGGTGTAGCGTGCCTACTGCACTATTTCTGTGATTCAAACAAAGTCCTAGATCATCTTTTGTTTCTGACCTTACTTTAGAAGTCTTTAAGAATATTTGTCAATATAGAATTTGTTTTGCCGATACGATTTTCTTGATTATCATCTCTTTCATTTGGAAGTGAGTAGATAGGCCATTAAGCCCGGTTCCTCAGCAGACACCTGCCAATAATCCTTCAGATCTTCGGTTCATTACTTGAACATGAAGCGAACGAATACGACGCAATGAAATGTGGACTACAAAGCGAGGCCCCCGTTCTGACGCAACAATGTAGCATAGGTTTGCTTCATTAACATGGCTTTCTATCGAGTGGTTTTTGTTGAAGCACCATTATAAACCGACGCCGAATTTGCGTTTTGATGGTGTCAATAGCTCGAGATGTTGTATGTCGAGGGACAGAAAGAGAAGGCTGCTCTCAGACGCATGGTGGCAGGTAAAATCCTTATCCATTTCTAAAGTTGAAGTTTGTGACTTAACTTCAAAGTAAAAGACCATAGAACCTAGTATGTTAGGTATTGTTTCTGGATTTGCTTTTCTTCCGGGTCATTTCCTATGCATTTTTGCAGCGGAAAATTTGTAGCTCGTTGAAATTTCGCAGTAGTTTTGCGACACATCTGTTCATAGACTTAAACCACAAATTTCATTACATACTAAAGTGATTTATGCATATTAATATTGTTTGAAGTTGGCTTATTGCTGTCATAGGAACATTTTGCCACAGAGAAAACTGTTAATATTTTTATCGTCACCCTCGCTATTTTTTTTTCAAAATTTGCATGCTTTTTGATTTATCGCCAGTTGCATTTTTCCAATTCGTTGAGTGAGAGGCGTTTTCAAATTCTGCTGATCTTGATCTTCGTATTGCTCGCAAATCTCCAAAGCGCCGTCTAACCAGTAGAGTCTTGAGAGAAGACCACAACGGTACTTGCTCGTCTTTGAAAATAATTGTCGTTGATCGGCTGATCTCGTCAACCTTCTTCTCTCCATCTTCGGTCTTAACTGAAAATCAAAATATTGTCCTTTTTAATGCTATAGTATCTTTATATGTTTTCGTGTCGTATCTTTGTTTACATTTTGTCATTTGGCTCAATATCCAATTTGCATTTTAAAGTATACTATGCATCTTGTTCTTGCTTTCTTCTGTGATTTTCCCTCCATAGCCATGAATTTTGATTGTTGCTTTTTGAATTATCCTTTTTTACCTGTTTTGAACGATCATTGACTTCCTATATGAAAAAGATATTATTGTGTTCCATTGTTTGCGGTGAATGGCTGACCTGTCGCTGTTTGTATTGCTGTCAAATGTTGCCTACAATTCAAAATAGATATTGTATGTAGTTCTGATTATTCACAGTTGTTTTGGGTGCTGACCAAACCTTGTAACTGGTATTTTTGAAGCGTACTCCGCCAGCGTAATCTGAGTTTCCATAACGCATGAGAACTTTTTATCACCATAAATTTGATTTAGAATTCCACTTGTCTTTTGACGTCCCATCTCGCCCTTTGTCAATCTCGCCCTTTGAAGTCTGTTCTAATATTTTCTGTTTCTATTCAATTTATCGAGACTTTTTCAATCGCGTCTATCCTTACTCTAATTGCTTCAGTGTGCTGAGTCATGTATTTCTACTCTTTTGCAAAATCAAGTGGTTTTCAGATGATGAAAAAGTTTGTGCAGCTACCCTTATTTAAGAAAATGTCAGTTTGTTCTTTTTTTCAAAAATGAAGCAACATTTGTTAGATTTTTCCCGTGAGTTGAAGCAACAAAACAATTTGACCAATGGCGCAATGCTTAGCTACAGTTTGTGTTTGATCAGCGATATTATATACAACAAGTTACAAATGTTATTGTATGGACATTCAATGTTATTATCTGAAAAACATTCACGTGCATTTGCCGTTTTAAACCATGTTCGGTGACATGTTTTCAACATTTCGTTTACATAAACATGCATTTTTCAAAAATGGTAAAGAAGCGAAAATTTTCTGCATGTCTGTCTCATTCTGTTTTTTTTTTGTGTGTGTGAAGATTTGCGCTAACCGACAGAACATCAGCGAATGTATAGAGCGAGTGTATATAGTTGTAAATACATCCATACAGCTTCGTTAGGCTGAGCTGCTACCATTAATTAATAATGCCACTAAAACGGATCAATTTGCTAAGATACACTCATTGTTATTCTTGAATTCTTTGCCAGTAATTATATTCAGTATTTGACAACGTTGGCTATGTGAGTTTTTGTTTCATTTTAACTGCGTCCGCTGTGTTTTTTGTCTATGTCACTTCCCCATGCTGATTTCCAATCAACTCACAGTCAAAATGTTTTTTCATCTGCTAAATGCTATAACAGTGCTTTTGATGTCAGCACACACCTTTTTCGTGTTTGCAGTTTGCTGCAATTAAAAGTATCGCAGGTTAACCTTAAACATAATGGCTCAATGGCATGAATATTTTAATATAATTTTTATCAATAGTTATCATAACAGTGGATGAAAAGTTTGAAGACAAGGATGACCTATCGTCGCATGAAAGTGAGGACGAAGCAACAGATGATATCGAAAGGAGGCTGCACACTGCTACTATTGCCAGAGATGTTGTCGGCCTTGGTGAGGAAATTTTGCTCATTACTTTGTTAAAAAACTTTGTGTTGTATCAACTGGAAGGTACCTTGTGTACCACTGGAATGAATGGTCTTAACCTTGTTGATCTATCCAAGTACATCGTAAATATGCAGTTGTTATAAAGGCAGCAATCATTTTAGATTTTCTTTTCTTATCCTATCACCATACTAGATGTTATGCTCCAGTCGAGCAGTGGGAAGCACTCAGTTTGGTCAAGGAAATGTTTAATTGTGGATAGTAAAAGCATTTTATAAAGGCAGTCGCAAACAGTTGGGCGTAAATGTTGAAAGTTTTAGCAAAGACAAAGATCAAATCAACTTAGTTCTTTTTCAAAAAGAATGGTTTTAAATCGTCATGTTACTAACTGTTACTAAGATATTGTAGAGACTAAACAAATCGTGCATCACTGAAGAAATACTTCTTTCAACCACCTTTCGAAGCGTAGTGTTTGAAAGACTTATTTAAATAAAAAGAGTTGGCCAATTTTTACAAATTGCAATTAAATTTTTCATGTGTATATATTTTAAGTACAAATGCTTCAACGATAGTAGTTACGTTAATCGAGGGCTAGAGCTTTACTCACTAACTCAAAAAATTTATTCTTGGTAAGGCTATTTCATGAAAGCGTTAAGTATCTGAATGAATGAGAATACTTGAGCAAAAATTGGCATATCTAAAGATTTATGCCACGATGAGTGTATGCAAATATGTGATAGATATCTCTAAACCCATGAAAGAAACAAGGAGTTACAGATGTTCTTATGTGGCTAAAAGCTTTAAACTTAGTCGAATCTTAGATGTTTAGTTGTGGAGATGTCTTTAGGTCATTTTTACATTCATAGTTTTCAGACCATATTTTTACACGACCTGGTATTTTGAAAATATTCACTGTGTACTTTATTCACTGAATCAATCAGATACGAGTTCTATGACTGGTCACAGGACATTGTATTTGTGTATAGCGTTTGTTGCAACAACAATGTTGAACTTTACGCTGCCCGGCAATATATTTTGTGTTTAAGCTACAACACTGCTGTTTTTTCAAAACAAAGGGTCCAGAGCGGAAGCGTGTCAAATTGTAATCCGAACAGGGGCCAAAAAGTGATCCGATCTGCCGCCAAATCTCGTTCAAAGTGAAGCGATTTTACTTCACGTTCAAGTGTAGTCGTGTGAACGGTGAAAGAAAGCAACTGAAGACTGTACGTAAAAGTCGTCTGATAGAAATTAAAGCGTATGAAGACTTTGAAACTTATCTTTGCATGAGTATTATTGTTCAACTTTATTGTGTTTTTTTAAATAATATGGGAATCTCTCGATCTAGGAATAACTCTGGGCGATGATCGAGATGGGTTTGGATCTCCTGTCAAGACCGTCTTAGAAAATGGCACAGTCAGCAGAGATGGGTCAATCAAACTGAATGACAGAATCTACAGCATTAATGGCGAATGCCTCAAGAATGCTACCAGCTCTCAAGCCAGGTATGCCATTGCCATTTGGCCCCTTTGGTGCTTAAAGCCCAGTTTCCCCCTTTTTTCAATGAAGTTTGTTCTTTGTATCATATTGAAAGTAGAGCTCAATCAAATATAGAGGTTTTCTGGTTAATAAGATATTATAACGTGAAATATCTTTGCAAAGTGCGGAGAAATATCTACAAATATGCTCCTGGCAACTATTCCAATAGTTGTATTATTAGAGGCCTTTTAATAAGATCTAGGATAAGCCTTGCAGAAATGAAATACTAGCAAGCAGAATCAAGCAGCTTGTGATAAGGAATGTGTCGAATTCATCTGGCAAAAAGTTTCTATATAGTAGTATGATATAACCATATCTTATTTAGTATCATATTTTTCTGCTTTTCATGCTATTTGCTAATTTTGTGGTATCAATGCTTATTTCCCAGAAAGAAAATTTTTGTGTAGCCATACACAAAGAAATTGCTTTTCTTATTGAATTGTTTGTGTTAAAAACGAAGTCCTTGAGATACACGGCAATAAGAGCGAATATCAAATTTATGATAAGCAATGCCAGCTACAAAGCGATTTGTGCAAGGATCTCTTTAGTACATTCAATCCCAACGAGGAGGGGAAGTGGAGGGTTTTGGAGGGGAGGAAAAACTGTAATTTTGTCATGTACCCCAACAGGGAGCTGCCTTAAAACATAGCACCCAGTATATGTAGTTTGTATTGCTTGTATAGCAGAATTTGATGAGTAGCTTGCTTGAAGTTTCAAGACAATTCACTCACTCATACATAACTATTCTGCGTAACATGCTCAAGGCTTTATTAGACACCATCAGCTTTTCCTGCGTTCATTGAAAGCAGTCGGCTTAGAAGACGTTTAAGGTTAATAAATGTTTGCTTCTATAGCATGACAATGGTTATTTGATTTCTGATTTCAAACTAAGTGATAATTTTCTTCTCTTTCTAGAGCAATCTTGAGGAGAGCAGCTTTGCAAAAGGAGGTCTTGTAAGTTTCTTTCTTTAAATTTTCTATTTTTTGCTGTTGAATGGAAATTTCAATGTAGCTTGATATCTTTAAAGCGACGTCAAATGCTGTTATATTGTTTACAATAAATAACGAGATGGATGTCGAAAGAATGCAGATTGTTATGCTTGCTCAATTTTTATTTCTGAGGCGTCTTGCTGATTTAATATGTACTTATATTCTTGTATATTTAAGAGTTAGTGGTATACGATTGTGTACAATTTCTATGCAAGGCAATCAAATATTCACTTAGTATTAATGGTTGGTGTTAATCTTTGTCATATCCGAAAAGCTCATGAAAAGCTCAGTTATATCCAAAACTATTGATAGCATTTTACTTTAATCAAAATGTTTTTTTATCGTCATAAAAAGCAAGAAACCAGGGGATATATCAACAAACGATACCTCGTCTATGTTAATATCTACCACCCACGTTGTCATTGAATAGAACATCTATTCTCCAAAAAGAAAATCGCTAACACATTATCAGTTTGGGAGTTCAAGGGAAATGCGTCCCTTTAAAGCTTTCTGTTTGAGAACACTTTTTTGTTGAGATTAAGGTTACTATGTTTTCATGCAGGATAAAATTTTTACCGGGAAAAGTGGTCGAGTCGTTAAAAGAAAAAGAGAAGGTCGAGCAGATTCCAAGAATTGAAGAGCCACAACCGACTTCTGAGAATAATAATGACGAAGAGAGTACTGCGCCACTGGCTGCCCTTAATTCTTTGTCCCCTGTGCCATCTTACGAATTACCTTTTGTGCGCACAGTTGAATTATTCCGTGACCCAGAGTGCAGTCTTGGAATTAGCATTGTAGGAGGACGTCCTCAAGAGGGAGAGGAGCCGAAATTTAAAGGGATATATATAAAACATGTATTGGAAACGAGTCCAGCAGGCCAGAGTGGTTTGCTAAGGACTGGTGATCAAATTCTGCAGGTGGGTTTTCTTTGCAGCTTGCGATACACCAGTTTTGTTGTATTTCGAGCGTGTTTTGTTGTAATTTGTTGTTGTTGTTACTAAAGTTCATCAGAAGTTTATGTTATGCTTTGAGAAGACTGGGGAAAAAGATGATTTAGATAGTCGTCGCGCAGAGTGAAGCTTTTTTGTGGTTGTGAATTCCCAAGTCGAGATTTTTTTGGTAGTTCGCTAAGTTCATGAAAGAGGCTTCGGGGCTTTAAGGGCCTGAACACCCAGACGAAAGTTTTGATAAAGCCTGAAACCCGGGCTACAGTTTGGAAATTCAATACTCCAAACTGGACATACCGCACGCAACAACCTAAAATTGGCAAAACCCGCAACCCATGGGATTCCAAAATCCCCTCCTCGTTATGATCGAATTGATCTCGTACTAAGGAGATCGTCGCATCAATCACTTTTTAGTTGGCATTGCTTACTGTTAATATTGATATTCGCTCTTATTGTCTTGTATCTCAAGGACTTCGTTTTTAACATAACAGTTTGTTATATGGCAGATATTTTGTCTTGTTTCATCGAAAACAACTGCAGTTGGGTCAGTTAGCCATATCACTTCTCACCGTCATCCTTTTTTATCGTCAAGAAATCTAATTAGCCCTGTTCATCGCTTTAAGGTCTACATCCACGGTTTAAGAAATCAGGAATCAGATCGTTGAATTCAGATCGTTGAATACAGATCGTTGAATTAGATCTGTCTTGTTGCGAATAATTCATGTCTTTCAAGAACTTTGTACGGATTTACACGACAGCTGACGTTCTTGATGTATTTTGAGACTTGAAGATAAGAATTTGGTGAACCATTTGGCTTGTTATTTTCCATAATTCAATATTGTAAGGCCTGAATATTTGCACGAAAATCAAATTTACTGAGCCAAGATGTCGCTGGAAAGGATTATGCACGTTAGTCTCTGTCTTTCAGGTTGACGGTGTTGATTTGCGAGACGCCACCCATGAACAAGCAGTCAACGTGATTCGAAATGCAAAAAGTCCGGTTACATTTGTCGTCCGGAGTCTTGCGACACGCTCATTGGCTGATAGTCAGTACATTCTTCATGGGACAAAATCGGACAGTGATGGGTCCAATTCCTTGCAGGTTATTTTTGGGGCACTTTCATTATATGTATCATTATCACATGATCGAAAATTATCGATTATAAATTCATGCTAAGAAAGGTGTGTGTTAAGGTTGTATGCCCGCAGCTTCTACTGTACAGCCATGCTTAAGTCATCCTTTAAAAGCAATTGACAGATACATTAAGTGGCTGACAACCATTATTGGCCAATCAACAAGCGTGATACCAGCCAGGTGCTTCTTGATTGGCCAATATTTGATTGGCAAATGGCATAAGCCGTTTAATGATATATTTCTTTTGCCCTTAAATCTTCGTTAATTTTTCTAGTAGCCTGTTGCTAGCTTCTGGTGCATTGGAAGTTTAGAAAAGAGCTCCTCATCTATACCTTATTATTATAGTTTTGTTTAAAACTACCCTCATTTTTCTTCATTTTGATGTTAATAACTATTTTAAATTTCTGAGCAAATAAGAAGAATCTCAACAAAATTGTCGTCAAAAAGGCCTTCACATCTCATTTTATCTGTTTATTCACAAATTTAAGTGACAAAATCAGCTAGAAATTTTTGTTGCTTGCATGTTGCAGTTGAAGTCAAACATTGAAGCAACGATTTCGAGCTCATCAGAGGAAAGTGACCATCAGCTACTTTTTGCTGGTAAATATTATCATTTGTTTCATAGTTTGTCAACTTGGTAATCATTTCATTATAATAACTTCAAGGGTTTGATTAAAATTCGCAATAATTCACAAAATAAGCAAGCTGCCGGAGCCATATAACATTTAACGAGTCAAACTTGTTGCACTCCAAGAGGCCCTAAATATTAATCACTTGAGTCTAAACACCCCAGTGTCATCAGCTGGCTACACCCACAGTGAGTCCCCTTTCCCTTCTAGTTCTCTTCTCAGCGAGGCTCACTTTGCTAGCACATGTTAATTCATTCTAATTGGCGATAGCTCCTGACGCCTGATTGACTTTCTCTATCCGCTGCTTCAAAGAAAAACAAAAGAACTGTTGCAACTACACATATAGATACCTCCAAAACCCATATGCAACCTCGGTTATTTTCAGAAAGGTGCTATATTCCTAACTAGTGCTATCATAGTGGCCTCAATGCTACGAAGACCCTCGAAAAACTCAAATCGGAGATCGCCGAGGCTCCTCCAGTTTTTATTTCCAGTAGTGTGGGAGCGGCTGTAGCTCCATCGGTGACGGTAGGCAGGTGTAGGCAGGCATACCAATGGGCACGAACCTGCGATCTACCGTGCTGGGTTTTAGAACCTTAACCATTATAGCAATCTGCCATTTCACAGGTGAAAGAGGTCATTTTCTCCTTAGAAGAGCCCCTTTCGCTTTTGCTTGAAAGCTTAACAATTCATTGTCTTTAATGTAAAAATTTTCATATAAACTCGAAACCATATTTTGGCGTATATAAAAACAGGACAGTGCTAAGTTGCAACCCTGACTATCAAGCCTAATGCGATCATAAAAAAACTTGTTCACCTTCGTCTATCGCAATTCGAGCACCATTTGACAGACTGATAAATGGTGAATTTTCTAAACACAAAGACAGGCACTGTAACTTGCTTGTATACCACCTTTGAATAGTTTTTAAACGAAGTTGTTAAAGATGGCCGATTTTTAAAAAAGCGAATTCTCGCGATCTCTGACCCTCTACAAGGATATTCAACAATGTTGATAAGTATGTTCAAATATGTAAGCACGTGTTTTAGAACTTAGCAGGTTTATTTTCGATGATTTTTCAGATCCTCTCGCTGCACGATATCCAGATTTTGATGGCAAGATTTACGAAGTTGAGCTTTCAAAAGGTGAAAATGGAATCGGTAGGTTGTTTTTGAGCTACTCCATGCGCATTTTAAGCATTGATCGCAGATATAATGAACCGTGTTTATTTTCTACCTTATTCTGTGTGATTCATATCTTTTGCGATGACGTCAAACGCCTACACTATCTGTATTTACACAGACATATGTCCAGCACTGGAAACTGATTATTTGGTTTTGAAAAGGTGTCTTTTTTATTTGACATCACTCACGACCCGCTTGTATAATGCAGTTGAAAAAGTCCTATATGAGCAAATTTTTATTAAGGCTTTTTAGACCCCATGCAATTTTTTCTAGGGTGCCATCCTAAAAATTAAGGAAAGGGGTGTGCCCTAGACAACTTCCAGAAGCCACGCTCATGTCCACACCCATTACACTTTCATTGTTTAAATTCTTTGTTGTGTATATTAAGTCATTCAAACCATTAACCGATTCGAAAGGACTGATAGGAAATTGACCCTTCATTGAAAATCTATTCCATGAGAGGGTTGTCAACACAGAGTTCGTCCAACCTAACATTTGCCCTCAAAATCTCTCTGAATTCTAATATGGTGGGGGTGGGGGAGGCAGAATAATACAATTTTATGTACAGTACAGTTCTTTTATCTCGCCGGTATCTGCTAACTCCCTTCTCCCATATGGTATCTTTTAGAAGATGAGCTTTGAATCCTCATTCCGTACGTATAGACCTGTTAGAAATAAAAGTAGTAATATGTACGTTAGGTTGGCGTAGGCGGCCCAGATCGAGGCGTATGTGGCCCTGACCGAGACACAAGTGGCCTTGATAGAGTCGTTGATGGCCCTGATCGAGGTGTTTGTAACCCTGCTCGAGGCGCAGGTGGCCCTGGTCGAGGCGTATGTAGTCCTGATCGAGTCGCTGGTTGGCCCTGGTCGAGGCGTTGATGGCCCAGATCGAGGCCTTTGTAACCCTGCACAGACTTTTATGGCTGAAACAAAACTTTAAGGCTTCGTTATCTTTCTTTATGTGCTTTTTCGCTAGCTAAGGAAGTAGGTTAATAGGCTACAATTCCAACGGCCATCCTGATATCATATAAAGGCCTGCTTTCAACGGCAACTTTTCCCTTATTCCATTATTTCTTCAAAGTTTTATTTTTACAGGCTTAAGCATTGCTGGAGGACGTGGAATGTCATCCAATCACATTTTTGTGATTGAAGTCAAAAGTGGAGGCCCGGCGGACGCTGATGGTCGAATCAAGGTCGGAGATGAGATTCTGGAGGTAAGAAAACTATGAATTAGTTGTTTATAAACTGCAGTTGATTGTTATTGCCTTATCAGAAATATAAAATTTTCATCGCAACCCCTTTTTTGGTGCAGGTGTAGTAAATTTATTTGTTGCTTTAAGGTGAACAACGTTCAAGTCCGTGGTTTAACTCATAAAGATGCGTCTGCCATATTGAGAAAGTGTGAAATGACTGCGAAGCTCGTTTTAGGACGGCCGAATGACCTATCGCATTTCACATCTCTTGTTAGGGAGCAGGTGAGAAAATACTCTTCTTTTTCAACTATCTTGTGGAATGCGTTTGCACGCGAGAAAAATGATCCATCAATGTGTGGTGCATTCTCTGATTGGCGTTAAGGCCATTTTACAGTAAACGATTAATCACTGGAATAAGAAATACGCTTTATGTTAGAGAACGCTTTAAAGGAGCGTTTTACCCTATTTTTTATGACTGGAGATACAGCATCCCATTATTGCAAGAAAGGTTAATACAGGGCTTGAAAATGAGTTGAAGCATTAATCATGGTTTGCTATCATCTAAGTAACACATTATTGCTGGGAAAAGTGAAAATATATATGATGGGCTTAAAATCTAAAGATAGTGATATTCCGTAAAGATTTTCTGGGGATGAACGCTGTATCATATGGGAACTTGTTCGGTTTAACGGTTGTCATGAGTTGCTAGCTTTTGTATACCTACTGTGCCTAACAAAAGCAATATCATTTTCACCTGTTCACATGATGTGATATGATTATTAAAGGAACGACTGCAGGAGAAACCTGAATATGAACTAGAAAGAGCTACACACACACCCACTCAAAGGCAGCCGCTTACTCGAATGAAAACTGTCAGGCATGAGGAAGAAATTACATTAGAAAAGGTAATCTTTTCAATATCTTGTTGTTTTGAAATAAGTTCTGTTATCAGTTTTTCTGACATAAACCCGTCCTAAAGAGCTTTTCCGAAGTGAATATAAGCAACGTAACCTAAATGAAGCTTTTGAATTTTCACCAACCAAAACTGAATGACCTCCTTCTATAACTTAAATGACCAAAATAAAAATTTTTTTGAATCAACGCCAAAATTCATTCATACGTCATACATCATTGCCCCCCCCCCTCATACAACGTTTCTTCTAACACCCTTCGTTCATTTTATCCTTCACTATTAATTTTTAGCATTCTTGTGCACAATTATCCTCCATCCAAGCAGTAGCCTTTATACCTTTCGGTCTAAACCAGTTTTCCCTGAAGGTTTTTCGGTCTAAACCTGTCTTCTCTAATCAAGACTTTGGTATAGCCTATAGTATTGTTTTTTTTAAGGTCCATGGGTAGTCATGTGCTTAGCATACTCCCAATGGCATCGTCATTGTAACTTTGTTACATCTGAATTTCTTCCAGCAAAATGCTTTGTTAGATTCAGAAGATTCATATGTGCTAAGATGGTATTCATCCCAATTTACATTTAGAAGAACCTAAGGCATCAACCAGGGAAAATGACATTGTCTAAGTTAGGGACGATGACAATTGTCTGAATTAACGAATGCTCGAGTTATCAGGTGCTCAAATCATTGATCTAGGAAGCTCTTTTGATGAAGATCTTAATATTTAGCCGCCTGCTTTAATGATTCGCTTGTTTGCTGTTTCAGGGTCCTACAGGACTTGGTTTTGCAATAGGTGAAGGTCGACGAGCACAAGATGGCGAACAGGGAATTTTCATACGAAACATCACTGAAGGAGGTGCCGCTTTTAAGGTTTGTCTTTTTGTCAATAACTACCATGACGAGATTTGCTAACCTGAGAAAGTTGGAGGTTAGAAAATTTTTATTTTTGTTAAATTGCCTTTCTCTAAAATACCATTATTACGGGTAGCATGAAGCTCTACGTTTATGATAAGACTTACATATTAAATACTTTAAATTATGAATAAATGATAAGGAATTTAATGTAATAGAAATGTGTAGCAATTTCTGCAATGGGCGATTTCCAGGAATCGCATTGTTTTGTTACAGACCAGGAAGAATAAAAGGTCCAAATTGAATACTCCACTTTCTTATTTCTGCACAGATTTCTTTGTTTATTTTGTTCTTCTTGATTTTAAGGCCATAAGTCTTAACATTTGGGGTTTTTTATGCAAGTTTTCGTGCTGTGAAATAGTTATTTTGTTTATTATTTGAAGCTATAACAAAAGATAAAAAACTTTTAAAGCAATTTATTTTGAATTGTCCAGGAAACAGAGTAGAAACAGTAACTCCTATGTAGAACATAACATTAGTAAAAGGAATTAAATAAAATCGATTAAAGTAAAGAAATCTAGATCTAATCAACTGAACTTTGTTTTCCGCATGCAAACCTCCTTGTACCGAAATGCTGTGCAAATTGAAGTTTTCCATAATAGAACAATATTAGATTCGGTGTGAAATTTGTAGTTGCTATCAGTGGCGGACACTTGGGGGTGGGGGGCGAAAGGGGGCCACATTTTGTCCCAAATCGTGAATCTTTAACAAGATGCTTGACGTCATATATTTGGTACTTACACCAGGTTATCTCATTTACCAGGACCGTAGACTGCATGTTGGTGATCAGCTGTTGGCCGTCAACGGACATTCGCTCGTTGGCCTTGAACAAGTAGAGGTAACCCTTTTTAATTAGCCTTGATCACCTTTAGACCATGTGGCGACGAATGTTTAAGTAGCACTGAAATTGTAGTAAATTTTCTATAGGATTGATTTATTATTCTGTTTGCAGGCGGTTAATATTATCAAATCTTCAGAAAAGTCGGTTACATTGTTAGTAGCCCGTGAGATTGAGGTTCCTGTTGATGATGACCAAGATACGGAAGAAAGTGAAAGTTCAGCGACAGGAACCCCAAGGAGTCAGCTAGAAATCAGTAAGTAACATCATTCATTATAGATTCAATTCGCGTTTGAGCCGCGTTTGAGCCGCGTTTAAGCCGCGTTTAAGCCGCGTTTAAGCCGCGTTTACACGGTTAGATTTATTAGATTCGATTTACTGAATCAGTTTTGGTTTCCGATATGTTTAAATCGAATTTAAGCTCCGGCACAGTCAGATTTGAGTAAGTTCTAAAATAAGGAACCGAGAAACGGGGAATGCGGAACAGGGGAATCTCTAAAAGGGATTCCTTTCTACTATAATCTTCTGGCATGCATATCACAAGCTCCATCTATTCCTTTTTTCAATGAATGTAACAATACTCTAATTTTAGTAAAAAGAGTTTCAGAAATGTTTATGATACAATCAATGGCAAAAATCGACAATCTTTAAGGTGTACGCTGGATTACTCTGAATTTTATTAAGTAGGACTGATTTTTCCAATCCGATTGGATTTTCGTATCCTATTCAAGTTGAAAATGGACAAGTTGGACATTCGCTAAGTTGGATCCTTCCCTTACCCCCTTGAAGGTCAGACTTAATGGGATTCAACTATATAATGCAAAATTTGTTCAATCGTATCTTAACTTATAGGCACGGAAGATGAACTTCGAAGTACGATATCACCACCAGCGGAAGAAGAGGTAGACAGGCAGTCAGTTTCAAGTTCGCCGCAGTCAAGCTCAGATGCGAAAGATTTCGATGAAGCATTCACAAGACCCATTGTCCCAGGAAAAGAAACGACAATAAAGATCGAGAAGGGCTCGAGTGGCCTTGGATTGAGCATAGTTGGCGGGTCAGACACGCTTCTGGTGCGTATGTTTTTACTGGTCTGCATTTTAAACTAAGATTTATATTGTTGCTTAGCGAGTCTTCTACAGAGAACTTTTCGCGAATGAGCCAGGACAAGATATTAGCTTTGCATGAGTTAGATCGGGCAATACACACATTTCTTATATATGAATACCTTCATTTTTGCGTAGTGTTGATATTCTGCAAATTGTTTAATTTTGAGTCTAGAAATAATTCTTAAGTCATTTTTAAGTGAAACAACATGTGAATTGGTCGAGAAAGAAAGTTCATATCTTTGCTATCGTCTTTCTTTTCATAAAAACAAAATTAATCGAGTGCAAAACAATAAAAGCTATATCTAGTAAGATCTGTAAAATAAGTTGTGACTAGCTATAAGCGTAGCACGAGTAAGATATAGCAATTAAGTCATGTGGTAGTTACTTGGCGGTAAAGTGTTGAAAGCATTGCTGTCTGGAATCTTTACTAAATAACCGAGTCCTAATTCAGGATTCCTAAAAGAATACGAGTAGAGACGAAATTTTCAATTACAGGTTATTTATAACCACCAAAAGGCAGCTACTAAAGAATAAAATTTTGTTGCCATATGCTAAAACTTAGATGCAATTTTTGAGATATTCAAACGATCGCTGGGATTGAGAATTTTTTATGTAGGGCAAAAATATAATCAAAAAATATATCGAAACATAGCCATTACCATATATTTCTGGGACACCTGGTTGTTTATAATCAGGTTGACGATGTGGATTTGTCAAAAAGACGCAATGCTTGCTATTGATAGTTATGTTAGACGTTTTAATGTTACGTCTAGAAATTGTGAACTAGGATATTTACCTTCGTGCAGAGAGCTTTTTTTACAAGAATCTGTACACCCTTAACACCCCTATGTCACAATCCCAGTGAAAACTTTTCTGGTGAGAAATTTCCCAACCGGTGCGTCCCCTTTCGAAAAATCAAATGACCTGGGCATTTTTTCTATTTCCCCATGTACCTTGAAAACTGAGATTTTTCTCACCAATAGTTCTTAATTTTTCTTTTTAAGCCCGATATTCCCTTCCCTGCCAGTCCAAGACGGTTTTTGCTGCCCCAGCCTTATTTACCTGCTATCCAACGTGAAGAAAAAGCTCGCCTGGCTAATTCCACAGGGGTGTTTTTTACTTTGAGGTTTGACTCTTCTGTTTTGCTATTTTTGTATCGAATTTACATCCGCATTGATCATGGCTCTGATGTTACAGGGAGTGATCATAGTACATGAAGTGTATGAAGATGGAGCTGCGTACAAGGATAACAGGCTACTTGCTGGGGACCAAATTTTGAAGGTAGAATTATCCGTTTTATTTAAAATTTGGCTGAAGACTATTTGCGAATCAAAGTCAGAATTTAAGAAATTCTAGCCATTAGCTTCATCAAATGATGAGGCCTAAACTAGCAGCAAAATTTGAGCAAAATGGGCGTTTTCATTTGTGTGTGTTTTTAAGTTTATCTTCTTTTGTGATGGCCTAAAACTGTTTTCTATTCGGCAAAAAAAGTAGTTTGACTTCTTTTCAAGAACAGGTGATGTGAACAAACTGATTTTTCTTTGTCGTTTAGACTTTGAATCAAGCCGTATCAACGTGAGAAATTGAATATGTCTCTGCAGGTGAAGTAGGTATTTTGAAAATAAGGTCGTTTCTAATCGAGCACTTGGCTGATAGTGCAACTTTTGCGATTTGCCTGCAGGTAAACGAGACAAGTTTGAGCAATGCATCCCATGATGAGGCCATAGCAGCATTAAAAAACGCAGACAAAATTTTGGAATTGGCAGTTTTGAGGGATTCGTCGCAGTATTCAGATGACGGTAGGCTGTTTTCTGTGTCATCAATTTGACATCTAACGTATTTATGTGTGATCATTATTTATTAAAGCTTCCAAAATGTTTCAAATTGAATTATCCTAATGTACCAGAAAGACGAAAAATGCTTGTTGCATTTTGCACCGTTTTCGTGTTGCACTCTTTAAGGTATGAAATACAGAGCGTGACCAAGAGAAGCAATGCTTTACGAAGTTGACAATGTTAACATGTTAACTAAGGTAATGGATTGCATACAAAAGAGGAACTCATATTTTCTATATCAGACCAAATAATTTCTATTTCAGACCTACAATGCCTGTCAAAAGTACTTGGGACACCCAGCAATTTACGCTGCATTGGATATCTTTCATTCCTTTCATGAAAAGAAAATTACTACTTCCGCCCCCTTCCCCTTAAAAGAATGTTGATAATTTAGAGAAATATCATAGAAGAGGCACAAAAGAAAGTGCTTCCTAAAATCCTAACCCGTTTGATAGTAAACCAACATTGTTCTGTAGGGGAGAGGGGGGTGATTGATTTTGACCTTGGAAATTGATGTCAGTGTTCCAAGACTTTTGGCAGGCATTGTAGACTCTTTAACCACACGAGTCTTGAACCACAGCATGTGCACAGAAAATCTTGCCTACTTAAAAGGTCTTCATTTTTCTTTTTATCACATTTTTCCTCCCTCGTAGCAGCAAGTCGCCGACCGCTTCTCTCCTCTGTTCCGCATGCTTAAACTTCATGCTATAATCAATTGGCGAATCATGTGTACATGCAATGACCTTACAAATCTTTCTAGCGATTCATCTTTCGTTTCTAGATAATCGTGAATTTGTGGATGTAGAGTTAGAAAAGCCAATTGGAAAGGGACTCGGTCTCAGTATCGTTGGTAGAAGGTAACCTTTTTTTAATGTCATATTTTTTATATGTACTTTTGCGTTGTTCTTGTTGATTTTTTTTAGAATCGATCTTAATGACAGGGTCGCAGTGTATTAACATGCTCCCTGTGTCACCAACTTGTAATTTAATTTATTAGTCATGTTTTACTTTTCAGGGGAATTCATATAAAAGAGCTTTAAATAATTGTCATTTTTTAAAAGTTTTGACAAGCGTTTGTACCAAAGAACTTATTCTCTTCCATTTTAATTGCTTTCCTTTAACAATCTTTCGGTGGCTTTTTCAGGCCTCTTAACTCAACCAGTAACGCCATCGTGTGTCCATCTTGATTTTTCTTTGGACGTGAAAATTTTTTGCAAGCAACCTTCTGTTTTATAGAATTTAAAAATAGCTTCAAAAAAGCAAACATTTTTAATCATTTTACTAAAGCTTTCCGTATGACACTCTTCAGAGTATAAAACGTCAGAATATCGATCGATTCCAAAGCAAAACAGCTTTGTAATTTATCTACATAAGCATGAAAAACTGTTATGTAGACAGAAGGTAATTCGTTTTCACCTTATGACTCCATTGGTAACATTTTCAATAGGCAATCAGCACTAATTGGGCAATCTCAACAGTCATGTGCCCGCGTTTCTGATTGGCCTATTTTGATCCACTACTGTGTATATATATTTCATAGCGTAGAGTTTTCGATCTATGTTCTGACGTTTTATAATCAAAAGAGTATCAGGCGAAAAGCTTTAGTAACATGTTTCAAAATATTTGCTTTTTTTAAAACCATTTTACAAATATTTGTAAGCTTACTATTCCGAACACATTGGCATCTTGAAGAAAGTCAGAACCAAAGCAATGCAGCTTCTTAGATTTCTACCATTGCGAGGCAGAATCAATATAGGCCAGCAAAGCATTTATGCAAATTGTACATCCGCTCTCTTTGATTTTTTATTTGAAAATAGCACGTAAGAGCCGAAACATATCATCTGTCAGTACTATCACACTAAAGTACTTTTCGTCCTACACTCATTAGAGTATAAACAAAGTATAAATGGGACGAGGACGTTTGATTGGTTCTTTTGTTTTTGATCAATCGGATGGAAAGTACTGTAGTATGTTATGTTGTTTAAAATTATGTGGTACCAAAACTTCTTTGGCTTGTTTTCTTACTTTCAGGCTATGATGTTACATTAACTAATTATATTTTTCTGTTTCAAAGGAATGATACTGGCGTCTTTATTTCGGATGTTGTAAGTACAGGAGTCTTTCATTTTCTTACCGTATGATCCCTTTATACCGATAAAGCAGAAATTAATTTTGTTTCAAACTCAGTACTTTTATTAGTGTCTACAATTCAGAATATCTACTAAAGTCGTTTTTGTTAAAACTCCGGGAATGCAATTGGTTTGGGTATAGCGTCCTTAAGCGCTGACGTCATAAAATCTGTTTTTAGAACTTTTTGATTTGGACCACAAAATCTGAAAGACCATTATGAAATAATACTAAATATGTAGAATCAGTGAAATGCATTACAAGTGTGCTGTAACTCTCGATGTATGCCTCGTTAGAATGATATTTTGTATGCCCTTAATTACACTTTGTTCACCTGTCGAAGATTCTTCGGTGCTAAAGCATTAAGGTCGCTGATCCATACTGTGACCCTAATCTTATGCATGGTTTTGTATGAGTGTCCAGATGCTCAGAGGTTCGTTAATGCATTAACGCCGGCTTCCTCTCTTTCTTCAAAACGGTTAATCTCTGTTCTTTCAGGTCAAGGGTAGTGCTGCCGATTTATCCGGCAAGATTTTGCAAGGAGATCAGATTGTCCGGGTTAATGGCCAGGATTTGACAAGTTGCACCCAGGAATTTGCAGCTATAGTTTTAAAGGTATTTCATAATTTCACAGCTTTTGTAAAGTTCAAGCTGATTTTCAATATACATATCTTTTTCCGGTTGCCAATAAAAGTTACTTTGTAAATCTGATCAATATTAACACAGAGCTTGCTTTGAAGCGACAAAAAGAGCAAGTGGAAAGCTTTTAACTCTGCAAATTAGCTATGGGAAATTTAGAAATACACTACTTAGGAATCTTTTGCTATTTTTTTGCCATCATCAGAAAGATTATGGAGGTACTGATTTTAAAACATTAGGACTTTTTTGAAGTATTACGGAACATAGAAATTGAATTTTAGAATTTTAGGAAGCATGTCACGAACTCATTCCGAGTCAAAGGCTACACTCATTAGTCTATGTTTGATGCATGAGAATAAAATTTGAAACTATAATATTCACATTATGGCATTATATTCTGTATTTTTGTATTGGTTACTATCTGGAGGGTAATTATAAGGTCATTGGACAGCTATGCTTATCGGGTAGTGCCTGGTCCTTCCTCGCCATGTATCCTTTCCTTGTGATTTCTACCCCTGAAATTAAAAAAGGCTGGCGAATATGTTGAATCATAGTCAATTGATGATTAGATCTACGTAGGAGCTTGGTTATGTCAGAGACTCGAACCTCAAACCCTCAAAGCCACGACCTTAACTACTGAGCAATTGTTAATTTATAGTCAATTTCACTTTCATATGTGCACTGTTTTGACTACAAGCGTTATCGTCTTTGCAGGGGCTGTCCGGTCATGTTTCCATGCAAGTTGCTCGTTTGCGATCAGTATCGAGAGCCTCATCAGTTAGACGAACGGAGAGCGAATCAGTAAATTCTGCTTCAGTGAAAATGATGTCATCTGTTCCTTCTAAAAATTCAGCACTGGAAGGTCAGGCTCTATTAGCTGCTTTCTTTTTTCTTAAAGGCATTATCATTGCAAGCTATAGAAGTTTTATATTAGAACCGCATGAGAGGAAATGAGTACTTCAGTTCCTTCTAGGAATTCGGCTCTTGAAGGTTCCTATTAGCTCCTTTCCGTCTTCATGTTTTAAGTGTTTTATAATTTGAAACTTTACTCTGCGTTCATCATTTGAATCTATACAGTTTATACAGGACAGATTCCTATCAGCACTTTTTGAGATTTTTGTCTTCGACATGGAAAATCGTCTCATTGTACATACAAGAATGTGAATATTTTAATCGCAAAAGCTGGATTTTAGATTAATACTTGATATGTAACTGACAGAATCACATGCCATGTGACAGTTGATCAAATACATTGCATTCCTTGGTGGGACATTGGGATAATAAATTGTCTGAAAATCAGTGGATGTCCTAGAAGCAGATGTAAGGCAAGAAAAGAAGCATGTATTTTAAATACTCTTTTCTACCATTTATATATTTCTTGCATCTTTTTTGCAGAAATCGAGCCTGGTGTGAGAGTGGTCGAAGTTTACAAAGTATGTACCCATTTGCAGTTTCATTTTCTCCCTTTTGTCGGCGTTTTTGTGATTAAACCGCGATTCTCTGAAGTGCTGTATAACTAGGGTAGCTTTTTTTCGAAGAATTCCTTATATGCTTATAGAAGCTGAGTGCCACTATCCAGATGCAATTTCTGTTTTTCTGCTTACATCTTGTAACATAAGGGAATTGCAATATAAGGGCGTACAGTAAATATCCAGATATGGTTCATTGAATCTTCAACGCCTAAAACAGGGTCGTACTCCGTGTCAGAGCCTTTCGGCTTTACCAAATGCAGTATGGCGAGAAGTATTTCAGTATTTCGTTATAATTGTTTTTTTCTTACATGTTCACGTCTTTATACAGACACTACGGGGTCTCCTTTATGCTAAAAAGTCCCAGAGCATTTGCCTTTGCGCCCTTTTCCTTCTCGATCGCCAAGCTTATGCAAAAAACAACAAAACCCTCATCGTTCCTCACGAGTTAAACTGCGGAGACTAACAGCAGTCATCATTCGGTGCTGGCATTTCTTATATTTCTTTCGTTTTCAGGGACTCAACTCAGTGTGCTCATTGTCAAGAAATGCCCACTTTTTCAAACGCAACAAATTTAACCAATGACTTGCAAAACCGTTTTTATACACATTTTGGAATCTCTTTTAAAGGGCATCTTCTAACAGCATATTCCTCTAAACAAATTACAAATAATTTCGTCCCAATATTTTTGTTCTATTCCTATTTAACCTTGTAGAGGTAAATTTGGACAGCTCATTTACAAAGACAGTGCCCCTAATTCCATAAAACTTATACTCTTAAACTGTTTCAAATCATCCTTACTGCGCTTTGCAACATTTTTACACTTATGACAAAGTCAAGCAGGGGACTGTGTTTATCTTATAGATTCATTTAAATATGTCCTTGATGAACCGGTTCTTTTTAGGGACCAGATGACGTCCTTGGCCTTGGGGTTACCGGCGGTCCTTCTGGGCCCACTGGGGACGGTCGGATCACTATTTCGTACATCCAACCTGGCTCTGCAGCAGGTCGAGCCAGATTAAAGGTTAGTTGCTTATTTTCCTAAACGGATTATTTTCTTCATGGTTCAAACGATGTAACTTTCGTTCGAACAGTCCTTCTACACAGTCCTGCTGAATATCTATCCTGAACTTTCTTGGAATACCGACCCGGATCATTCCTAAGTGAATGATAACCCTATCCCTGTCATATTTGTCAATGGTCACCGGGACTTTATCTTAATCTAAGCTATTTAGAAGCACACTCATTTTGAATCAATACTTATTTATAGAACATTAGAGAGTTCCAGGCGCCAAGATAGTAATTGAAACTAAAAGTTGGTTAAACAGACAGGTAATATGTGATTCAAGGTGAAAGTAGGGCTCCATAAAGACTCTTAAATTGGCCCTTTGTTGAGCACTCCTTAGCTTATTTGTTTTGTCAGTGACAAACGTTGCCTTTCCTAGATTGGGGATCGCATACTGAGAATCAACGGAGAGGCCACCAATCACCTCAGTCACTCTGAGGCAGTCGAGTTGCTGCGCCAGTTGAATGGCCCCATTACCTTCCACGTGTTCACACCCAGTCAAGAAAAACGTCCAGTCAGTGAAAATCTGAACAGAAGTTTTGAATCGTCGGAGTCACCTCGCTCGAACTTGATTGGTTACCAGACTCCATCAATGACGTCGTTGACCCCCAGCCAACGGAACTCCGCTTCTATTGAAAACGTTTCAAGTCGAACCTCTCAGTCATTGGATTCTTTGCCACGTGATCCAGAAAGGCTTCGTCGGTAAGTTTGCTTATTTTGTTATTATGTTCTCTTTGACGTCTTTTGCGTAATGATCGAGATACACAAAATCAAACAGAAAATTTTAAAGTGATATAGTTCTGAAACAAGTAACTGCTAAACAGTCAGAGCCTTATTCACGTAATTATAATTCTTCTATATAGAACTGGCAATAATTCTTTTAGGCCTTCGTTTGGAGTATCATCCTGTTTTCATTTCTCTCTAAACCTTATCCCTTTCTTTCAACTTTTCAGTTTCAATATGTTTTGTAATTGAAAACTGTTTGCCTTTGAAATTTATTTGATGATTGTAGCAACTCTTGTAATCCGAAAAGATTTTCGATTGACAGAAAACTCAAGTAATCGATTATAAATATGCATGTATCGTATTTCCTTTCAGGAACTGATCACAATATAATTCTTAATAGCGGCAGGATCTCCTCTGTTCATAAAAATGCTTCTTGTTTCGGTCAAGATTGGGAAAATCATTTTTTTACTTTAGCCAAGTTTTTGTTTTCGCCAAAAATCATCCTCTATTCAACATATTGCCAAACCTGTTCAAATTAATACCGTAACAAAAAATCATTTCGCGCCAAATCAGGGCTGTCGACCCTATCCTAATTTGCACTTCAGTTGTCCCTCTTTGGGTCGAAAACCTCTCTAAAGCGACCAATTGTATTCATTTGATTTTCAGACTTACCTTCTGTTGGTTGTCTTAAATCGACCACTTAGGCAGCTTCTTGCTTGCAATTACCACTCCGTAATCAGCTTAGAGAATGAATTCAATTAATTCATTATGCTATAACATTAAATTATGTAAAAAGCAAATACCTCCTTCTGGGTCCTGAAACGAGTTGAATATGTTTGAATGTAAGCCAGTGCTTTTAAGCAAGACTTTCGTTGCGTCTGCAGAGCTCTAGTAAAGGACATAACACTGGAACGAGGAAGCGAGGGTCTCGGTTTCAGTATTGTCGGTGGATTTGGCAGTCAGCATGGTGATTTGCCGATCTACGTAAAAACTGTGTTTGAAAAGGGTGCGGCAGCAAAGGATGGGCGACTTAAAAAGGGTGACCAAATCATGGCGGTCAACGGAGCAAGCCTCGAAGGTGTATCTCATGAAAACGCTGTTAATATATTAAAGAAAAGCAAGGGATTAATCACCTTAACAGTATTGTCGTCGTAATCTTGTAATCTGATTTTCCTACCTTAATCTTTCCTATAGTATGGAATGCTCCTTTTGTCTATAGTTTGTTTAAAGTGACAATATCAAAAGGTAGATTATATACTGTAGTGTGAGATCTGTAACTGTGCGTTACCCAGCAGGCTTTTTGACCCCACAATTTGAATTTTTATTAACATACTGTGTTATAATCTCATATTTTGTCGGTGGTATTTCGAAATTGTGCGTTTTCCCTTCATTGTAGTCCGATTCTATTACGTCTGATTTTGTAAAAAGACCCCAAATTTTACACCTTTTCATTACTAGCCAGAATAGTAGCTTCGACTTCAGAACTTAAACGAGTAAGAATTCCAAACACCTTAGTCAGTTTTAGATAAACCCCGCATTACCAAGAATGACCTGTCATTCCACCTCCAACTCTTGGTCGTTGATAATTCAAGCGATTCTAACCAGAGGATGCATCAAGTCGATTCACCGACTCCTCTGTGTTAAAGCTGCCCTGAACATTGTCATAGAACACTGTAATCTATCCTGACTGAATTAGATTTTCAAATTGAGTAAACTTTTAGGAGGCAGGACTTTTTAGCTCGCAGTTGTAATTTCGGATTTAAGATGGATTGGAATGAGTTAAATTGAAATCTCTGTTCTTAACTTTACTATAATTTTAAGTTATGTTGCCCAATTTTGATCCGCATTAGTTTAACGGATCTTTTCCTTTTCTTTTTAACTTTAGACTCGTTGGAAATCTGTTTGTTTCTGTTATTCTCAATTTTAGTACTTTTTATTACTGCATTAGCTGCAGAATTGAATCAGGTGCTTGGATTTTTTTATAATATAATCTTGGCTGTTGTATTATTAAGTATCAAAATTAATTGTTAAGTGTTTTGCATTAGCCATCAATTATTCTCAGTAGTATTAAACAGATTTTGTATTTTCTTCAATCCTAGACAATAGTAATTGGACTATTTCTTCTTATTAACTGCTCTGGTTTCATATAGATTTTTAATAGCATTGGATTCACTCGTTTGAGAAACAGTGGAATCCCTCTCTCTCGACTTGTCTCTATTATCTTATGTTACAATGTGGAGAATTTTGTCATGATATAGGGACCATTTGGTTTAGTTTTATTGTGTTTCAGTGAATATAAAGATTTTCTAAGAAAAGTGTAGTTCTAAGCACTTCATACAAAACACACCTTAAATGTAATCCCCTTACCAACAAACAAATAGATTCTTGTAAGAGAAATAGTCTGGAACTTTCCATCGAGCGTTTGGAAGTGAGTTAGGGCAGAAAATTCCAATTATCGTTCTATTTCAGCTTTACCTATCAGTTAAGGCTCTTTAAAAACATTAATTTCAATCCACCAGGAGGGGCGTGTTGGCTTAAACCGCCGATGGATCTCGGCAAGCGAATAGGACTGGTTGATAACGTTTCCCAGTTGCAGCAGCGCTCTAGCTTCAATCGCGTAGACCTTTTGATTGAAAGCATTCATGCTGGTGTACCACAAAGGTCATAACTCGGGCCTCTGCTGTTTACGCGCGACCAGACCAAGGAGACAACAAGATGTAAAATCGATGAAATCAACCCGAAACCAAGAATTGTACATTTCGTTGATTATTATGGACTTTTTTACCTGGTGAAATCTGACATTGAGAAACTGAATTGAACATGTTTGCTGATGACACAAGCCTTCGATATCACTCAGCTGGATAACGCTATCAACATCAACAATGCAACAAAGATTGAAAATGGCTGAGGCAACAAGCTTGAACTTGTTGTTAATTGTCAATTTCAAAGACCTTTGAAATCTTGAGATTTTCGAAATGGTCCCTCAGCTGGATGTGAGGAATGTATCACTTTTTCCAAACACCGTGCCAAACACCAAACATCTTTCTTAATGTTAAGATTTTTAAGGATTTTCGGCAATTTTTCTAGAATTTAACCGGATTTTTGCCAAAGGCGTACGCGATTCTCGTGGAGTGGTATGCTTCCTTCTTGAACTGAACAGTTTGAAGCAATATATTGCTTATTATACACATTTCTCTGTTGGCTCAAAGAAATAGTGATCGATCATCAATCTAATAAAAAGTAATTTTTAAAGATTGTGCAGTGTCTGTGTCTCTAAACGTGTCTCTAAAGCATGGCCCCGATTTCTAGAAATTTCTAGATGTCTGTTAAGGAGAAAATTTATCCATGTAGTCTGCTTTGGAATATTCTGATTTTGGTCATATATGTGCTTTCCAAAAGGGTTTTTATGAACGGGATCCAGTGACTCACTTGCAATACCATGCGCCACAAACATTCAATCAATGGTGTTTTGTCCTTCAAGTTGACAAATTCCCCGCCTTTTCCTCTTATTTGCCGAAAGGATATCTCTTCGAAGTCGGGTAACAATCACATTTTGTCCCAAGCACCAATCAGCGTGTCTAATATTGTTCCTGAAACCCTTCAGTGAATCGACAACAGGAAGTCGGCATTCTGTGAAGATAAAAGTTTGTCTGAATCGAGTTAAACCTCCAATGCTCAATCTTTGACCAAAAGATACATTGGCCTATTTGGTTGGCGAGGGAAAGAAGAGACTAGCATCGAAATGGCTGGTGTGTTGCTTGAGTCGCTCACAAGAAAACAGCTTATAATTTTTACCGGTGTTGCGTTGGCTTCAGTCGTTATATTTTTTGTTCTTGGAGGCACTAAAGGTAATGTACCTGTCCGGTGCTTTTAAGTTGAGAATTTCTAATTTGTTGCACTCATGATCCGGAGTCCTTATCCGGTGTTTAACTGGTGCACCAAAAGCAAATCACGGTTCTGGTAAGCTGAAATCTTATCTATGTGTGTACTTTGTCAGCTGTTGCTCTATTCTCAAATAAACATAAGCACAAATTTTATTCACTAAACATTTTTCATTGTTGAATAATAACACTGTGTTGAGTGGAGCGATGAATGAAACTCTTACAAGCACGATTGCGCTAATTTTAATTAAGTGGCAATTCAAGATTCTTTGCATTCCTAAAGTCACTTTTTAAAATGTCATTAACTTGCAAATAAGCTAGAGCACATTCAAACTGATGCACATTATAGATAACCCCCGTCCCACAAATAATCAACACTTTTCACACAAAACTGTTTTTATGAAAAAAATTCCAAGAGATAATATGCATAATCGAAGTAAGTAAAGCTAAAATTATTTATCTTTATTTCTTGGTATTTCTTGGTAATATAGAAGTTATGCCACTAAATTTTTTTTGGCTGGATTTTTTAAAACCCAGTTCCAGGATTAACTTTGCTATTAAAATTCCCATCTGTCTTCTGCTGGGGGCGGTATATTTTTTGATGTGAAGAGCACCTACTTGGTTGTCCTTTGAATTTTGAACACGAGAATCTGTGAAATTCATTGATTGCCAAAAACTAATGTAAATATCCCTTTTAGGCAATGTATCAATAGTTTTTATAACTGTTTAAATTTAATATTTTTCACAGTATCGACACCTGCTACTGCATTACTGCACATTGCAACTCCATGTAACTCCAAGGGAAAGCCATGGGGTGAAGCATGGTATCGGAGAACATATACAGATGGCAGCAAAGAGGTGAAGGATGCCAATGCTCCATGTGAAGAGGGTATGTTTCTATGAAATGATAACTCACAAATTTCATTAAATATTCGGTGAATATTGAGGGTGATGAAGGGATAAAGCTTGACATTTAAAGATATGAAAATTTGTGAATCATGGCCCCAGAATGATACAGAAAATTATATTAAAATATGATGAAACAAAACTAACCAATAAATTTATCGAATGATAAAACAGCAACATACAACCAAACAAATGGCAACTCTTCAAAGCTAAGCTGTCATTTCTCTGAGATCCTATGTTCTTTATGTGTTTCTAATTTGTTCTGTAAGCTCATACATTTGTTTTTGAATGATTTTAGATATCAGGCAGTGTTAAGATATCCGAGTGCTCAACATGTAAAAGCGAATTTTTAAAGCACTCATCTGTATAGACAGGTCATTTGTCCTGGGCTAACTGCAGGATGTGGTAGATTGTCATGTTTCTTTACTTGCTGCTTTTAGTCTTCTTAGTGTTTCCCCAAGGCAGTTATTTGGGGGCTGGGTAGAAAATACCAAAGCTACCATAATATTTTTTGTTTGAACCATCAACTTTAAGGGTTGAATTTATAGGTGTTCAATATTTCTCTTGTGCATATGCTTTCTGCAAAGTACAGTTTTGTATTTTTTGTGGTGACAGTAACATTTATTGAAAGCTCATTTGATGAGTCAGCATAGTGTACATAGCGTTTGATTAATTCACTTTCCTTTTGTTTAGTGACAATTGGCAAGATCAATAGCAAGATAGGCATCAGTGATGTCGTTTTCAGTGTTCATATGCCTCATCCTGGTCTTGAATTCAGCCCCTATCAACAATTTGTGGTTGTTTCAATGAACACAGAAATAGATATGGAGTTTGACGCAAAAGTTGGTCCTGAAGTATTCAACCGTACTAAAGGTGTGATCATTTATTGTTTGTTTCTCACATTTAATCTTACATTAGCTCACATTAGTACGAGGATAGAAAGCTAGATAAAGATATCTTTAAGTTTACAGTTGGAATATATGTGGGGCTAAACTTAAAACCTTTGTAAATAGAGCTTTTACAGTGTTGCAATATCTGACCTTTTGTTTTCTATAAATAGATTTAGATGCCAAGTTAAGTTGAATTGTTCAGCTAAAAAGTTATTTTGCATTTCAAGTTTTCATCACACACTGGCTGATGTTAAGATTTAAGTTAGTTGAAAAAAATGTGGTTTGTTCAATCTGTAAATCACTTACTTCTGTGAAAGTGTTGCAAAATGGACTAAAGTTTTTGTAAATATTAACTTGTACCTGTCAAATCGTGCCTTTTTGTGTAAGTTGTATGTAGATTAGCAACTCTTATGGAATAAAATCCTTCATTCTTATCTGGTTGCTTTAAACAATATGAAATATTTTATGGTCATGTTTGAGTTAATGAGAGCATGCATGCTGATAGGTTAAATATTGGTTAGCTGTACTTAATCTTGTACAACTCTGGGTATTTGAAATATATTGAAATTTGAAACTGAAAGATGTTCATCATTGTAGTTTTGTAAGAATGTGCTAAATGGGTTGAGTTTTTGATGAATTTTTTGCTTTTATTTAGAATGTACCATTTACTACAAAGCAAAAGTTGGATACAAGGATAAATTATCAGACAAATGGACACTGTATAAACAAACTGACAATGAAAAAAGACCCCTGAAATGTCTGCTTACTCAGTATCGCACAGAGGTAGAATTTCCGTTTTACTTTGATTTACTTTGATGTGACATATAATTTTTTCAAATTAGTTTGTTAGCATAGCTGAAGTTTGTTAGCAACATAACACAAAAAATTGCAATGATTAATCTAATGAAAAACACTCTTGAGAGGCTGGAGTTCCTCTTTAAATATATGTATCACTAATATTTTAATTATGTTGCGTATAAACTGTACCAAAGCAAGCTAAATAATTTATAAACCTTTGTTTGTTATCTACAGGTATGATCTAAGCAATAACTATTATTATTAAAGGTGCTGTGTGTTTTCCCTGTTTGAATAACAAATCATTCCTGTTATTCATGGCTCGCGATTATTTTCAGGGTGACAAAATGGAGGGCTATTACACTTGTGAGGACATGCATTTCCTGGAAATTGGCAGCATACAACATCCGTATTATTTAATAAACATGCAGCTGAAACCAACTACCCGGTGCTTTGGTGTTTTGAAGGGACTGCATTTTGTTGTGAGTATATAAGTTTATCATTTTTGGTGTTGCAAAAATGGCAAAAATAACGCCAACCTTGAAACTCCTTTTATACCCTAATCTCCTTTGAATATACTAAAGAATAATTCACAGCCAAGAATTTTGAAGTTTGTGATTTTTTGGAGTCCCGTTTGGGATTTTCATTGTAGCGTTTCTTATACTTTCGATACCGTTATCTGTAGGAAATTCACCAGAATGGATCATACACAAGGGCCTGGTTCATAGCAAAAACAGTTCTGACTCCGTTTCTCATAGCAGCATTAATATTTTTCTTCCGCCGCATCAAGGCCCAGCCACGGGCACCGATCCTACTGGAGAAGTGAGTATTTTATGGTTTCTGTTTCGTTTTACGTGATGTTTTGTTACCTTCTTATATTTAATGAAATGTTCTATATTTAATGAAATGTTCTATATTTAATGAAATGTTCTAATACAATGAAGTATTCTCTACTTTGAAAGATGAGATGTAGGCAGGATAGAGGCAAGATAGATACTGAATCGGGACTGCGAGAGGGCTACAAGAACGCCAACCGCCCCCTTCAATACCTCCTAAGAAGTACTTTTTATCATTGCGGTGCAGATACACCTAAATATTTTCTAGCTTTGTAGAGGGCTGAGTCTTTCAAGAAAAGCACTCGTCAAGTCAGACGTTAAGACATGTATTCGGTTCGCGTTCGACCGTCAGACACTGTGTTAATGATTTTTGTTTAATGCCTGATGATTTTTGAACCATACCACTAATCTTTCCGATTTTCTTTGCATCTGTTACCTGTGACATTCTGTTTTGCAGATTGACAGCTGGGTTGGGGTTGTCCCTTCTCTTCTTAGTTTGTAAGTTCGTTTTCATCCATTCCTTTTCTACTATTCAATAACTTTACATATTTTTTTAGCGTAGAAACTCTTACAAGCTCGATAATAGTGATTGATTCCTTTTATACTTCTGTTCGTTGTTCATGAATACTTCTGCTAAATGAGTAATGGTTCATAGCTTTTTATGACGAGAGACAAGCATCACTTTAAAGGCACTATGTCCCATCAGTCGCCTGTTCAGGGTTAACAACAGGCTCTGCGATGCGTTTATTGTAGAGAAAACGTTTATAAGTCCCGATTTGCCGACTGGAAACTTAGCAATAGCTTATTGTATAGTCCAACCAATGGAAATTTAAAAGGTCATCGAAATTTGTTGGGAAATTGTGCCTTTAAATTCGCTACAGCTTTTCATTGTCAAGATTTCATTCACTTGATGTTAGTTAGCAATCTAAAATGTATAATCTACCAATTTATTTTTCCTCACTTTTTAGATATCTAGCTTTTCCTTCTTAGTTTTGGCATACGTTCATTTGACGATAATACCTTTTTAGTACCCATTGAATGGCTTACAATCGCATTTGATATGCCGTACATGTTGCTACTATCAGATTTGCGCCAAGGCCAGTTCTATGCCTTCCTTCTATCCTTCTGGTGCATTTTCGTCGGGGAGCATATTTTAGTAAGTATATTTATAGAGGTATATTCAATTAAGGATGATATTATTTTTTATCACAGGTATTGGTTTACTTTCAACGTGTAAAATATAGAATTTGTTGTATTTGTATTTGTTACTGCCAAGCTGCCGTAGGTAGTTTTTTGGACTCTGAGAAGCGTGGTTTTCCTGGTCCTTCATCTCGATGTGACCATTCCTCATGATTCCTATGCCTGGAATATCAGAGAGCTGGCGATGCTCCTCATTACAAGTGAAATGATGGTCATGTCTCTGAATCGAACCACAAACCCTTGGATCTTTAGTCGGTGGCCCTAACCACTGAGCCATTATAACACCTAAGAATTATCTGTGTTATATTATCTCTGCCCTGTGTTGACAACTGTCTTTTTCTGTATACATTAAGTGAGCCGTTCTTTATCGTTTCTGAAACTGTTACATAGGTTCTGTGGTCCGCAGCCGCATGATTTTCTAAGAGGATTCCCAGTAAAATTCACTTGTCATCATGGATGGCCTTAATACTTATTCATCACTGCATAAAGAACCCAGGGTTTTCTAGTCAAATGGAGTCATCTTATTTTGGCTATGAGCCATCTATTTCTCGAAATTTTCCTATAATCATGCCACCCAATGTCTAGCTTCTAGACGTTTCTAATGTTTCTAAAACGTCCTTTCAATTTGCAAATTTTGTGAATCTAACATTCGTTCTTTATGTCTCTCCCAGGATCAACAGAAGCGTGGAACTTGGCGGAATTATAAATGGCAGCTAGTTTTTGTCATTCTCGCTTGTCTTGCTCTCCTGATCTTTGATTTGATCGAAAGGTGAGCGTTTTATCTATATGTTATCATTGCAGGGTTATGGTTTAGCACAGAGTAAATCTTGTCATTCTGTTAACCTTGTGCTCTGTTTCAAAACCCGATCTTTTGCTTTGGTTTGGAAGCTACTCACTCTTGGCATATTGCTGTTGGATCATATTCACTGGCTTTGTTAAACTTTTTTACAGCAATGCCGGGCAGAGGTTTTACCAGATTTTTAAAGGACCAGATTTAAATAGTCATATGTTTTTTATAAAAAGTCCTGAGCTTTTGACTTTCTAAATCACCTATTATGTGACGGTTCTAGACTCGCTTTTTTAAGTATTGAATATAGTGTATTAAGATGAGGAACTGTAAGAATTAAGTTTCCTACAATCAACACATTTACACAATGTGGTCAAGACTTAACAGAGTTTTTTTCTAGGGGAGTTCAGCTGCATAACCCTTTCCATACTATTTGGAAGAAAGATAATGGCGAAACTGCTGCTGTATCTTTTCGAATAACTATTTTAGGATTATTCGATATTGATGTTTAATTGCGTAATACTGATCACGTAATTTTGATTTACTGATTATAGTGATTAAGTATACTGATCAAGTAATTTTGATTTACTGATTATAGTGATTGAGTATACTGATCAAGTAATTTTGATTTACTGACTATAGTGATTAAGTATACTGATCAAGTAATTTTGATTTACTGATTATAGTGATTGAGTATACTGCTCAAGTAATTTGATTTACTGATTATAGTGATTGAGTATACTGATTACGTATTATGATTTTCTATCGGGTGAAATGTCTGAGGTGAAATTTTAGGACAGCCCTAGCAGTGATAGACTGGTAAGGATGACACTCGACTGGAGTGAGACAAACATAGGTTTTATTCTGGGTGGTCGACAATTGTTTACAGGTGAAGTAATAATTATTTAAGTATTGTAACATGCCAACAAACTAGTTTTTGATTTATGGTAAATACAATCAAACGAAACTACGGGCCAGCCTTGTATTCCCCTGTTGAATAATGTAATGCTGTGTTTCAATCAAAACTGTTTCAATTGATGATGTGTTGCTTACATTGGTTTGTTTGCTTAACGAAATTCAGAAAGGCTTCATCATTGTCGCTGCCATATCTTCAATTCTTTTTGTTTTATTCTTCTTTGGTTTGGTGATCAAAGTTTTTCGACACATGAGCGTCAAGGGCAACGCGCTTCCAGTTATGCAAGAAGCACGGAGGATATACTATCAGGTACTGTATGTCTTTATTTCACGACCATCCTTCTTAGAGAAAGTATACTGTCCGGCAGTGCGTCTCCAAAGTGCATCTTTAAGGTATGGCTCTACAATGACAAGACAAGCCCCTTATGGCCCAAGAAAATGTTCAACTTTTAGAAGTTTTGTTAGCACAAGAAAAGGGTTTTCATCAATCGAAATTTCTCAAAATGTTCTCGTTAAGTGGATAACATCTTATTACCATTGCCTGATGATCTCATTTAGCACGAAACTTGAGGTTATATCTAAAAATCGCCCTTCTCTATACACCAAAACGTGTATCTCAATATGTAAAAGCAAAGAAAAACAATTTTCTGCGCGTTAACTACGGAATTGACAAGCTGCTCGATTTTGAAAAATATACGATTTCACTTGAGAAAAAATGTCCTAAAATGCCCTAAATGTCTCTAGGAGGTCCGAGTGTCCTAAAGATACGTGGGGGATTTTACCCCCTGCCTTTTCTTTTCAGTGTGAAACTGTAATTTATATGAACGTCTTGCAGGGGGTGATATACCGATTCCGTGCTCTCGTGACAATTACTCTGATGTGTGTAATCATGACCGTTTTGTGCTTCGTTTTGGATCAAGTAAATGAAGGCCATTGGAAATTCATTGAGGACAACCCGGTCAATGACGTCGTTCAAGTATCTAGTAGGTCTTTTTACAGTTGTAGTACCCACATTGTTATGAAATCACCTTACCCTTTTTCACCGATTTTATTTTGCCCATTTTCTGGAATTTCATGGTTTTGAGGAGTTTTCTTTTGAGGGAGCTATAATAGCTATGTGACGAAGTTATTCCTCTGAACCTTGGGTGTACTTCTGTGAATTGAAGAAGCGGAGTACTCGCCGAGTTTATCGCAGAAAACAAAAGCAAGAAGAAGAAAGGGTCTCTTTGTTAAATAAACAAGGAGGCTGAGCCTCTTTGAGCACACCCCCTTACCCCTTTTAAAGTTTCATAGTAGTTTGTATAGCATGGTATGTATAGTATAGTATGTATGGAAAGATAAAGGCCTGCGGGTTTGCAAAACCGCCTTCTCTCTTATCGTTTACTTTGGTTTTTACCCCGCCTGCTAAGGTTTTTACTATTGTTCTTTCTAAGGCGCACTGCACTTTGGGACATTTGGAATGTGGAACGTCTATGTCATATCAGTGTTGATTCTCTATTCTCCAAATGAAGCCACCGATTCATCTACAGGTATTGGCTCAACACTTACCATTCATTTTCGCAAACTGTTTCTCATGGCTGGTTGTAGAAGTATCTGTTCAAATTCCGATCCTCGGTGTTATATTTCGACAGCTAATCTAGTTTTAGATCAGTGTCAGTTTTATTCAAAAATTTAACTAACTCTGTATCGCAGAGAACGTTAGCTTTTTGTTTCCAATGACGTAAGAATTGTTGTAAGGTCTTTTAAGCTACTTGGGGGTGTTAAACACTTTATCTGTAATATGCAATGAAGAAAATGTCCTGCAACGAAATCTTGGGGTTGAAAACTGGAATGTTTGTAAGTCTACAATAAGTCAAGATATTTATTTCGGAGAACTGTCTATACACAACACAAGATTTATGAAACCGTTGCAAAAAAGTCTTGTTTTTAGCAATTTTTTATGCTAATTGATTTTGCGAAGTTCAATGTCTGCACAGGGTAAAAAAAACCAGAGTAAAGCCACGCCTTCTATATCTATTATTATCTAAGCAATAAGCCTAGTTTTGGACGGGGACTTGCCATTTCGTTTCGAAATTTGGACCCATAATCTCGTACATGTCTGAAAAGATGTGACCTATAATTCCGCAAACATTATGAAAACTATGCCCAAAAATTCCGCTAGGCAAGGAACATCTTTCAAATGACAACAAAATCATACAACTAATTTTGTACGTCCTTTTCCCTAAAAAATCCCAATATTACATATATTTCATACCTTCATTTCTGACTGGACATTCACTTTGCTAATGCTGAATTTCCCTCCTAATAGTTTTGCAATGCTTTTCTATAATGGTACCCATAAATCTACATGTTTCTTCAAAAAGGTACCCCTAATTTTCCATGTCCTCTTTATGCAGAGTTTTCCAATGTCTGTGAATTTATTTGTGTTTTTAGTACGATACAGAGCTGCCAATGCGGAGCAACGAGAACATTTGACAATAGATGATCCTTCAGAGGACAGTCTCAACGATGCTTCAGTTTCAACTGTGTACCAGTTATCTGGCCAGCACATTAAAGAGTAGAGGGTGCCTTTGAATGTTCAACTTCATGTTGGTTATGAAACGACAGAAGCAAAACCGCAGCCCATACTTCAGTTGCAAAATGCAAAAAAATAATATTTTGTAGTTTTTCAATATTTTAAACGCAGTGACGAATTTTTTTCTAAACAAACCGTATACACAACAGAATCACTAATGGTACCGTTGAAAAATGTTGGTCATACCCAGTATATTTATATCATGTAGCTTAAGCATTCGTGCTTCGATACTGGTGTATCATACCTTAGAATTTGTCAATTTCTTTAGCACGAAGATTCGATATGTTCATTCTGAATTACGAATGTATCCAATGTCGTCTTTTAAGCTTTTGTATGCAATTATTATTTGCAATTCTTTCTTATATTTTATATGATATGAAATTATTCCCGTAACTCTGTCCAATATCCTTCTTTGTGTAAAATCCTGCAAAGCTGTCTGTATTCCTGTATTTTGCGGTATATGTATTTGTATTCGCATTTTTTTGAAATTTTGGAACTGTTTTTGAAAGAAAAAACTGAGGGTTTTAGAAATAATGGTGAAAATATTCCCTTTTTGGGGAATATTTTTTTGGTAATTAATTTGGGAGGCTTATTTTGATTAAAGAATGTCTTGAGGAACCGATCTGCTTGAATCCAGGCGCGTGAATCACGAGGTGTGGTCAGAGCGAGAGGAAGGGCCAGGACACTGCTCGATAAGCATAAGCTTCTTAGTGTCCTGAAAACTACCTTTGGATGCTAGGTAGAAACAAATACAAATAAAAATACCTCTAAGATTATGAAATAAATCCTGAAATTAAATATTATGAAATCATATTGATTATCACAACCAACTTAAAGTAGGTACTCGAAAATGTTCTTGGGCTTAGTTGTTATTATAAACGAACGAATATAAATTTCAGTTCTCTAATTATGCTACTGGTAAAACCTCTTTTCAGGGCCTACATATAGGGGGCTTAGAGAGTTCATGGTTTATCACTTTTTGCTAAACAAATTATTTAATTTAACTGTTTTCATTTAGATAAACCACCTGTCGACCTAAACAAATGAATCCACAGAAAAAAAATGTCGGTAGAAAAATTGCCACATCGGGGGCTAGAGGGATAACAGGACAATTTCTTTACTTTGCTACCCCCACCCCTCCAATTTAGAATCGGTGGTGCGTGCCCTAATTCTTGAAGTCAGCCCGCCATTCTTGATTTTGGGTTGGTGTCCAGGCCCCCAAATAATAATTCTCTGGTTCAGAGGCGGTTATTCAAGAGAAGGCGCGAAGATGTCCGCTGGAATAATGTGTTTTGGATTTGTTATTTGTCTAGATTAACTCAACTTGGTAAGTCAATGCCCTCATTAATGTTATAATTTGTTATTTTGACGATAAGCTATTTCCATAGTATTCTCTTGACGCGAGAGGTTGATTTTGGCAATAGATATGGATCCGAGAATTTAGGCCGTTGCATCGGAAGTATTTAAGTTAAATATACGACTTGTTTTTTTAAATTTAGCATAAATGGCCTGACTTCTAGCACCAGAGGAAGTAGAAGAAAAGGTTTCAGAGCTTTTAGCTGCAATCTAAGTTTGATGACTAGCTGAGACAGTGGTGGGAAAAAGCTTTGGCCTAATGTGAAAAATTACAATGAATTGCCTGATGATGAAGAGATCTAAGAGAAACTGGCAGCTACACTCGTGTTTTCTGTTCATTACATGTTATCAACAAAATTGTCATTTATGCATAGACGGCAATGTCAGGGCATCAACTTGAAAAGCAAAGTTATTTTGTTACAACAACTCTGAGGAGTATTACCTACAATAAAAGATTTCAAAATAAGGCTCATGTTTAGTGTACATCGGAACTACGATCAATGTAAACACTAAATAAATCCATCCTTGACTAACGTGTCATTTCCAACCCAGCGTGTCTTATTTTACGTGCAGAGAACACGGAGCCAGTGAGAGAGACAGTGTGTTGCCTGTGTAACTCTGATGTGAACTGAACTGACTTACATAAAAATTAACATGCTTATATACAGAAATGAATATCTAGAATTAACACTAATGATGTAAGGAAAACAAAGGATAGGAAGGGCTAGGCTAAGTGTGAATAGTTTATGAATTGAGATTTAGGTAGATGTGTAGGGTTGATGATGGCCTAAACAAAAGAGAGGAAATGTTGACATAGTGATATGCTCGTAGCGTGTAGTGATGAGGTAGTGATGTGAAGAAATTACTGTAGGTAAAATAAACAAAGTAGAAATGGATGGCGATAGGTGAGGAAAAATTAGAATGAATGGAATCACTACATAGCTCCCCCCCTAGAATGCAAGCGATAGCGAAGGATTCGATAAATGTTAGTATGTGGTTAGCTGCGAATAATTAAGACGATAGAAATATACGTATAAAAATTACTTAAATGTTTGAATGTCTATTTGTTCGTTGACTTGCTTTCGTGTACCTTGCGAGGGTCTGCAAGCAGCGATGAAAATTGACTTGAATTTGCGACGTAGTCCGATGTTGAGCAAGGTTTTGTGAATAGGTTTACCAGAAACCTGCGATGAGTGAATTGCCAAGCAGGGGCGGACACTTGGTCAAATATTGGGGGGGGGCAAGCCTATTGTTTTAATAAGATGACGTCACATTTCCCATTGTTTTAGAACAAAAGACCATTGTTCTCTAAAGTATTGGGGGGGCGATCGCCCCCCCTCGCCCCCCCAAGTGTCCGCCACTGTTGCCAAGGTTTTGTGAGTCGGGTGACCAAGAACCGGTAGAGTTGTTTTGCCAAGGTTTCGTGAGTCGGATGACCAGGAACCGGGATGCGAGGGCACTGCAGTGAGTCGAGTGCGTGGATGCCAAGGTTTTATGAGTAGGGTAACCAAGAACCTGCGAAGAGCGTGAGACACTGCCGAGCACCGGAGAGTGCCGTGGAGCTGCCGAGGATGTGAGGCGAATAGAGACACTTGTGTCCGAGTGCTGTGTTGTCTAGCTGAGCTCGAGTGTGTGACAATCCAGTTGAGTGAGTGAATGTAGCTGACAAATTCGGTTGAGTTGAGTTGGGTTGAAAATAACGTCGAAGGATGTTGTTTTTAACCATGTCGGTCACGTCGTGGTCACCATTTTTAGTGTACATCGGAACTACGATCAATGTAAACACTAAATAAATCCATCCTTGACTAACGTGTCATTTCCAACCCAGCGTGTCTTATTTTACGTGCAGAGAACACGGAGCCAGTGAGAGAGACAGTGTGTTGCCTGTGTAACTCTGATGTGAACTGAACTGAACTTACATAAAAATTAACATGCTTATATACAGAAATGAATAGCTAGAATTAACACTAATGATGTAAGGAAAACAAAGGATAGGAAGGGCTAGGCTAAGTGTGAATAGTTTATGAATTGAGATTTAGGTAGATGTGTAGGGTTGATGATGGCCTAAACAAAAGAGAGGAAATGTTGACATAGTGATATGCTCGTAGCGTGTAGTGATGAGGTAGTGATGTGAAGAAATTACTGTAGGTAAAATAAACAAAGTAGAAATGGATGGCGATAGGTGAGGAAAAATTAGAATGAATGGAATCACTACACATGCACACACAGGAAGTGAAGAAATGGACAAGGGAGGCTTTTTTGAGCAAGCTGAGAATAAGAAACATATTTTCACCATAAGTTTAACATGTATTTTGTGCTAGGTAGGTTGGTTGTATTTAACAACATAGGGCATTTGTAGTGACTCTGCGTAGGCCTGTTTACGTTAATTTTTACTTTTCATTCATTCCATCATTTTCCCACATTCACACATCGCAGCACAGGCATCCTCTACGTCACTCTCATATCACGCATTCGCTAATCCCTATTGTCTGTCAATCTTTGCCACGCTATTCAATTTACTCATCACCTTTACTCGCCCTTCCTATCCTTTGTTTTCCTTACATCATTCGTGTTAATTTTAGATATTCATTTCTGTATATAAGCATGTTAATTTTTATGTAAGTTCAGTTCAGTTCACATCAGAGTTACACAGGCAACACACTGTCTCTCTCACTGGCTCCGTGTTCTCTGCACGTAAAATAAGACACGCTGGGTTGGAAATGACACGTTAGTCAAGGATGGATTTATTTAGTGACTGCATTGATCGATGTTCCAATGCACACTAAAATGGTGACCACGACGTGACCGACATGGCAAAGACCACATTCTTCGACGTTATTTTCAACCCAACTCAACTCAACCGAATTTGTCAGCTACATTCACTCACTCAACTGGATTGTCACACACTCGAGCTCAGCTAGACAACACAGCACTCGGACACAAGTGTCTCTATTCGCCTCACATCCTCGGCAGCTCCACGGCACTCTCCGGTGCTCGGCAGTGTCTCACGCTCTTCGCAGGTTCTTGGTTACCCTACTCATAAAACCTTGGCATCAACGCACTCGACTCACTGCAGTGCCTCCGCATCCCGGTTCCTGGTCATCCGACTCACAAAACCTCAGCAAATCACTCATCGCAGGTTCCTGGTAAACCTATTCACAAAACCTTGCTCAACATCGGACTACGTCACAAATTCAAGGCAATTTTTATCGCTGCTTGCAGACCCTCACATGGTACACGAAAGCAAGTCAACGAACAAATTGATATTCGAACATTTAAGTATCTTTAATTCGTAATTTTCTATCTCTTTAATTGTTTGTACCTAGCCGCATATTACAATTTATCGAATCCTTCGCTATCGCTTGCCTTCTAGGAGGGGAGCTATGTAGTGACTCTGCGTAGGCCTGTTTACGTTAATTTTTACTTTTCATTCATTCCATCATTTTCCCACATTCACACATCGCAGCACAGGCATCCTCTACGTCACTCTCATATCACGCATTCGCTAATCCCTATTGTCTGTCAATCTTTGCCACGCTATTCAATTTACTCATCACCTTTACTCGCCCTTCCTATCCTTTGTTTTCCTTACATCATTCGTGTTAATTTTAGATATTCATTTCTGTATATAAGCATGTTAATTTTTATGTAAGTTCAGTTCAGTTCACATCAGAGTTACACAGGCAACACACTGTCTCTCTCACTGGCTCCGTGTTCTCTGCACGTAAAATAAGACACGCTGGGTTGGAAATGACACGTTAGTCAAGGATGGATTTATTTAGTGACTGCATTGATCGATGTTCCAATGCACACTAAACATTTGCTGGTGACATTGGAAATCCAATTTGCATGGCAGGATTTTAAACATGGTGATTTTTAAAACTCTTGTTACAGGGCCTCTATGGAGAGATGATAATTAGATCTGAACCCTATTTGCCTTCTCCTAAACAAATACTAGATGATTATGGAATTAGTGCCAGACCTAGAGATTGTTTGATTAATAATTCTTGCTTGACCAAGGATGAGAAAATAGTAACCTAGAATTTAATGCTCATGGTTTGGAAATAATCAGTTGCAGTTGTACCCTGCATGATAACAGGCTGTTATCTGATCAGCTGCCAGCTGGAAGGTTTTACCAGCCTACCAATGAAACTGTATATGAAACTACTCTGTGCAACAGGGCAAACATTCTCTCTGATAAAGATTTTGCCCAGATAAACAGAAAATTTCAACAAAGGCGAATATTATGACAATAGCATCCAGTGATGTCATTATGTTTCTTAAATAATGAAGTAAGCCCTTGACTCGAGGAAGAAATTGAAGAAGATCAAAGCCACTCTGTATATATATATAAATGGCAATGCAGATGACTCCATAAAGAGCAAAGCTGGATGGAGCCATCTAGAAAAAAGGAGAGGTAATTTTGTGCTCAAGGATTGATTCCCAAGAAAAAAGGCTGGCATAAATAGTTATGGTACATGGAAAGGCTACACGATTAACTTTGCAAAGAATTTTAAACAATTAGGAGACTTTTGATAATGGATGGATGGATCACAGCAAATGTTAGTTGAAAGGAGAAGAAATAGCAGTAATCAGATAAATTTCCACAAAGTTACTGTGAGGGTTTAGTATCCCAGACAATAAACTGCTTCAAAAAGATACAGAAACATATATCAGAAAAGAGGAGTGTTCTCTTTAAAAAGAAGAGAGTTCTCTAACAAAGTAAAGATAAATTTTTCCTGCCATTTCTGTGAAACATGTATGCCATAAGTTTTGATATCAATTTTGGTCCAAAAATACTTCAATGATTAATTAGTATGTGCCCAGCATATTTTGTTTACAGCTCTGTACAAGGATGTGTTCACCATTGAAAGTTGGACAAGTTAAATCTTATTCATTTTATTAAGCCTAATCCTCTCAGTATAAACATTAGGCTTCATCATTACAGTTTACACTAAGCATAAATGGCATTTAAAAATCCTGATGTTAGCTTTGCATTTGCAGGGCCATGGCTTCACTTTCTCAATCACCCAACAGAAGTTATTTTGGAAGGTAGGGAAAATTGTTGAAGAAATATCTATACATTGTGTTGTCCATTTTAATGCACATAATCAAGAATAATCAACTACTATTATTGTTTCAAGTCATTACCCAGTTATGTGGATTTTTCAACCTTTTTCTAATCTTTAGGTAAAGCCTCCACTGTCTCCTCTTAGTATAATATTTTTTTGCCATTTTGTGATCAAGGCAACAAAGAGAAATATCTCTAGCTGTATGTTTAACAATCACATCAGGATTTAAATTTCCATTCACCTTTTGGGGGTTATAGTATGCTATAAATTCACTATTATTGTGCAATTTAAAATTTCGATCTCATAATTGGTCATGGCCTGAAAATATGTTTGTCATTTGTTAAAATTTTGCTATAAAAAATGGCAGTGAACACATCAAGGAAAGTTAGATCTGTTTTACTTGAAAATTTCCAAAGGCCTGTTAAGACCTTTTTATTTTCAATGTTTAGATTTGAAGGTGATTATTTTAATGAAAAAAATCTAGACGATTGGATATACTTAACTGAAAAATGCTTTGTCTGCAACTTATGTCTGCATTATAATAGTAGTTAGAAGCCTGATGAGTATGTTTAAATATTTAGTTGTCTCTTCTTAGACGCAGCAGAAGACCGCTTGGTATAGTCGAAAGAAAGACTTCCAATGGCCTTGATGATGTCTCTGGCTACTTTCCTGATTCAGGTCATCCAGTTTCCATTTATTCCTTCATGTTTTTATTTAGTCAATTTTTTTTATCTATTCATGATATCGTTGATCACTGGATCAATTTGTCTCATCCAGTCCCAAGCAATTTCCAAAGTGTAGCCTGTTTGAAGATAATTTTTAACCTGCCATTTTATAGTTCTTGGTGGCATTTAGGTAGGCAGAGCTGTGGACACCTTGATGTGTAAAACAGAATGAATCTAAGCTGCAGTTTCTTGCCTGTTTGTTTTTTCTATTGAGAATACAAAATTGAATGTTTGCCTTGGTTTATGCTGGTCTACCAGTTTTGCTACAATGCATATTTTTATATATTTTATCAAAATACACTTTTGTTGGTAAATGTTTTCTTTAGAGCCAATAATAAAAGACAGCTAAACTAAACAAAGGAAGATATTAGGAAAGCCCTGAATAATATTGATCAGGTGACATAATTGTTGTCTCAGCAGTACTATGAAGAGAATCAATCATACAAAAAGAACTACATCCAACTGATTTTGCTACGTGTTTGTCATTTTGACAGCTGCCCTAAAAGGAATTGTATCTTGTTGGTGTCAGTGGCAGAATAACAACTTTTTTAAATTAGTTTTCTTATTCGATTATTTTTTTTGCAGATGAAGAAAATGCAAGCAGTTCTATGGAAGAAAATAAAGGTAAAAAGCAATTGATTTCGAGAATATTGATGCTTTATCTTGATTTTTAAATCAAATTGTTGTTATAATGTGTTCTAAAGCAACAACATTTTACAGTTTTCAAAGTGCAACAGATTCGCAGTTTGGAATTATGTTTTGCCACTGTGTTTCATTTGCACTACACATCACAAGTCTCTATAATGTCCTTATTATATTATTTATTTTGATGTTTAGGGTCACAGTAGTTAGGGTCACCGATCACAGATCTAAGTGTTTAGGGCTCGATCTTTGCAATGACTACACTTTTTCAATTAAACTGTGAAGAGTCGCCAGCCCTATGTAATTCTAGTAAATCACAAAATTACAAATACAGCTACAAAATGCTAATCAACGAAATGTTGATCAGTCAGTATCATTGTGCGCATTAAAAATAATTTGAGAACTCAAAAGCAGAAGTGGGCTAAAACTCTATAAGTCGGTTTAACTGCTACGTATAAAAATCTCGGTTATATATTGACTCTAAATACTTGTGGCATATTGATTAAAATGCAGCAATCTTGTTTTCTTTCAATAGATGAAAGCCCTGAACTTATAACATCAGCTGATAAATCGAAAGACTTCATCAATCAAAGGTTCGTTTTCCTTCTGTCTATTCAAGCAAAACTCTCCGGATTATATTTAAGTTTTAACTCCATGTGTTGCTTGTTTTTGACCCTCGAACATCATATATCTGGCCTTGATCTAAGCAAAATGAAGGTGCTATATAAAAAGGGCTCCTTAGAAACTCTAGATGCTCTATGTCGCACCTCTATATAAAATGTCCTTGAGAGCATCCTTTGAGAGCTTTGGAAGCAATGCGATAATTTGAGTGGATATGTGATCACTGATTTGCACAGGTGATTTTAAGTTATTAAGAAAAAGCAGAAAATAATACTTCAACAGAACATCAACGTTTGCCCGAAAATCAAATAAATCTACCAGAGAATACGCTTGATGTCCTGTGTCCTGTGTCCTGTCCTTGATGGCTATTAGATGATTTATTAAATTAAAAATGGTATCGAAAACCCAACGTTGAATTTGCTGAATTTTTTCTCAAGAGGTAATCTTACGCAAGGCATAATATTGCGGTCTGTTGGGAAGATTGTTTATGCATGATCAATTAATTCAACAAATGTCAAAAAAATTTTGCTCCATGGTAATATTTTTTTTACGTTTTGAGGGGCTCTATAAATCGCTCTCCTAGAGCTTTTTGGGGGCGCTCGATCGAGCGCCTTTGCGGGCATGGCCTGAATTGGGCCACAAACGTAACACATAAAAACTAACCTTGTTCTTCGAGCATTGGCGATTTCTGCCAATAGTTCTTGGAATGCCTTGTTGGTCAGTGTTTCCTGTGAACATTAGCTGTTTCTTGTGGAGAAGACCGTAGCCTCACCCCTTTGCCTACAATCAATGTCGGTTACAGAGTTAAATAACACAGCTATCTGATAGGAATTCATTAGACCATACCGAACATCTTAACTCTGCATAGAACAGAATTGTTCCAGGGGGAGAGGGGGTGTAGTATAGGATTTGTTGTAAAAGTTGAAGTAACTAGGCCTAGATTTTTGATAGGGATTGTAGCTTTAGAAAATATTTTTATGTTTTCATTTTTAATAATTTTTCATGTAATGAAATGATTTATTTTGTAGCATGCAGCATGATGACACTAGAGAGGCTGTGACTGAACTGTTCACAGAAGAACGTAGAAATGAGGATAGTGATGTTAATATGCAGACCGTATTAGAAGATCTGCCAGTGCTTGAAAAAAAGTTCGAAAACATTCCTCAGCCAGTGCATGAAACACCAATAAGAACGCCAACGGCAAACTTAAGTTATGGTGAAGCATTTGTCGGCCTATCGAATTTGAAAATGTCCGCGAATTCATCAAGGCAAAATAGAAAGCAAACTACTGCATCTACATCGACCGAAGCAGTTTTAAATCAAAGTACCAACAACGAAGAGAGAGTTGACGAAAACAGTATGAATGTACCTACGGTTACCAAAAGCAAACGGGACATTGGTGTTGAAACAATACTTGACAGTGAAGTCAAAAGTGACAGCGACGCTCATAGAACAAGGGATGTGGGTGTGGGAACGAGTTGGCTTCAGAAGAGTAAATCCCGTAGAAAAGCATCTAAAAAAGACGATGATAATACTTATTATGAGCACGGAGAAGCAGATGATGTTTATAAACGAGTCACCGCTCGTGGTTAGTATTTATATGGAGCATGCGATGTCACAATTTTGTCACTTTTGAAGATGAGAAGTCTTTACTTTTTACTTAAGAATTAGCTCATGTACAATATATGTGCTATGGTTTAGACCAACATTCGATACTTGTTAAACGTTTTCGGTACATCCTTTATTGGAATTTGACATTAAGAGATGATTATACCCAAACCCTAAGGGATAGATTTCTTTAAGGGATAGATTTCTTGAAGACCATCAACAGCAGTGTTGTCACCCTTCTGTCTCTCCAACCAAAGTCTTGTCTTAAGTAGCTGAAAGATTTGCTTTATAGAATTCTTTGTTATTCAGTGAGCCCCTGCATTCTTTGGTCTTGCTTTAAAGATGTGTATGAGAAACACAGGGTCGAATGTTCTTAAACTAGGTTCTTATATCTAACAGTGTATTTTCGTTTTGAAGCTCTTCAGTTGTACCTGATTGGAGGGGTGTATCGAACAGTAGATATTTCAGGGGACAATGTTTTTAAAAATGAAGGCCTCGCGATTTGCCAGGACTAAAGTAACAGGTGCTTAATAGAAGAAAGACATTCTGTTGGTGCTCTAATTGGAATATTCTTTGCGGTTACTTACTTTATTTTATAAAAATACAGTTATAGATGTATGCGTGAATGTTGACATGTGAATCCTCGAAATATCCTGCTTAACCCGGAGATATTCATATGCCAGCTTCTTCTGGTTTTCTCGCACACTCGCCGCTTCCCTAAATCTTTTTTAAAAGGATTCCATCAAAGAAGATATGATATCGATCTTGAGCAACCCATTACTCGACCAGCCATTTCCAGTTTTGATCTTATCAAAGCTACAGGCAATTAAGCTCTCTGAAAACCTGCTGTTTAGATTAGTTTCCGCCATTTTCTATTACTGACCGTTTTTATCTTTCCATATCTTTGGTAAATGTTTAATTTTCACCGCTTTAATCTTCAGGTCACAGAAAGCTACGAAACAAGCAAGAGAGATTTTATTTAGGTAGTGGTGCCTTGTCGTCATCAGATGATTACGAAGAAGAGAAAACAAGGTGATCTTTGCCATTTGGCAATTTGAAAAATTTGCTTATTGTCCAAATGTCATTACCTGTAATTAGTAAACCCAAATCCTGCTTGAAATGATTTTTTAACTCTTTGATTTAATATTTTCATGATTTCCAATTTAGTCCTAATCGAAAATCACAAAAAACTTTATTATAGAATATCATAAAATATCTTTCTTAATAATTTATTATGAGATAGGATCAATTTCGTTTTGATAAACCAGCACTAGGAGCTATGAAGTCTACATCACTGATTAAGAAATTTAAATGGTAAGAAAGCGAAGATCTCACGATAGCGTTGACACTTTCTTGAAGTAGATCTTGCTTGTGCAACACACCACAAGTGCATCCCGTTACAGCAATTGAGGTGAAAATACACTGACAAATACGAATGAAAATGTACGCTTTGATATAGAACAAAACGATTATAAGTTGCAACTTCGAGTTTCATGTGATATTAGTGCGAAGAGTTGCATGGAAATTGTGTGAAATGTGGAATTCGGAGTTGCAAGTTAGAATGGTCTTGTTCTTTACACCAAAGCATGTATAGCTCTGTATATACTGCATCGAGCATTACAAGACAGACTGGTAGACTGTAATGCTCATTTAATGTGAATGTAAAGCGGAACTTTGAAGCTGCTAGATACTAGCGATAACAAAGACATAAAAAACCATTTTACTGTCATTTAGGGGAGATTATAAATTGTTTCTATTTCTGTAGGCCAAAAAGAATACCTTGGAGGGGAGGCTACTCTCGAAAGAAACAGTCTGAATCACAAGTTGATAGAAAGCAAACAAACGTTTCAAAGAAGAAAAGCAACAAAGGATCGGATATGAATCCTGCACAAGAGGCTAGCACGTCTGTTAAAACACTCCAGAGGAGTTATAAGAGTTCTCTCAAAAGCAGCAACTTTGAAAAACCTATGCAAGATGCTAGGCATCCAAAGAGTCAAAGCAAATCAACAATGAAGGAGAGATCGAAACGGATGGTAAAAAGTAGGCACAGAGATGCGAGTCCTGATTATTCTAATAAATTTGTTAAGAAACCAAGGTCACGCGGGAGGGCTTTATCTGATGACAGGGAAAGTGATGACAGAGAGATGGCCAAAAGCGGTCGCTTTAATCGACTGAAAAACGAAAAGTCCTTATCTTCAAGGAGGAAAGAGTCTTTGGATAAGGAAAATTCACTTGGACTAGCAACGCCTAATTTTGGAAAAGAAACTCCTGATATGCAAAGCAGGAGCATAAAGGGTTCTCAGACAAAAAGCAAGAAGAAGATTCAACGTATTGTTTTTCAGGACAAATCGAAAAAAGGACAGAAAAAAACGCCATTGAAAAATGCAGTTTCTAGTACAGGAAAAAAGAAAGAAACCAGCAAAATTGACGAGAAAGACAAGCGTGAGAAGGTCATTGCGCGTGAGAAAGACAACGGACGTAAAAAGGACAAAAGACGCGGGAAGGACGATGGACGCGAGGATGACAACGGACGCGAGAAGAAAGACGGAGGTAAGAAGGACAACGCACGTAAGAAGGACAACAGACGTGAGAAAGTCAGCGGACGTGCGGAGGAGAACGACGATGACGATGAACTTGATTATGATGATGTTGATGATTCTGTTGTCAATGATGAGGTAGTTGATGATTCTGACTACAATGACCATGTTGACGACCAAATGGGTGAGATATCATCTTATTATACAGATATTATTAGAAAATTTAACATAAAATTATTATATTATGAATCCCTATGCTTTTTAGCTTAGCGTTGTACCAACTTAGCTTAGATTTTATAAATCAGACCTCATCTGCGGAAAACACAACCACGTTTCCAACATCAAGATGGTAACTGTTTTCCTGCATTTTTAAATATCCTTTTATTCCTAAAAGTGATCACCAAGTCAATCCCCGGCTCTAAATAGCCCATCCGTGCCACATAGGTAAACCATCCAAGAAAGTTCTAAAATCCACTGGTGCCATATTTAGATTTTGTGCGGAAACGTTGCTGATTTCATGTTTTTGTAGCAATGTAAGCTCATGATCTTTCTTGGAAACATTTCAGATAATATGCACCCTACAAACGAGGTTGAAACACCAAAAAGCCGAACAGGGTCGAGTTGGGTCGGCCCATCGCCATTGCCAATGGTGGGCCAAGAGAGCAATTCTAGCCGTCATTTAGCATCTTTGTTAGCTGGTAAAAAGAAGAAAAAGAAGACAGATGATTCCTTCGTAACCCCCCAGAGACATGACAGTGTAAATACCTTGCCTGGAAGAGCAAGCTTGGAACCAGATGCTCCTTCGACGCGAAAACGGAATTCGAAGAAGCTAAGTAGTGATGTTGGTGAAACAGGAGGTGTAAAGTCACCATCAAGCAAAAGGCGCAGAAAAACACATACGATCTCATATGAATCTTCCGCGAGTCGAACTAGTAGAAAAGGAGCTCGTTCAAGAATGTCATCTGCTAAGCGCATTGCCACGGAGGGTACGTATCACGTTTCTTCATTGAATATGGTCTACAACTTCTGCTAACGAACAGACTTTTAATCCGTAATGCATTCGTAGCAGTAGAACGAATGCCTTAGGATTTAATTGAATTAGACTTTGGCAAAATCGTCGTAGGAGAAACCGATGTTGCACCCTATCTCTGCCAAAAGCAAAGATAAGGTCACTTTTTGGTTAGATATTTTGTCAAGTCCAAAGTTGGTTTCATCCAGTCACTGATCATTGCTAATTCTTATACCTCCATGTCTGTTGTAGTTTTTTTACAGGAGCTGGGTAGAAGCTAAATGCTTTTATCCATATAGATAAATCCTCAAGGTTCTAAGATCCTCAAGAAGCATTGTTTTCATCTCTCATCTTTTTAATCAGGTGAGGCAGAACAGTCCCCAATAACTCCGATGAGGTCCAAAGAAAACGAAATTGTCCAAAGTACTCCGTTGGCAAAAAGTCCAAAGAAAGCTGGTATGAATGTCTATTCAGGCTTAGCAACTTAAGTTTACTTTGATCAGTTTTGCTTCATGTTTACTGCGTTTTATGCCGATTTTAATTCACAATGCATCTACAGACAAACTTGCTGTCACCTTTCAAGGCGGATTTGATTGAACTGATCCAGCCAAACATTGATTTACTATTTGTTTTTAATTATTTAGTTGGTCGGTTGTAAGCATCTGCATTTCCCGAATTGAATTGAATTGAATTACATTTAGTTGACTCTGTTGTGTAGATTTGGCATTCGTGATTTCGTACTTAATTTTGACAATATGCAAATAAGACAGGCCCCCCGCCCCCATTGACGCTACAGCCTCAAGCTCTACAGCAAGTCAAACAAATGCGCAGGAATAAGACATGACCTATTTTTACTTCATTTTAAGGTAGGATTTCACAAGCAGATAGTCTTTGTTTATTAAAGTGACTTTTTTATTTATGTCTAAAGCAGGCCTTTCCCAGAGACGAGGGCTATAGCCTACACCCGTGCAAACCCCGCGCACAATAAATTTGCGAGGGATTTTTTCCACCCGTGCAGTTTTTCAAACCAACGTTCTCATTTAATTTGCGCATTTTAGCTTGGAAACAGGGGCGTAACTAGGCCAATAGGTTTGGTGGAGGGGGGGGGGTGAATAGGGTTTCTGCCCTGCAAAATTGAGTGGTACCCTGCAGATCTCGAAGCAAAGTTATATGTCGATAAGATGCTAATGAAAGCTTTACCAATGTAATTTTTATTTACCAAGGAAAAATGTATAAGCAATAAAAACAAATTTAGAACTTGATTGCCTATGAAATATTTATTTATCTACATGAGCGTAAATTAAATTTAAAATTTGATTTTGCTTTGCAATAAAGCCTACATCTCACAGGGAGGCATATGTTTTCGGCTATTTTATAGGGACGGAGGGGGCACAAAATTGAATATGGGATCCTAAGTATCAAGTTAATGAAGTAGGAGGACCCACCATGGTTGGGTGCGACGCAAAAAATTTTATTGAAATTGTCTCTTGTAGAAGGGCTAAAAAGGCATCTTCCAGGCTAAAATTTAGCAAAATATTATACTGCTTAGGAAGGACAATTCAATGGTTCTCAGAAAAAACTGATTATTGTTTAAAGGGAAAAATCAAAGAGAGGTGGTGTCATGCTAAAACTCAAGTGACAGACTTTGGGAAAAAAAAGAGATTGTGACCTTTTGTTTCTGATTGCACATCAAGGTAAATAAGTTGGTATATAAACCAAGCAAAATCGGGATCTAAACAGTTTGTTCTCCTTTTTTCACACACTGTTTTAAAAAGTAAAAGAAAAAACGGTAAAAATTCTTATCTTGAAAAAAGTGGGGAACTTCAGGTCCCTACCCTTCCCCCCTGTGGCACCATGCCTGTCAGGAAAAAATTAAGGATTGGTAATACGAAATTTGGTAATACACACAAAAATCTCTTCTTAAGGTGAATAGTGTTAAAAGAATTGGTAAGGTAATGTATTTTCAACTTTGTAAATACTCAAAAATAAAAAATTAACAACAGTTATACAAGGGCTAAATAGCCAGCGCAGCCAAACTGGCAAGGGCTTTTTATAGCCCATATTTTTTTCCCCGGGGACGCCTGGTCTAAAGCCCAGTTATTTGCATGTTGAATCCTATCTAAGAATATATGTTTGTTTGTCATATTGTTTGAAGCAGCCAAAGCTTCACCTTGACACCGTTCTTTTCACTATCAAATTTTATGTTTCTATATTGCAGTTCAACAAGATAGCTCAAATGCAAAAAGGAAAAAAAGCCAGGTAATAATGCTATTTAACAATGTAATATGATAGGCATAGCATTCATTCAAAATAAATTTTTAAACATAATAGGTTTATTAGAGTTTAACATTTATTCATTTTAACGAGAGAGTTTTCCCATACCTGTGATGAAAAAGGAATGTAAGTTTCATCATAAATGTAGTTAGAGGACCCAATTAAATTTTGTGTATGTGTATTTTCTTTATAGTTTGAATAGGCAATTCAAAATGATAACCATAACATTGTTGTCATTAACATATTTGTTTTAATGACCAGCATCATTTTAATGATTAGCATACAATCTTGGTATTCCTTTAATCCTGCTTCTAGTTCTGTTCCACGATAAATTGCAAGCTGTTAGCAATGTGAATATTTCCTTATACTTCTAAAATTCTAACAGCTTGATAATAATGTTTTATTCAAATTGTTATTTTATTTATTTTGATATTGAAATTAATCACCTAATCATGTTTTTTATGAAGGGGAAGACACCTCAAGCTACAATTCCAAACATTGGAATGGAGGATGATACTTTGAAACGACTGAGTGAGCAATGTTTTCCTTTGTTTTAAGGCGTTGAGATGTGATAGAAGAAGAGAGTATGCCATATAACTTTGGGTAGCAGCCCCCTTGAAACCCCCCTTCCTTTAAAATTTGACATTTGAAAGAAGATAAGAGAACATAAAGATAACATGATTAGGAGAGGGTAGAATATAGAGACATTTGTTTCTGTTAATTGTGAACAGAAATTTGGATGCATTTTTTTAAATTTTATTTACAGTGTAAAGGGTGTAAAAAAGGCACCTTTTTAATTATCAACTTGAAGTAATGCTGACTGCTCTATATTTTGATTACTCCACTTATCCTGTTTTTAATGAGTTTTTTGCTCCCATTGTTTAGAGTGTTAAGATCTCTATTGGTGTTAAGATCTTCAGAACATTATTTTCAAGTTTAGCCAGTGCCATGAGATTGCTCCTTTAGCAGAGAACTCTTGTCATTTTTTTTTGTTTTTGTACCTCATTTGTTTTTTGATGAATTACCCAAAAAAAAACTACAACTTTATCTGTATGTTATTATGCATTGAACAAGAGCACATATAAAAACACAACAGTGGGTTGGGGTTTTCTGATTTTTTGAAAGCCCAAGTTGTTGCCAAAGCCTGACCAAACTTTACTGATTTTTCCAAAAAACGTTTTATTTTAATTGAAAAACAAATAGGTTTATCCATGAACAAAACGTTTATTTGCAGATATAATTTTCACGCCAGACATGTTGAAACTTCGCAGACCACCTCAGTCATCTGCTACAAAGGATCAAGACCCATCTACACTCCAAAATGTCTTGGTCCACAAATTCTTCAGTTCTGCTACTTTCAGTGCAGGGGTAATGGTGTTGCTTCCAGACACAATCAAAGGGCCTCACACAGTAGAGGAGGATACTCTGGTAAATATGGCCTTGTTGTATTATATTATCTAAGCTGGCAATTTGTTTGTATTAACACTCTTTCCATGCTGTTTACAGACAAAGTCTGTGACAATCAAGATGACAAAATCAAGATTCACATTTGGTTCCATCTGGAAGTGGGAGAAGATAGAGGAGGGCACCATATGGGAGGTGGGATATTGAGGTGGGGAAGATGAAGGAGGGAAAAATGGAGGAGAGGAAGATGATGGGGGTTAAACAGGGACATGGGTAGCATTTAGTTTCTTGCACATAAAGTGTAGCAAATCCCAACTGCATATTCAGCAACAAAGGACTGTCAGATGTTGCCTGAACTGTAAACCTTTATAGAGTAGAGAGCCCAGGCCTTGCCCAGAAAAGCGCTCGATTGAACGCAAGCACCTAAAGGGCACCTTGAAATAGCCATGGATCGATTTAATGTATGGCTGAAAATGTGAAACTGAAACGATGTTGCCCCGAAGTGAAATGTTGTTTGAAGTTTATGTTGATAAACTCAATTGACCAAAGTATTTTGGTTAATAAGATTTATACAAGAGTTGATGCCTGGATCCTGGATCCTTTTAAGGCCAGGTCTACAAGAATACATTTTTAAATTAAAACATAATATTTCCATGCATAGAAAATACAAACGTATAAAAACAATTTGAGAGTGAAATCATTTAACAATGCAATGATTTAAAAATGCATCGTTTCTGTTTGGATGCAGTTTTTCATACAATATGAAATAGAGCGCCTTTAGTTTCTTAGGAGCTAGTTCTATAATTTTGCTTTAAGTGCAAGGCCCTAGAGCCCTTTTATGTGAGTGTTCTGTTGTCGCTTATTTTTTTTATCAACTGTTCATAAGTTTTACATATTTGACAGGTCTTTTACATCGAGCGTGGTGACGTAAATGTAATGGTGAAGGGAAGATGCAATGAAGTAATTGGTCCAGGCTCAACTTTTTATGTACCGAGAGGTAGACTTTTGTTTTTTGCAATTGTATTGATATTACATACTTTTATCATCTGAATCCAATTCTGATCAAATTTGCCCAAAAAACTTACAATGCTTTTTGAACTAACAAACTTACAAAAACTTACAATGGTTTCACCAATGCTTTTTTTTCAGAAAATGTGTATGCCATCAAGAATGAAAGCAAAACTGAGGAAGCAAGAATATTTTTTGTCCATGTAAAGAATCTGTTGAAAAGTGAAATTCTTCGCCCCCTCACTGCAACAAACAATGCATGATATCTGCTGACATGCATTTGCTAGGTGCCATGGCATTGTAAACCAAGATGCAGAATTCTATGCAGTGCATGAACCCTTTCAAACAGCCTACAGTTATGACTTAGGAATTGCTGTTAGCACAGAAAGCTCACTGGAAACACAGATCTGCAAGTTTATTCATCTTTTCAAGACAATGATCTCATGTAAGTCCCTAAAATATACAACAAAACTGGTGTAAATATTCTCAAACTTTATTGAATGTCTTATGGAAACGGTTTTGTTCTAGTATTTTTAGAACATGCCGCTCTTTCTTCTTATATACACCAGTTCTATTTTTGCTTTTTAAAGGGCCTAAATTCTGAATCATAGACATTTGGTTGCAGGGACCCTTGTTTTGTAAATATGTTTAGTACTCACTTGAATGTGTAACTCTAATCCCAGAATGGGTCTGGAGAACTATCACAGCCGTGCAAAAGTGTATATATGTTGATTTTTTACAATTGTATTATAGTTTGTAGTAAAATTATATGCTTCAATGTTAACATGGAAGAGAACTTTAGAAAGCCTAATTTTCTCACTCCAAAGTCCTTACTGACCCTATTTTTCTTTTATTTGCAAATATGGACATTTGTGTTTTTATGCTGCTATGTACTGAGGTCTGTATTCATTGCCACTCTCTAATGTGACTTGTTTGTTTTCACATATAAGTCAATTTTAGCACATTATTGTTTTAAGAGGTCTGGCCCCGGATGAAAACACATGGTTATAGAAACATCTGGTTCCTTTGTGAATTTTTTTGTTCACTTGTATGAAATTTTTCATTTTTAGTCCAAAATCAAATAATTAGTTCTATAAAAAAAACTTAAAAAGTTTTGTGTTTGCATGTGCTATGTTTTATTGACAAAAAGTACATGCAATAAAGATTCTATCTTATCTAAACAGAGACGGATAGAAGTTAGAGTCAAACTGATATGTTAATGGCAGACACTTTCTGTTCTTTTTGTCATTCATCTCTAGAAGTTTATTTGTCACTTGGAAAAAATATTTTCGAGAAACCAAACAGAATTAAGCAATTAAACACTTTTTCGTCTACCATTTCTTGCTTGCATTTCTTGCAGTGTGTTTGTGTGGGTTTTTAAAGTATCCAATAACCATTTTTAACCATCCATTTTCTTTGGGAGATGGTTTTGTTGAAAATTGTCTTAAAGGACAAACTGAATTTCCCTGACGTTATCAAATTGTTTTGATATCTGAGACCGTATTTACAGTTGGACAGCACACTTGTGAAAATAATTTTTCCTGTCAGCCTTACCCTACTGAATAAATACATGCATATATTTATATAGAGCCAAACCTGACGGCATAATACACAATTTGAATCTGCTATATATATAGATTCATAACAACTTCTATGTGGATTTGATAGACAAACGCTTGGAGGCAAGACACGAGGAAGGGGTAAAAATTTAGTGCACATGTTTTCTCACCAAGACCAAAATCTGACATCCCAAACATTAAACATAATTCTTTTTCAAACCCCTCTTCCATGAAAACCGGCAATGAATTTAAAGTAAATTTCTTTTTTAATGACGTGACATGGTTTAATAAATTATACGCAAATTGCATAAACAATTGAAAATACAATTAAGATAAAATTGGCAGCAGAAAGTGAAATGTGATTTCTGATTTCCTAATAACTGATAGACAATGTGAAAAGGTTTACGAGAAATGTATTATATTATCAGCTGATTTTTAAAATGCATATTCCAAAAGATCTGCTGTTGAAGTCTATAAATTCTTCTCTATTTCAGCTTTAAGGTTGGCTTCACTTGCACCAACAACTTCTGCAACCTGTATAAAACAAGATAAATAAGAGTTGTAAGCATAGACCTCTGTAGCAGGCTCAAACTACTCTGTTCACACAAATAGCTGACAGCAAGAAGGGAAAATGTGTTTTTGAAAATATTAAATCAAACCAAATATCTAATGGAAAAAGACAACATCATGAAATTCACAAAAATTACCAAATTTAAAACCCTTTAACAAAAATAGACTTGAATTTCCACTATCCTTGGTGTGTATGTGCAAATGTCTAATTGGCTTTGTTGATAAAATGGAATTAAATTTTAAAATTTACAAATTTATTACCTCTTTTCCACCTTTATACAATTTGAATGTTGGCATAGCATTAATACCGCATTGTTCTGCTGTCTCCTGTTAAGTTTTAAAAGAAAAAAGTGCTATTTAGTTAACATGATACATGAAATGTCAATTGATAAATATCAATTTTCCCAGTAATGGTTATATCCACTGGACAGGGTACATTAACAGGGGCCCATACCTTGAAATTCAAAGTGGAGGGGCCATAGTGTAGAAGAAGTTGGGATACCTACTGTTAACAAATCATACTGCTGCAAAGTGCATAGGCATATCTCTCTACCTATACTTTTGCTTCCTTTGTCATGGCCACTTATAAGGGGAATCTTCATTCCATCATTTGTCATCCATCATTATCATCATTATAATCTTGATCCCATCAATAAATAAGGGTGATTATGCCACTCTACCAAATCTACTGTTCATCCTCGACAGCCCAAAATGGGTATTTACAAAAATACAAGGTTAGACAATTATCTAATCCTGTTTCATTTTTTGCAGGTTTTAGATCATGTTCATTTTCCTTATCCATCCCTTTCAAAAACTCAGTTTTATCAAGTTTAAGGATTATTTTTTCATCTAATTCTAAGAATTATTTTTTCAGATATGCTTGTGCTTTTTGAAACAGTTGCATGAAAACAGTTACTTTATATAATATTTACAGAACAGTATAATAATTCACAATGAGCCAATATTTCCTATTTTATAGCTTAGCAATAATCATGTCAGGCAAATACTTGGAAATCAAACTTGCAACTTACAGCATTTTCATCTACATCAACTTTGGCAAAGACAACATTGGTGTACTTTTCCTCCATCTCCTAAAATAACATTTCAAATGAAATTTACTAACAAACATATTCTTTAGTTGAAGATGAAATAATGCTTTATTACTACACATTTTTCTTTACATAAAGTAGCTAAGGTATGTAGTAAAAATCATAAATTTGATTTAACTTTCCTCTAGAATACTTGTTAAAGACACATGAAAAGTTGTAATGCCAAGTTTTTTAAAAATAGCTTAATATTTGAATATTATGTAAAACTTCTCACATAACATTACAAGTTGCTGAACAATGCAATTTATATGTAATGCTTTGTGTTCTTTACATCTTGTTTGAAAATATCTCGCATCCGGTGGTTATCTATTGTCCCGAAAATAATTGTTTTGGCATTTGAGGAAGAGGACAAATGAAAAAGGAATCATCTACAAAATATCACAAGACCATCAACAGCTTTTTTATTGAACAGCGCTATCTTACCTTGAGTTTTGGGGCAATTGCTCTGCACGGACCACACCATGTTGCAAAAAAGTCAACAACGATTAAACTGCTTTCAGATTTCAAGAGTTCATCGAACTCGGCCTGTGTGGAGTAAAATCAACTTTAGTTTGACATCTCTACCGTCATTGAGTAAATATTTTGCATAATTTCAAAGACTCTGGTGATCCATATGTGAAGATAAGAACAGGGATTTGAATTATTCATGTGAGCATACATTGACAACACAATCACCTTTGCAATATCTCAGAAGTTAAATCGGTAGATTTCCCTACAGCTACAAAAAAACTTGAATTACGTAGGAGCTAGGGCTAGGGCAATTTTTGAGATGGAACGTTCACTTTGAATGCTGAGCAACATTGGGGAACATCAAAAGTTGAGCTAGGCCGTGGGCGGTGGTCGAGCTGCACCAAGCTAGAACGAAGGTTAGCAAACTGCAAATTAAAAAAGGGGTGAAAAACGAAAAATTTCTTTTGTTATCATTGACATAGAACTTCATTATAAACTATAACAAACCTTTGTCTTAATAACCTTCATTTTTGTCCTTTCCTCTCCACAGCACCCTAATTCAACATTCGGCAACACGCTTGTCCCTCAAATCATGACGCTGCACAATTTTATAAGCAGAGGTCTGGGTTCTATTTTTAGCTGTTTATTATGTATCCAAGCATTTTTATTATATTTTATTCAAACTCTTTAACAATAAGAATAAGCTTGATTTAAAGCCTAGAGTTCTTAAGTGTGACGTCATTATAGAAAAATCTATTTTTGAATTCTGACGACATTATCTAAAAGGACACCATGAAATATTTATAAATATGGAAAATAAGTAAAATATGTCAAAAATTAGAAAGGATTTGAAGTTTGCTGTGGCCAAAAAGATTTGAAGTTTGCTACATGGGTCACTTTCATTTTGGCTCTGTTCATAAAGTTAGGAACAGAGACCTAAACACTTTGATTCGGGAAGAGCCTGTGCTTATGTGAACATATTTCAGCCAATTTGCCACACGTTTAACTGGTTTTGTACATTTAGAGGTATTTAAGGACGCTTTTGCAAGTTATGGGGTCAAAATTAAAGACGTTTCAAAAGTATATTTTTGTGACGTCATCGACTGTGGTAAGGGGGGTTGTAAAATAAGGAAAACAACCTTTTGGTGGTACAAAACTTGAAAATGGCTTTGAAAAAAGCAAACATTTGTGTAAACTAAAGCTTTTCGTCTGACACTCTTCAGAGTTTAAAACGTCAGAACGTTTTCACCTTAGGATTCCATTGGTAACATTCTCAATAGGCAAGCGGCACTGAAAGCCGAAGTAATTCTTTTGCAAACAAATATAATTTAACTAATACTACAGATATACTAGGATGATATGAAAGAATAAGCTAGATTGTTCCATTGTATTTTTACTGTCTGGTAAGAGTGTATATTTCCAACAGGGAGAACTATTGCTCAATTTAAAGCACATTTGAAGTGTGTTGTTTACACTCTTCTTTTCATAAGAACAATTTTATAAGAACACGAGCCTCAAAATTGGTCAAATGTTAAGAGCAAATTAAGAACAAGCTGAGGCTGAGCTACTGTAAAATGTAACTTTAAACAACATTTTATCTCAAGAATGAGGTGGGTGATTTTTCGGCGAATGTTTAAACTTTGTTGGCAAATGAGGCCTGAACATCTCCCTAGAGCGAGAAAGCGCATTGCTTACACCCTATTAATTTAGAAACAAGTAGATTCAGTCAGCCTGAACTTAAATTTTACTGGTTCTAAAAACAGTCACTTGTTTTAGTTACCTTTGTTTATAAAACTGAAGCGTTCAGAAATGGTGCAAGCCCCAATTGCATGAAGACGTCCATTGTAGGATGACCATGACCTAATTGCCTGCTAACTGATTAGGTAAGCAGAATTCAGTCTTGTCGTCCGAAATGTCGAGCAGGTGGCAGCCTTGACATCTCAATCGAACAATTGTGTGATTACATTCAATATTTAGTTTAAACTGCCCGTTTTCAAAAAACAGGCTATTTCTCTAAAAAGACGATTATCATTTTGATTTCCCGTTGCGCCAAAGTTGAAGAAAGATGCTGCTTTTAAATTGTTGGTCGTTTTTGTTGAATCTTAGCACATTTCAAATGTTCAATGTGGAACGATCGTTTTTGTTGAACCTATAGCACATTTCAACAGCACGTTTCAATTTATATGCATAATTTCTTATAAGTAAAAATTTTGCAAAAATATTTAGGTCAGGGCCTCTGACGAAGGGTGACTTTTTCATCTATATTTGTTTGTTCAATTTCAGTTTTCACCATTCATCAATCAATCCTAAATACCACTCTACATAATACACTACACCTAAATACATACAAAAATACCGTACTACACAAAAACAAATTAAAATTAAAGACTACAGAAAAAGAACTTTACATGACTGTATTCAAGATGGACTGATTTAGGAGGAGCTCTTTGAATAGTTCAACTAATCGAGAGAGAGCCCCCCTCCCCGTAGGAACCCCCCTGTAGAAATAATAAAACTACAACATATTGTATTAGAATCAAAACAATATGTTTGCCAGATTTTTTTGAAGAAACCAAATGAATAGCAACAATTCAGAGATATTTTTTATCGAGAAACAAGGTTGAGTTCATGAAGTGAGTTTTCAGTATGAGTCAACGAAATAAGTTTTCAATTTGGACCAAAAAACTGCAACGGAGCTAGCAAGACGAATGAAAAATGGAAGGGTGTTCCAAAGTTTGGAGCCAAAATATTGAATTGTTTGAAGACCATAAAGGTAGTGTTCTTAAGTGATTTGAAGATATCACCTCTGGTTGCCTGGTGAGTTCCAATCTTATGGATAGTTGAGTCTGGCTGGAAATAATTGTGAAAGCAGGACGGGGGTTACCTATCTATTGCCTTATAAACAAAAGTAAGAATACTCAAATGCAAAGAATCCTCAAGTTTAAGAATTTTTAACGACTAAAAAATTGGTGCGGATGGAGCTGTAAATGGTTTGAATTCAATACAACAAAGAACTCTTTTCTGCAGGCGAGTCAGCAAAGACCGCTTTTGCAACTGGCACACCCAGGAGAAGATTTTCGAATTTTGATGCTTCTAGTTCCCTGGAAAATGCACTCTTTCAAGCACATTTCTCTAAAGCAATCCTCCTGATCCTATCAAAAATAATTTTTTGCAAACAAATTGAACAGCAGATGAAAACAACTGATACAATTTCGCCGTGGTCTTGAGAAATACCATGTTGTCAGTTACTTCTGAAGCTAGGTAACAAGCAGCATTGGTTGTCAATTTAGATCCCTCTTTCCTTCTTAGCATGCCTTTTGAATGTAAAAAAAATCTGGAGCTTATAGTGAATTTTAGTTGAAGCTTCTACTGAGAAACTTTAGAGGAAATGGACACAAGACACAGTTTTACCGAAAGAGGGCCTGGATTTTTCGATTTAGTGCCAACAAGAAATCTTCAAATCTTCAAATCATTAGTTTGTTTACCTTCATTCATATCAAGGAATATCATAATTAACCAACGGAGCAACTACCTTTGCTTGATCCTCTATTGATTTTATGGCATGAAGGTCTCTAAAATACCTAAAGCAATTCTTCCACCGAGCGGGTTTTACCTGAAATTTCTAATGTGACACCCCCTCCTCACAACCCCGGTCGCGGCGCCCCTGGGCACACCGATAGCCCAATAGTAAATGGTCCAAATGATGAGAGAAGGCCATCTTCAGTCCTGTGATTGATAATGGTCAAATATTCTGAGGGCCACCTTACTCTTATTTAATAACGGGTTTTGTGCATTAAATGGCAACAATTTTATAAGAACATATCCCTCAAAATTGGTCAAGTTAAGAACTGTAGTGTAAAATGCAATTTTGAACAAAGTTTATTTACAGACGTTTTTCAATCTTTGCAGGGCCGGTCACAGTCCCATCCACCAAAGGATGGAAAATCCTTGAAGCAGACAGTAATTTTCATAGCTGTCAAGTTCATGTCTCTAGATGCCAGAAATATTTTGTTCAGCCTAAGTACTGAATACTCACTTCCCTTCAGCGCAAATGCTAGTGATTGGATCCATAATTTTAAGAACAAATTAAATGCAATCCAGCCCCAAAGTTTTAGAAAAGTTGAGAACAGCCAGACTGAGCTTAATTTTTTTCTTATCCCATTACAGCACAGGCTAACACGAAAGAAGGGGGGGGGGGTCAATCCGTGGATTTACGGAATTTTTTTTACATTGAAAAGGAAGGTAGCCTGTACGCAAGACACTTAAACTGCAAGTTAGGAGTCTGGAGCATAGGCTAGAAGAAGGGTGCTTAAACAGGCGACACTAGAACATGGGCTCCGACAAAGGTTGAAAAGTGGGTGGGCCAAGGGAAAATTTAACACCCATGACAAATGATTTTGAAAAAAACTCTATTGTTTTGCAAAAAAGTGGGGGGCAAGGCCCCCGGCCCCCATCTTCGTCGGAGGCCCTGTAGAAGGGTAAATGTTCAGTGCGATTCCCCGTCATTTCACAAGTTACAACTTGTGAAGAGTCATGATTAGCTAAATATAGGTTTAGAGATTCTATCCTAGATGTGATAGTTTTTTATACTTCATGGCTGTGTTTAATTTTTTGGTTCTTTTTTCCAGGGAATAATTTTGTTGGGTGGAAAATTGGTTTCTAGATAAACCCTGTTAAATTAGCCGGTTTCTTCCCTGAATTTCCGAATTGGGAGGGGGCGGAGATTTTGTCAATGATAATATTTCGCGCCCGTGGATACAGGGCTTCCATCAAACGCCCAAATGTTCTTTCGACATGTCATTGAGTTGAATGAAAAAGTACATAATGGCAGGGCCTTTACTGCTGCGAAGATAGGCATGTCATAAATTGCAAGGGCTATTATTCACATAAGACTACTATGTCTTCTTGCAAACTTGCGCTATTATCAAACGCCTACCTTCAGTTATTTTAGGTATTTGCTTGACCTGAAAGTGGCGAGGATGAATTCTGTGGCTTCAAAAGCCGACGAGAATCCGGAGCAGCAAAGCACAACAAAGTATGTATTGTGATTTACTTATGTTTTCAAAACTTTCTTCTTTGTAAACGACCAGAGCCAAGGCGAGCAAGTATTTGGATAACAGAAGAAGCAACTATTTTCTTAGTTTCCCTGTTATTTGGTTTATAAATGAAGGCTACCTGTTCTTGTCGATTGAAGAAATCTGTCAAAATCAGCGAAAATGGAATCTTCGATGCATTGACTGAATTGCATAAATCAATATGTTTGCATTAATCATTGCGAATTGAATGCGTTAGTTTAGATTTCGCATCATTGGCAGTTTTCGTTAGCTGTCTTGCCAACTCCACAAGTAGAGAAAATTACAAGTAAACAAAATTACAGTTATTAAAAAACCGAAGAATGTTGTCACGTTATTTGCCATAATAAGCATTTCTTAATTTCAATCTCGTATTGTTTAATGATTTACTTTTGTTATAAACCCCTATCAGTTGCATATTTTGCACACTTTGCATAATATTTTTCTGGGCGAAGTTTAGTACCTGTTGGTGCTGCTGTGTCTAGAAAACTGCATGCTTCCACTAAAACAGCAATCTCCAGAATTCTACGCCAGTAAGACAGCCTGAAATACACATAGGTGTAGACAACAAATAAAATGAAGAATAGTAACAAAAGCCTGTTTTAAACCAATCCAACATTCTTTTAAACATGCTCCTTGAAAATAAAAATATCAATTCCATTTTATTGGAAATTCCCATTTTTTGGTTGAGATCTAATTTGTTGGTGTTAGATTTTCTAGCAGAGTGAGCTACTGCATTTTCCTACAAGTTCTGACCTTAGTAAAAAGGGCTTTGAAATGTTTTGATGTATTTGGTGGTTCAGAGGTTGTTACAGCCTTTGTTTTAAAACCACTGTGCTCCTTGGTTCTATGATTGTTCTCAAGCATCCATTAAATTGTATTTGCATATATAAACTGTTAGAAAGAGTCCATAGCATTCAAGTCAAGCACCATTATTGAAAAATGTTCTAACTGCTCTAGCAGATGGCTGTGCTATTTGTCCAGAAAGGAAATCCAATTGTCAAGCCGCATCAAATGTATGCTTACGTGTCAAAATGAGATAACCTACCACAGACTGTACAATCAAAAACTCTTTCATCAGCAGTATTTTGTGCCTTGTTACATGGGTTATCAATATCGTAGGAAGATTTTGGACAAAAACGCCAACTTGGAAATTAAGTGTTGAGAAAAAATTTCTTGTACTCTTGTCCGTTGGTTATACTATGCATCAAGAGAATGTGGGGTATACTTCAATGAATTGTATAAAAACATAATAGGATCACAAAAGTGTGGGAAAAAGTTTAAATTGTTTAGAACACCAAAGATTTAAATTAATAGTTGGCCTTAGAATTTAACCTATGGAATTTTAAAGGTATTTTTTAAAAGAATTTTGAAAAGGTATTTTATGCCAGTATTTGTGTTTCCTCTACTGCCAGTTTTAGAAATGGATAAGGATCTTAGTGAGCTACTCACGCAAAATATATACAGAAGCAAGAATAACATTTTTGCAATGCTGCAGATTTTTCTGGTAACATTCAATTTTGTTTCCTTATTCTGCAGTGCTTAGCGTAATCAAGAACCTAGTAGCCTATGCTTTGTTAGATGTTTTAGTATTAGTAAGTGCTATTGTTCTAAAAGGTCTACCATATCAAAGGATATATATATGATATATATAATATATAGTACTATATATGATTTAAATATTATATAGTAATTATATATATAATGAATGCAACAAAAACATGCTTTTTGCATGATCTTTATTTTCCCTGTTTTCCTTTGTTTTAATCAAATCAAAAATGTTTTTAATATGTTTATGTTTTGAAGAATTTTTAGGAGTTTAACAGGAATCTTAAGAAAATGTAACACTTTCAATTCAAGATTTATCACCTATCATGAAAGTATTCACACATATTTTAAACCTGCAATTTATTTTTATTTTAGAGCATCACTAAAATACAATGGTATGAATCTTCAAGCAGCAATATCAGATACAAATGAAGCCATGGCTCTGTGCCTGTGCAACAGATTTGGGGAGGCACAAGCACTGCTTGAACCTCAGTAATTATTTTTTTTTCAGATCATCTTTTGTCTTCTTAAATATCTGTATTTATTTCACGAATGCACTCAATATCTGGCTAGTTAAAGTAAGATTTGTTTATATTTCCAGAAAGGCAAGTTTTCAAATATTGATCAATTTTTTTACAAAAAGGAAAATTTTGAATTGCCAAGCAGTCAAATATTAAGAATTCAAATTGATAGTTTTAATGGTTTGATTCTACTAATGGGCTGAATAGGCAATTTTATTGTTTATGTTACTTAAGCATTATTCAGTTCCAACAGGCTGCATTGGCCAAGTTCTATTGGTTTTCTCTTGCTCTCAAATGTTATGGATTGCTGGTTTACTCATGTTTTGAATCTGTTTCATTCTTTTTAGCACAAGTGACAGTATCTACCATGCTCTTGGGTACTCTACCATTTCATATCTCCAGGCCATAATGACATATGAATCAGTAAGTATACATTAAACTTGAATCTGATGATAAAATTTCAAGATGATTTAGATAGATAAATGAAATTGTCAAGACAAGTTACCTAGTCCTAATGTTTCTTGGTAAATGAAGCTACATGCCCTTGCTCCTAAAAAATCCAGGAGGCATGTTGCTGTAATTTTATTAAATTCTAATGGACATGATTATTATGCACAAAAAATTGCATAAAATCAGCTGGTCGTATAGATATAGTTATACAGGGCTGGTAAATAAATGCTCATCAGTAAATTTTTATGTTACAGGGATTGTCAGAGATTGTTAGGAATTGAATCCTTCTGCTCATCTTTTAAAATATATTTTAGATAGGGTAGTTATTTCATGGTGAATATCTTTTTAAATAAGATGAAAGCAGGCCTGGCCATAAGACTTTTAACAGGGGAGCAGTAAACAGCTCTCCTAGTAGTATTCAGGTGAGCTATAAGAATAGAAACAAAGGAAAAATTGATTTCAAGGAGAGCAAATTTGCTTTCTAGAACAATTTAGGAGAGCTACTTCTAGCTCCCCTCCAGCATTTGAGGAGAGCCTTGAGGGGAGCAAGAGCTATGGCTCTCCTTAAATGGCCAAGCCTGATGAAAGCTATGTCTACCATACAATTCTGGATATTTTAAAGGAATGAGACCAAACGTATAAGAACAAAATAATTTTTGTATAAGAAGGTATAAAAACTAAAGAAGTCTATAAAGTAGTCAATTGTGAAAAAGAATGAAAAACGACACAAATCCATCATACATGCTAAAATTCATTTTCTGTTAAAAACTGTATGATGTTTTGTCTCTGACTTTCAAAGCTGGTCAAGTTAATGTTTGTTTCAAAATTATTTGGAGATGCTTTGATTCCGATTCTACATTTCAGGATGCCATCGAAACTGCATGTAAATCAGTGAAAAGGGGTTTACAAGTTTGCAACAAGTAAGCAAATCACATTTTTTAACTCAGTTACTTATTATTGTAATAGTTATATGGCCAGGCACAATGCTTCTTGGGGGCAATATAAAACAGTCTTTTAAAAAAAGGATTTGGAAGTTAATGCTTCGTTGTTGAATTTTTGGAAGAACTTTGTACCTCCAACCCTCTATCCAACTCCCACTGCACCCCTTCATTATTAAAAGTTTCCATTTCAGATGTAACTCTTTAGAATATGTTAGTAGCCCTCTGGCTGTGAGCTCCTCATAGCCCATTCAACCTTGTTCTTAAGTAAGTGAAAGTAAGTCTTATTTGGGTGAAAGCAGTCAAAGTAGCAGGGGCAGATACCGCTTCAAGTTAGGGAAGAACTGAAAAAATCAAATAATATTTTTAATTGCAAGTGGCAATAAATGGAAAGAATAAATCAAACTCCTAGAATGCAAAAAAATCCAGGCAGATGGCCAACTCCAAGCAGATTGTGGGTATCCTTGGTCAAGGATGATGAGCGCCTGATAAGGTCTTCCTTGGTGCTTCTAGCACCCATAAAAACTCTGTTAGATAGTTTAGATCAACTGAAATAACAATTTATTCATATGATTTTATCAATTCCACTTCTGAAAGCAAAGTGCAAAAGTATTTTTTCTATGGCATCTCTTTATCTGTGCCGTAAAAGAATGATAAAAATGATCTTTCCCCCTGACTGGATATCCCAAATATTTAATACGACAAAATATCTTAAGCGTCCGCAATAAAATTTTTTAGCATATAATTGGATCTTTTAATCAATTTTGACTCGACAATCACTAAGCTATGTACACCACAAAGCCAAAACGCGACACCGGTCATGTTTACAAATGAGAACATATTCAGTTAGGGTCTGCGTTTGAGTGGCAATTAGTCTGTATTTGCTGCTCT